AGCATTCGATGTTTTGAAAATTCGATGAAATGAGCATTCGAAGTTTTGAAAATTCGATCAATTTAACATTCGAAGTTTTAAAAATTCGATCTAATGAACATTCGAAGTTTTGAAAATTCGATGAAATGAGCATTCGACGTTTTGAAAATTCGATCAAATGAACATTCGAAGATTTGAAAATTCGATCAAATGAACATTCGAAGATTTGAAAATTCGATGAAATGAGCATTCGACGTTTTAAAAATTCGATGTAATGTGCATTCGAAGTTTTGAAAATTCGATCAATTTAACATTCGATGTTTTAAAAATTCGATCAATTTAACATTCGATGTTTTAAAAATTCGATCTAATGAACATTCGAAGTTTTGAAAATTCGATGTGTTGAGCAATCGACGTTTTGAAAATTCGATATATTGAGCATTCGATGTTTTGAAAATTCGATGTATTGAGCATTCGATGTTTTGAAATTCGATGTAATGGATATTCGATCGATTTGATTTTTGGGAGATTTCATACGACCGAGCATGGGTGACGTCAGCACGGCACGTCCGACGACCACGTCCGACGTGCCCATTGTAGAACCGACTTTAGCTCATTCTGGAACGGCCCTAGAAATTAAAAACCGTCGAAGACGGCGGGTACGACAGCTAGTGTGTCTCAATATAAGACAGATTTTGTATCTCAATGATTTAAACACTTAAGCTAAATTCTGCATTGGCCTTGAGAGGTAGGCCAAAGCAAAATTGCTTAAGTTTTGAGTCAAAACACGTCAACCATGATTACATTTTTTTTTGGATTTTTGAAAAAGTCAAAACATTTATGAAAATCTGTACTTTATCATGTAAAAACATCATTTAAGAAAAAAATTAATAAGGTCAAAACTGTTTTTGCTAGAAATTAATGGGTACATTCTTCGATGCCGATTTTTGAATTTATAATTGTTTATAATTTTTTTAAATCAAAGTTAACAAATTAATACAGTTTTTTTAAAAAGAACATTTATTCTCTTATTTCATTGCTACACATGATCTAAATCAGTTCAAATTAACACGTTGCACACATATACTTACGTCTTTTTAAAAACCTTTCTCCAATACGATCCTAACATAAAAAAATTGGACAAGTGCGAGTTGTACTCGCACTGCAATGGCGGGTTCCGTACACAAATATTAAAACAATACTTGCAACATTGATCGGTAATTGGTGGAATTAAAATAAACAATTATAAAAATATATTAAAATCATTTGATAACAAAAAATAACTAAAAAAAATTAAAGTATTGTATATCTAATATTGTAAACAATAATAAGCAGAGGAACAAAATTTTCAAAATTATAGTTCCTCTGCTTATTATTGTTTACAATATTAGATATACAATACTTTAATTTTTTTTAGTTATTTTTTTTATCAAATGATTTTAATATATTTTTTTAATTGTTTATTTTAATTCTATCAATTACCGATAAATGTTGCAAGTATTGTTTTAATATTTGTGTACGGAACCCGCCATTGCAGTGCGAGTACAACTCGCACCCCAGTAAACGAAAACTAATTGAAATGAATTAAAAAGAATTCACAAAGAGCTTTCGTGAATCCCGCTTTGTGACAAATACGAATTGGAGCCATGATGCAATTTTCCTGAATTCGTGAAACTGTATTGAACTTCCGAACCTTCTATCCGTACCAATTCACTGGACAAGTTTTGAGCCTTTAATTTTTTTCAATTCGTTAGCACGAATTCAATGCATTCCTTGGCCATTTCTTTCGAATGCGAATTCGTTTGGACAAATTGGTACATATTGAATTAAATTCAATTGAATATACAAAGAGCTTGAGTGAATCCCGCTTTGTGACAAATACGAATTGGAGCCTACCAAAAATGTTAATTCGTTTCAATTCATTTGAATTAGTTTTTTTTTACTGGGACTTGTCCAATTTTTTTTTATTTTTAGTTAAGAAATTAAAGTCAGAAAACAATCTCTCATTTATTCTCTTAAAATTTCACTCTCTTCCTTAAAATATTTAATGCCACGTGTTTAAACAAAAAAAAATTTAAAAAAATTTTTTTTTTTGAAAACAAAAATAAAAAAAATTTTTTTTTTATTTTTTTCAAAAAGTTTCTTAAATAAATTTTTTGTCGTCAGACTGTAATAATACACTAGGATACCAATTTTCAGCTCATTAGGTCAAATATTGTAAAAGTTAGGAAAAAAAATTTTTTTTTAAAATTTTTTAGTTTTTCTTGACAACGCTATGGCCATCATTACATATCAAGTTCTCTATATTTTTCCTGTAATATTCGAGTAAAAATACACCAGCATGCAAAATTTCAGCTCTCCATGTCGAATAGTTTAGAAGTTAAGGGGGGGGGGGAATGGTCACTTTTTATGCATTTTTGGCCAAAAATCTTGTTATTTCCTTGACAACGCTATGGACATCACGTCCAATCACATTCGCTATATTTTTCCTGTAATCTACGAGTGAAAATACATATCTGGACCAAATTTGAGCTCTTTAGGTCAAATAGTTTAGCCGCTAGGGGGGGGGACACGATTTGGCTACGGACAACAGAGTCTCACCAATAGGGTTCTCTCTTACTCCAATTACTGCCTGCGCAGGCAGGCAGAGCTGTGAGAGCTCCATTATACTACTTCGTGGTTCCGCCGTTACACCGTAGGTGTATGGAACCCTAAAAAGAGATGAATCCACATATACCAAATTGAATTACAGTGTAATTCAATTTGAGACGCATGCATATCCCCTAATCACCAAGTCGTCGAATGATCAAATAGTCGAATGCCAAGTAATCGAATTGACAAAACGTCGAATGCTAAAAACATCGAATCGGCATTTAGTCGAATGCTTAAAACATCGAATTGTCAATACGTCGAATGTTCAAAACGTCGAATTATCAATTCGTCGAATGCTAAAAACGTCGAATCGTCAATACGACGAATGTTCAAAACGTCGAATTATCAATTCGTCGAATGTTAAAAACATCGAATTGTCAATACGTCGAATGTTCAAAACGTTGAATAATAAAAACGTCGAATGCTAAAAACATCGAGGCGTCATGTAGTCGAATGCTAAAAATATCGAATCTTCAGTTAATCGAATGCTAAAAACATCGAATTCTCAATTCGTCGAATGTTCAAAACGTCGAATGTTTAAAACGTCGAATGCTGAAAACGTCGAATGTTCAAAATGTCGAATGCTCAAAACGTCGAATGATAAAAACGTCGAATGCTAAAAACTTCGAATCGTCATTTAGTCGAATGATAAAAACATCGAATCGTCAATACTTCGAATGCTAAAAACATCGAATTGTTAATTCATCGAATGCTTAAATCATCGAATTTTCCATTCGTCGAATGTTCAAAACGTCGAATGATCAAAACGTCGAATGCTAAAAACGTCGAATTCTCAAATCGTCGAATGCTCAAATAATCGAAACGCCATCTGTTCGAAATGTCAAGTAGTAGAATGGTAAAGTAGTCGAATGGTAAAGTAGTCGAAACGCCATCTGTTCGAATTGCCAAGTAGTAGAATGGTAAAGTAGTCGAATGTTCAAAACGTCGAATGATAAAAATGTCGAATGCTCAGAACATCGAACTGTTAATTCATCGAATGCTCAAAACGTCGAATGATAAAAACGTCGAATGCTAAAAACATCGAATCGTCAAAAGTTCGAAAAAGTTCTTTGTTTTAAGTTAATGTCTACTGAAGACAAAGAACTTTTTCGAACTTTTGACGATTCGATGTTTTTAGCATTCGACGTTTTTATCATTCGACGTTTTGAGCATTCGATGAATTAACAGTTCGATGTTCTGAGCATTCGACATTTTTATCATTCGACGTTTTGAACATTCGACTACTTTACCATTCTACTACTTGGCAATTCGAACAGATGGCGTTTCGACTACTTTACCATTCGACTACTTTACCATTCTACTACTTGACATTTCGAACAGATGGCGTTTCGATTATTTGAGCATTCGACGATTTGAGAATTCGACGTTTTTAGCATTCGACGTTTTGATCATTCGACGTTTTGAACATTCGACGAATGGAAAATTCGATGATTTAAGCATTCGATGAATTAACAATTCGATGTTTTTAGCATTCGAAGTATTGACGATTCGATGTTTTTATCATTCGACTAAATGACGATTCGAAGTTTTTAGCATTCGACGTTTTTATCATTCGACGTTTTGAGCATTCGACATTTTGAACATTCGACGTTTTTAGCATTCGACGTTTTAAACATTCGACGTTTTGAACATTCGACGAATTGAGAATTCGATGTTTTTAGCATTCGATTAACTGAAGATTCGATATTTTTAGCATTCGACTACATGACGATTCGTTGTTTTTAGCATTCGACGTTTTTATCATTCGACGTTTTGAACATTCGACGTATTGACAATTCGATGTTTTTACCATTCGACGAATTGATAATTCGACGTTTTGAACATTCGTCATATTGACGATTCGATATTTTTAACATTCGACGAATTGATAATTCGACGTTTTGAACATTCGACGTATTGACAATTCGATGTTTTAAGCATTCGACTAAATGCCGATTCGATGTTTTTAGCATTCGACGTTTTGTCAATTCGATTACTTGGCATTCGACTATTTGATCATTCGACGACTTGGCGATTAGGGGATATTCATGCGTCTCTTCAATTTGGTTTATGTGGATTCATCTCATAAAAAAAGCCTATTGTGGATAGAGCCTTAGGTATTTTACACGTCGGTTGAGTCCACAATAGGCACTTTTCTTAAGGTTGAGTCCACAATAGGCACTTTTCTTAAAGCGATGCATACCCTCTACATCGATTTCTATTGTTCGAACAATGGAAATCGATGTAGAGGGTATATATGCATCGCTTTAAGAAAAGTGCCTATTGTGGACTCAACCTGACGTGCCCAACTCTGCAATGTTACTGCAGCAATCGTTGCCCTTTCAAAACGCACCTTAATATTCTACATTCTCAATATCTCATTGTTGATTGTTGTTGATTTTCTCATTTTGATACTTTTCTAAATTCAAGAAATCTTTTCGAGACTTGCTGCCCTTGCTGCGCATCTTTAATTTTGACCCCATGGTAAAAAAATGACTATTTAATAAATGAGTATACTGTGAAAAAAATTTCTGTTGATTAATGTTGTGGAATTTTATGGAAACACTTGTAAAATATCGTCTTTAAAAGCAGCGAACTTAAATTCTCTCTTTGGTAAAATTAATACTTTTAATGTGTCAATTTTACAATTTTCTGTAAATTTACTACTGTGAAAGATAGGGACTAAATATTACCTGCCTACATTCAGTGTGGCATAATTACAACCGCGGTTGTAACTTTACAGATAATAATTGTAAAAAAACAAACATAACCTGTAAAAAATGATTTTTTGAGAATTTACTAATGAATTGTAAGGTTACAAGGATTTCTGTGAATTGACAATGTTGGACATAGTTTGAAAGCAAACAATTTGGAATAAAGCGACGTCTAACGTTGTGATTTTACAAAAATTTGTAAGGTTACAACGTTGGACGTAGGACATATTTTGAGTCACGTCAGACGTTGTAATCTTACAAATTTTTTCTAATATTACAACGTTAGACGTCGCTTTATTCCAAATTGTTTGCTTTCATACTACGTCCAACATTGTCAATTCACAGAAATCATTGTAACCTTACAATTCATTAGTAAATTCTCAAAAAATCATTTTTCACAGTGTACTTGAAATCTGAAATTTCGTAAAATCGCTACTCTGAATGTAGGTAATATTGACCCCACTTTCAGAGTAGTAAAATTACAGCTAAAATTTGTTTTACAGTGTATCTAGATAAATTTATTAAAATAATATGTGATGCCAAAAGTAGTTTGTAATTTTTGTTGTAGAATCTTTAATTGAAGGAATTATTTGCAGTCATGGACAGTTTGGTTGATTACAACGACACTGGCGATTACGATGCCTTATTCCTTGCAGTTCATAATGGAGATTTAAATTTTGCTCAGAAATATTCGTCAGCAAAAAAAATTCGTGGTAGAACATTGTTGCACGTGGCGGCAGCGAGAGGTCATGCAGAAATAGTAAAGATGTTTGCAAAACGAGATGAAGATGGAAATACACCTCTACATCTGGCCATAAAAGAAAATCAACCCACGGTGGTCAATTATCTTCTACAAGAGTGCAATGTGAATGCGAAAAATCTCAGGGACGAACGGCCAATTCATTACGCTGCTTTGTACAATCGTCAGGAATTTACAAAGAGTCTCATAGATAATGGTGCAAGCGTTAATGTGAAGGATATCGAAGGAAAAACACCGCTTGATCTTGCCTTGGCGAAGCAAAACCTTCAGACGGCAGAAATTCTTTTCAAAAACGGAGCTGCTTTAAGTGCATATGATTTGAAGTACATGGTCTCTCTTAGATCTGCTGCTCAAAGTGGGAATTTGGAAATGGTAAAACTGCTTATGTCGAAAGGGTTGAACAAAGTCGATTCTTCTCTTTCAACTGCAGTAACGCATGGCCATTTAGAAGTTGTGAAATATCTTATGGATAATGGCTTGAAAGAAAAAGAAACAATTATTGAAGATAGACAAGAGTTATTTCATAGAGCTATTAAGGCTGGTCGTTTAGATATTTTTCAATACTTGGTGGATGTGGGTGTAAAATCAGAAGAAGATCACTTTTATGATGCAATTTTCAGAAAGCGACATGACATATGGAAGTATTTATTCACATGCGCGTCGAAGATAAATGCCAAAACCTATTTCAGCGAGACCCTTCTTCATTCGTCAGTGCGCATGGGACATGTGGAAACAGTTAAAATACTCGTTAACAATCCAGCAGACGATTTTGAGCCGAACTCCTTAGCTAGCAGGTTGGCTGTTTACATTGCCGTTGAATACGGCAGTGAGGAAATTCTGCGAGTTCTTCTAAATGCAGGTTACTCCGTAGAAAGTTGCTTCGAAAATACAAGTCCCATTCACACTGCAGCGACATTCGAGCGCACGCGACTAGTGAAAATGCTCATAGGAGCTGGGGCTGATGTTAATTCTCAAACTAAACATCTTTACACCCCGTTACATTTTGCAGCAGCTGCAGGACAACCAATGGTTGTGAAGCTTCTTCTAGACAGTGGTGCTGATCCTTCTAAAGGAAAAAAATACAGTGAATTTCCATTAATAATGGTTTTTGATATGTTTTCACCTTCATCACTTCATTGCTCAATCATTCCAGCTCCAATGTTTAAGAAATTAATAAAAATTACAGAAATGCTAATTCCATTTTCTAAAAATGCTTCACAATTATTTCAATGTGCCTTTAATTTAAGGGTTTCAAGTAATTGCCGCAGTGAACAATGTGTTTCAAATTTCAAATCTGAAGATGAAGCATCAAACGAGGAAAACATGAAGAAATCGGAATTTCGTTCTGAAATCGTTGAATGCATATTTAATTACATGACTGATGAAGAAATAAAATCTTATTCAGAATCGTTAATAAATCATTATTGTCGAAGTGATTATACACTAGAACAATTGCAACTCATATTGGAATATAATGATTTTAAATCATGTGATACTATTCAAGTCAATTGTCCTAGGACAAATTATGAGAGCAAAGTGCTTCTGATCGGCTACTCTAAAAATGCGAAAGAACTTTGGAAAATGACGAGCACAAGATGTACTTCATGTTATTTAAATACCAGGAAGGATAAAGATAGAGAGTTTTGCAAGTTGATAGTTGCACGTTTAGTCCTATTGCTAACGAGGAATTGTCATCCGAGTGTGTACAGTTTTTGTGAAAAGAATCGACTTACTTCTTGGCGAAAGAAATGTGAAAAGGAGTGTGCCAGCATGAAAGAAACAAAAGTTACTGATGGCTTAAACATCACCTATTACGACGTTTTAACCGTATCTGTGAATCAACTCTCAATGTACGTGAAGAACGAGAATTTCCTTAAAGCAGTCGAATCCTCGTACTCAAACTTTCCAGCGTATGCTGATTTTCTGAAAATCAACGTTGAAAATGGAAAACGAAGAAAGAATTTTATGAATCAGTGCGTTACTTTAATGGACAGTTTAGTTAAAAGAAATCACAAAATTTGTATTTCCAATGCTAACATCAATCAAATTTTTCAATATCTCTCTGTCGTAGACTTGCGAAGATTTTCAGCAGTGTTTTTTTGAAATTTGTTCTTAACGTTGAACAAAGAAAGTAATTTTCTTGGTCATGGAATATCGAAATTATTTCCTCATTATTGTTTTCGAAAAGTTGCATATTTTTAACTAATATGAATAATAGATATTTTTCAAATGTCGCCATTGATTAAAACGTTGGCAATAATATCTACCTATACGTAACTATTTTTATATTTATTTTTGTTGCATTCAAAATGTTAAACGTTCACATAAATGAAACATAAAAGTCGTCAGTGTAAATTGTTTATCAATTGAAATGATATGTTACATAATTGTGGAATCCACTAAAATAATGTTATATTATATTAACCTTCGGGTTATTTCTTTGAATTGTTCGAAGATCAATAAAACCATACCTTATATAAAATATATAATATAAGTGTATTATTATAAAACTTTCCTTTTTTTATTGTATTTTCAAATAAATTAAATACATTTACAATTTGAAAAATTTAGATTTAAAAATTTTCAAATAGTTTTGATTTCATAAAATATTAGTATCCTTAATTAATAACTATTTTACGGTAGGTATATAAGTGTAAAATATCCCTAAAATATTAGGTTATTTTAAGAGAAAAATATAAACAGATAAAATTTTATGAATTTTAATTTGTACAGAGAACAGGCTTCATACTCAATAATTTTAAAAATAATAGCAGAAAATATCTTAAGGACAGAAAAAAAGTAGCTATCGAAAAATTAAACTTGACTACTCAATTTTTCTTTATAATTTCTTAATTACAATCAAAAATAGAATAATTTAATAAAATAAATATTAAAATACCTACTTATTTTGTCTACAGGAATCAAAATATTTCAAATGATTTCAATGTAACGCATTATGAAATTTAATAATTTCTAAAAATTACAAAAGTAGGTATAATACTTTCAAAATTCAATCATATTTCTTGAAATTTATAAATAAAATTATTCAAAATTTTAATCATTAGGTATATTTTATTAAATTCATCAATTTTATTAAAACTTTTTAAATTAATTGAAATCTTTCAAAGAATTTTCTTAAAGTTTTATTAATAATAGTTGCATTTTTCACACAATTCATTTAAAATTGTATTTCAAATAATTGAAATCCGGCTATGAGCTTTAATATTTACAAAAGTAATTGAATTCTTGCGAAGAATTTTATAAGAACCTATTTAAATAATTGATCTTTTTCGAAAAATATTAGAAGAATTCTGCTCTAAATAATTGAATTCCTGTGAAAATTTTTTTATTTATGAAAATAATTTAATGATAATTGAATAAATGAATGTTTTCGACGAATTTTATAAATATATGTTTTTTAAATTATTAAATTCTTTAGAGAATTTTTTTTATTAAAATTTTGAGATTAAACTACATAATACAGAACGAGGGGGAATTTTCTCAGGGAGTCAAGTGTACACTCTCCTGGTAATACTTGGTAATAGGTAATACTTAATAATACTTAGTAATGCCTGGTCATACGTACATTCTTTAAAAAACTTAAAAAATTTATTAGCATAAACAATTACATTTGTTCTAACAAATGATTCACTTATTAAACAAATAATTGGCTTATTTCTGCAAAAAGAAAAGCTGTTTTTCTTTTTTTACGAGTTTAATATCATAATGTAAAGTTCTACTTGATTATTGGTAACTAGATCATGCAATTATTGTTAATAACAATGGTAATTATTAAATTCAAAATAATTTTTTAGCAAAATAGGCATAAATTACTTAAATAAACATTTTGTTTGCAAAAAAACAATTTTTTTATGAACAATGACCAAAGTTATCTATTTGTTAATTAATATTGTTTTCAACAATTTAAATAAATTGCATTATGCATATTATTATTTATCTGGTACACATACTAGACTAATTTAAATTGATTTCGATCATGGGCAATGGAAAAATAAAAAAATAAACATGATTTTTTCTAAAAATATTGTAAATTGTTAACTTTGAGTAACAAAAAAATATAAACAAATAAAAATTCAAAAATCGGTTTAGAGAAATCTGTTATAAATTTTATCTCCTTTAATTTAAGTTTCATACTCGGAGACATTTAAAGAATATAATAATACAATTTTAATTTTTTTTGTTAGGACGTGAAGAACATATTTCTTTATTAACATTTTATAAACAAATAATATAAAAAATTTTTAAAATTAAAGGAAAATATTCAAATAGTGCAATTCAAGACGAAAATAATACAGATTTTGATTTTTAAATCCGTTAACTGGAACTCAAAAAAAAAATTTTTAATTTAGCAGTACTAAAAAACTCAATTGTTAATAACTTTTACAAAAAAATTTGTTGGCTTAATATTTTCAGGGATTATTCTTAACCACATTAAAAGGAAAACAAATATATTTTGGTTCAAAATGAAAATTTTTTAGATTTAGGTGATCCGTTTGGGAAATTCTGACACTTAAAAGAAAATTCAAACCAATTCAAATGATATTTTTTTTATTTATGTTTTTAAAAAGAGACAATTCTCAATTAAATTATTATTGTCTTTTGTATGTACGAATTATTTAATTATTTATTTCTCTGCGTTTCATTGTAGTTTTTATTTTAAATAAGATTTTTAAATAATTTTGTTGTAAATTCTACGTATAAAAAAGTGAAATTCAACGTGTTTAATTTTTTGAATGCGGGAATATTTTGAAAATAATAGGTAATACTTGGTAATAATTGGTAATACTTGATAATAATGATAATAAGTGGAACAGGGAGTCAAGTGTACACTATTTTTACTAGTAAATTCCCCCTCGATACAGAATAAATCAATTATTAATATAGAAATAATCTTTTTATAAAATAGATTTTTGCTAGACATAAATTTTTTAAAAATGTTAATAATATTGTCTGATATTACAGAAAAATGTTCAATAATTATAGATCAAAACATGAGCATTGAAAAGTTATACTAAACGTACGAAAACGATCGTAGGGAACGTTAGGAAAAGTGAAAAAATCGAATTTTAAAATATATTTAATAAGAAAATTCTTCTGAGGGAAGCGCTTCATTCGACGGAGACGATAGTAATAATAAAGATTAACATTGCAGACGAGACTTAAAATATAGAATACATTTTTCAGAATGTTTAGAGAATTTCCAATTATTATATTTAATTTAATGTTTAGAAAATGAAAACACTTAAAACGCAAAAGCTAATTTTCTCTTAACACTGAAAATACACTTTAAGAACAGGCCGCTGAAAATCTTCTCAAATCAACTGCTGAAAGATATTGAAAAATGTGATCCATATCGGAGATTGAAATTCGAATTTTGTAATTTCTTCCAATCAGATTGTACATAAGATTCACACACTCGTCCACTAAATCATTTCTCCTTCTTGCCATTTCAATTCTGACTTTCAAAAATACAGCATACGCCGGAAAATCGCTGTAGGAAGATTCTAGGCTTTGAAGAAAATTCTCGTTCCTCGTGTACTTTGCAAGCTTGTTGACTGATGTAGTCAATATATCGTAGAAAGTGATATTTAAACCCTCGTGAACCTTTGTTTCCTTCATGCTGACTTTTTGCTCTATACACTTCATTTTCCAACTCCTAATATTGTATCTTGGCCAATTCTTTAACTTTCTTAGATAATAACTGTCGGTTAACAACACTAAACGCGCCACTACCAACTTCAACAAATTTTTCTCATCTACTTTCACTTGAGCATAATCTGAATCGTAGGTAATTTTGGGTTCAATATTCCTGAGAGACTTAATGTTTTTCGTGTAACCAATTATAAGCGATTCGCACTCCGAATTGTCAAAACCACGTGCTTCAACAAATCCACATGATCTCGAATCGTCATATTCAATCAGTGAGTATAAACATTCTGGTGAGGACGTTAATCGATATGCATTCAAGGCAAATCTTGAAAGATTCTTGATTTCATTATCAGATAAGTAACTAAATATACATCTTAGAATATCGGGACGAAATTCTGAATTGCTGGCGTTCGTGTCAAATTCATTGTCATTAATTGTCATTCTTATACGACATGCAGTTGTCAGTAATTCCTGATCGATTTTTTTCATCACTCTTGGAGTTAACAATTCTGTAATTTTCACCAAATTTTTAAACATTGAAGCAGTAACGGTCACAGGATGTAATGAAGGACAAAACATTTCTAAAGCCTTTAATAAAGGTGTCCCATTACTGTAATCGCTCAGTTTAATGTGAGGATCAGCACCCTTTTCTAACAGAAATTTGACAGCAGTTGGTTGTAATGCATATGCTGCAAAATGTAATGGGGTGTAATTTCCAACAGATTTTGAATTAATGTCAGCTCCGGCTTTCAATAATAATTCCGTTAATCTCGTATTCTCAAATGTTGCAGCAACGTGAAGAGGTTTTATACCTTCAAATTCAAGGCAACCCTCGAATGAAAAGCCCTCACTTAGAAGAATTGCCAGCATATCTTCGTCGCCATTTTCAACCGCAATGTGAACGGCTAATTTGTCAGCTTCAGAAGTAGGTTCGCATTCGTCTTCTGGATTACTTACAATTGCTTTGACGAGTTCCACTTGTCCTGCGCGTATGGCCGAATGAAGTTCTGACTCATGTGAAGAGGTATCTGCATTCGCTTTAGAATTAGACGTTAATAAGTATTTCCAAATGTCATACTTTCTCCAACGCATAGCGCAATCTAACAAATTTTCTTTCGCTTTCACACCAGCATCAATTAAATATTTCAAAATATCTAAATATTTATACTTTAAACACGTTTCTAAAAGAAGCTTCCCATCCTTCTCTATTATTTTACTGTTTTTAAATCCATTTTTCATCAGATATTTTACAACTTCTAAATGACCAAATGACACAGCTGATACAAGAGGACAGTTTTCGTTGGTTACAGTACTGAATTCGTCCCATTTTTTTGTCTGTTGCTTTTTGAATGCTTCAAATATTTTAAAATCGACTGTGGAATGGCGTTGAAGTTCGTTACAACATTCTTCACTCAGAAAAGAGCCATTTTTAAACAGAAGTTTTGCCAACTGAACGTTTTGTTTCGATATAGCAAGATAAAGAGGCGTTCGTCCTTTACCATCTTTGACATTAACAATCGCGCCGTTTTCCAGAAGAGACTTTGCGAACTCAAAGCGATCATTCGCTGCAGCGTGATGCAGTGGCGTTTCGTCCCTGTAATTTCTCGAGTTGACATTAAATTCTTCGACTAGCAAATCGAATACTGCAGCATGGTTTTCCCTCACTGCAAGATGCAGAGGAGTGTTGCCGTCTGCATCGCGTTTTGTGAAAAGTCGAACAATTTCTTCGTGTCCTCTGGCTGCCGCTACGTGCATCAATGTTCTCCCACAAATTGTTTGCGTCGCAGAACTTTCTGCCAGTAAATTGCGAGCAATATTTAATTTACCATCATGAATGGCAAGAAATAGTGAATTGTAGCACGAAGAGTCATTATAGTCACTTGACGTGTCCATGATCCTTCCATTAATAGTTCTGAAACAAAAATTGTAACTATAATTGTATCAGGCGATTAGAATGAGTAAAAAATATTTACATTTTCAAGAATTGTTATATTATTCCAACCAAATGTGACACGCTCTCAAAAGAAGTACCTAAGAAGCACTTTTTGACAATTAATACTTTTGTTTTTCTAGAAAATACTATTTATATTAATATTTTATTTATTTCTGATTTTCAATTTGTTCTCTCAGCGTAAAAGATTACGAATCTGAACTTAGATTTAAAAAATTCAAAATGGTGACCCCGAAAACCCCCGAATAAAAAGTTTCAAGCAAATTTGACCAGAGTTATAAAAACTGTTCACTATTTTCAATTGTTTAAATTTGACTTTAGATTCCTAATCAGCGATCCCAAAAACCATTGAGTAAGAAGTTTTAAGCGAATTTGAAGAAATTTTGAATAATTAGATTTCGCTATTTTCTTATAAATATTGTACCTATTGTTTACAATTATTATAATCGCATTACACGGAAAAAAATAGTGTGCTAAAAACACATAAGCGAAACTGTTGTGTATAATGCACGCACGTTGGGTATATTCACGCACACCACCATGCGTGATTTGCTTGGAATCCATACTATTTTCGCATGGTGCCTTAGCGAAAGCCACATGAGCCATGGCTTTTACTACAACACCATGCGAAAATAGGATGGATTCCAAGCAAATCACGCATGGTAGTGTGCGTGCAATATACGCAACAGTTCGCTATCTGTGTTTTTAGCACACTATTTTTTTCCGTGTATGTAATTTTTTATTTTTTTTACAAATAGTTCTTGTCAATATAAGAACATCTATTTATTTTTGGTAATAAATTTAATTTTTTTCATCAGGTATCCAATATATTTTATTTGTTTTTAACAAAATATTCCCATTCTATTACATTAAATTTAACATAAACAATGTAGAAAATAATGCAAATTGTAGATTCGTAACTATACGAATTAAACATACATAAATAATTTTCTTATAATCTGAAAAAATTTTTTGTGTACGCTGCTGAAAATCTTCGTAAATCAAATACCGAAAGATACTGAAAAATTTGGTCGATATCGGATTTTGAAATTTGAATTTTGCCATTTCTGGCAACCAGATGGAACATATGATTCACACAATCGTCCATTAAATCATTCCTTATTTTTCCTTTGTCGATACTGACTTTCAAAAATTCAGCATACGCTGGAAACTTTGTGTAGGAAGACGCGATGCTTTGAAGAAAATTCTCATTCCCCGTGTATTTTGCGAATTTGCTGACTGGTGAAGTTAATACATTGTAGAAAGTGATATTTAAATTCTCATCAACCTTTGTATTTTGCAAGCTAACTTTTTGCTTTCCGCATTCCTTTCTCCAATCGTTTAAATTGTGTTTCCTACAAAATTTCGACACTCTCGAATTATATTTATCGATTATCAGTACCAGACGCGCAACTATTAATTTCAAGAAGACGGTCTTATCTTTTCCGTGCAGTTGAAAAGATGCATCGTTCTTAAATTCAACATCTATATTTGTGAGATTTTTAACACTGTCGGCGTAACTAATTAAAAGCAAATTACACTCATAGGAATTTTTCCAAAGTCGTATTTCGATATCAGAACAAGATTTAAAATCATTGTATTCCATTACAATTTGCAAGAGTTCAGGAGAGTCAATTGATTTATCCTCCTTTCCATTCAAGGCGGATAGGGATAAACTTTCCACTTGATCTTCTTTTAGGTAATTAAATATGACTTTAATCATTGCAAGTTGAAATTGTAAATTACTGCCATCTTGCTCTGATTTGCTCGCTTCTTTCGATGTCTGTCCATACGAATTTAAATCACTTTTGTCTCTCGAAACCTTCATTTTGATTGCGTAATGCCAGTAATCTGGTTTTACTTTTACTTTTGGGATAAGTAATTCCATAACTTTTAAAAATTTTTCATACGTTACAGTAGTAATGGTTGGACCATTTCCAAATCGTCCGGTAAGCATATCTAATGCAAATTCTAATGGTGAGGAACCATAACAACACCTTTTAGAAGGATCAGCACCTTTTTCTAATAGAAATTTAACAACATTCGGCTGTATTGCCCCTGCTGCGTAATATAATGGGGTGATTTTTTCTTGAACTGTTGAATTAATGTCAGCTCCAGCTTTCAAGAGTAGTTCTACTAATCTCGTGTTGTCGAATGTTGCAGCAACGTGAAGAGGTTTTATTTCTTCAAAACAACCTCTAGAAGGAAAGCCTCTATTTAAGAGAACTTCTAGTATATCTTCATCGCCATTTTCAACGGCAATGTGAACGGCTAATTGGCTTGTCAGAGAGTCAGGTCTGTAATAGTTTGCTGGATTGTTTATGATTATTTTAACAGTTTCCACTTGTCCTGCACGTATCGCCGAATGAAGCTCTGTTTCTTGACAACATGTACTTGCATTCATTTTAGAAGTAGACCTCAATAAATATTTCCAAACGTTATAGCACTTCCAAACTAAAGCCATAGGTAAATAATTTTGATCTGTTTTCATACCCACGTCGACTAAATATTTTAAAATGTCGGCTCGGTCTGGTTTCACACAGTATATAAGTATTTCACAACGATCTTCAGTGATGGTTTTAACATGTTTATCGCCTTTCTTCATCAGATACTTTACAACTTCTAAATGACCTTGATTTACTGCAGCTTTAAGAGGACAATCGTGGATTCCTCCGTAACTATCGACTGTTTTACACCCGTTCGTCATAAGCAATTTAACGATTTCCAAATTCCCGCTTTGAGCAGCACAATATAGAGGTTTAAATTTGTTTAAATATTCTTTACTCATGACTGCGTGACTATCAAACAGAATTTCTGCTAACAGAACGTTTTGATTTGTCAGAGCCAGGTGAAGAGGTGTTTTTCCCTCATTGTCTTCTACGTTAACCGTGGCACCATTTTCGATAAGAGCTAACGCAAATTCAATTCTACTATCCGCTACAGCAAAATGGAGTGGCCGTTCACCCCTGTTATTTTCCGCGTCTACATTGCATTCTCCGACAATTTGATTGAACACCTCCGTCTGGTTTTCCTTTATCGCAAGGTGCAGAAGACTGTTTCCACCTCTATCTCGTTTCGCAGTCAACAGAACCATTTCCTCCTGTTCTTCGGCTGTATGCATTGACGTTTCTCCACTCTCTGTTCCCTTGTCAGAATAATGTTTAAGAAAAGCTTGAATAAGATTCAATTTGTGAACATGATCAGGAGAAACCAGTGGGTCACTTCCATCGGAAGGGTCACTGCCATCATTCGAGTTATCCATAACCGCAAATGGATAAATTACAATAAGTACCGAACTGTTGGAATTTCCGTTGATGAATGTCACACTTTTAAATAGAATTAGTATGAGTCGATTATAAATTCTGTAACAAAAACCATAAAACCTGCTTTATCTTTTTAGTGAATACACTTTATTTTTAAAACAAATGTTACAAATAAATAAAATGCATTAAGTATATTAAAAATCTTTGCTAACTTTAATTAAATATATAATTTCCACATGAGGTTTCCGTTTTCTGTTTTTCAGACTTTTCGGTTTATAAGCTCCGATATTCCTTACATCTAATACTAAAAAATATATTTCAAAATTTGTATATATTCTTTTAATCGATTATCGGAATATTTATAAATAAAACACTATTCCATTAGTTGTGCAACGTTTCGATTGTCTTGGTTTGACATCATCATCAGGCCACTTTATTAAACAATGAAATATTTTTTTAAATATTAATTTACGAATAAAATCAAATTACGATTTTTACAAAAACAAAATTAATATCTAACATCTAACATTTGTTTTCTTTTTGAAAAAATCTTAATTTTATTTTTTTCTTAAATTAATAATTAAAAAAAATATTTAATTGTTTAATAAAGTGGCCTGATGATCGTGTCATACCAGTAACTAATGGAATAGTGTTTTATTTATTACTCTTCCGATAATTGATTAAAAGAATATTAATAAAATTCAACAGCGGAAGAAAGAATCAACTATATACATTACTATGGAGGGGAAATTAAATGATTTTTTAAAATTCTAATTGCAAATGAAATTGACATATTCCCTCTATGCGAGGAAAACCATTGCTCAGTAAAGTATGAATTCATATTCGGATTTGAATTTTACAGTGCCATTGAAATCGCTCTTCGCACTGTTTTACTGTAAATTTACAGAATCTTGTATTTCTAACCTCAAAAACATTAATATATAATAAACTGCTAATATGTAAATCTTAATTGCATATAAAATAATTAATAAAAACTGATTTCAGTTTTACACAAGTAAACAGAAACTTAATTTTAATTAAAGTAAAAATGATACAAACATAACCTTAAAATGTTTTGCTTATTATAGGTATACCTTTCTTCGGATCGTGTCACAAATAATAAATGTAAATTTAAGGCAGAATATTCATTAATAGGTCAAAAGATGAGTTATTTAAAATTACATTAAAGAGGACAGGATAATATTTATAATTCGGAAAAGCTATTTCCATAAGTTGTCTCCCAAAGAAATCTACAAATTGGTGATAAAAATATTGCTCTACCTTGTAGTTTTCAGAGGAATATGACAAAACATAATGTTGATAATCATACATACACATCAGTTTTTATTTAAATAAAACTTCATTTAAGGGAGAATAAACAAATATGTATACTGTATTTAATATAAATACATAAATTAACTTATATGTTACTAAAAAAGACTAATGCTTACCACAGTGCAATTTCTGGACATTATATGTTATTAGGAAACTCGAGTTGATAAATCGGGGAGAGAAAACATTCAATTCATATAACTATATATATATTGTAAAGAGATGAATTATGTAAACTGACTGATTTTTACTCCTAGTTCATTTTATAAACACAAATTTATTGTTTTTTTTAAAGGCATTTAGAAATTAACACAATTCTTTTTTTCCCTTCTAAATATAAGGCGGTACATATACGACGGTCGGCAGAAAAAAAATTTACCAAAAAATGTCAAAAGAGCCTTCACACCAAACTATAAGGGTGTATCTACAATAGTTTAAAAATCCATTTGTTTTGTCTGATTTAATAAGTAATTGCACATTTTGCATATGAATTTACAATAATTTGCTTTAAATTTAGTGATTTAAAGTAAATTCATATGCAAAATGTGCAACTACTTTGAATCAGACAAAACAAATGTTTTTTCAGCTTTTGTAGCAGAAAATCATGAGAGTGAAAAGAACAACAATGTCTATCTATCTCTTATGCACACATGATTTTCTGCTTTCGGTCACCCGGGGCTCGTCGGATACGGGTGCTTTCGGTCGACCCACCCTAAGGTTGAGTCCACAATAGAACTTTTGAAAGGAACGTAAACGTAGCGAAACAATGCTAAGTGTGAGAGAGATGGAGATATATATTCGCTATATTTGTACTATATATTAGCCGGTCGAAGGATATTTCTACATTGTCATATCCTTATGTTGAACATAACATAAATGTAAAAAAAATCAATTGTATTTTTTACGTTTACGCTATGTTCAACATAACATTAGAATATAAAAAGAAGCCTATTGTGGACATAGCCTGAAGGCTCCGTATCCATAAAAGTTTGACGTAAACGTAAAATTTCCAATTGAGAGAATATTTTTTCGTAGTACGCCGGTGCAGATAAATTGGCTACAAGATAATTTTTCGCCATCTCGTCAAAAGCTAGTGAAATACTGAAATACAACATCTGGAAAGATCAACTGAGGTTAAAACACGTCACCAAAGACCAATGTATTTTGAGTAAACAGCTGTAAAAGATCTGTTATTATATTCTTAATGTTCGCAAAGTGAATGAGTGCCGGAATTTACAAATGTTGATTAATAAGGATTACTATGTATTCAGGAAATTCAACCTTCATTGGAGAAACGTGGAGTTTATGTTGACCTAACCTCTGTTTTCTATCAAAAAAGTTTTAGGTAAATATTACCTTTTATTTTAAATTCAACAACATGTTTAATCACTTTTAGTAGAATTTACTCATAACTACGAAATTATTATTAAATATTAAATTTTATTAAATAAAAAATTCAGTACAGATATGAAGAATTATTATTTCAATTCAAGTGAAACATGAAGGTGAAAGTTTTGTCATATTATTTATTTATTATTAGACCAGTATGTTAGTAAAAATAGGGAGTTATGACTAAATAACTAAAGCTGGATAAATAAGAAATAAACGCTGTTGAGACAGTTAAAGAAAATGCACAAATGACGAAGTTAGTCAACTTACACTATTTTGATAGTTACATAAAATACTTATTATTCCTGCAATTTTTTATTCACAAATTTAATGATGATGTAAATAAACATCTCAATATATTATCTTCACAAAAAAATATTCTCAATTCGTTGTGTGCAAAAATTTATTAGACCAAACTAAAAATTAATTTATTTCACATTTTGTTACTCATTTAAAGTATTCTAAGCATATCTTCTGTAGTTTGGTTTGTTTAGATTATGATCTTTTCATTTTTCGTATGCTAAAGAAAATATAAAATTAAATTATTTTCGCATAATTTTGAAAGTAGAGTTTTAATAAATTGATAATTAATTGTAACTGTAAGGTCATTATTATTCAGAAGTTAAATTTCAATTCACATTTAAAATTGTTTTTTAAGTAATAAACATTTAAATTAATATCGAAAAAAGTTTTTGTGTATTCATAATTTTTTCTTATTTTAGCCTTTTGCTTATAATCCATTAAGAAATTAAATATTTTTATTTGAAAATATACAATAATATCTTCTTTAACGGTAACCAAAGAAATATTTTAAATAGTAACTTCATTAAGCTTTCACTCTAAAAATAATTAAATACTCAAAACAATGTATATTCTTTTATGTTTTAAAATAATTTAAATTTCCATAAAATTCTTCAAAAAAAAATTTAATTATTTACAAAAATCTTAAGAAAATCTTTACAAAGAATTCAATTATTTTTACAAATAATAAAATTTTTCACATGAATTCAATTATTTTCATAAATAATAGAATTTTTCATAGGATTTCAATTATTTTTAATACAATTTTAAATAAATTCCTCGAAAAATGTAATTATTTTCAAAAATTTTTTGCAAGAATTTAATTACATTTCACGAATTTAATGAAATTATTCGTTGAAATTTAAATATTTTCAGAATCTACTATTTTAATAAAATTTCTCAAAAGAATTCAATTATTATTTTCATAAATAATAAAATTTTTTGGAGAAATTTATTTTTTTTTGTAAATAGTAAAACTCATCGCAAGAATTTAATTAATTTCAAAAATTTTAATAAAAAAAAATAAAAAAAATTTCAATTATATATTTAAAAAAATATTAATAAAATTCGATGTAAAAATTTAATTATATTCATAAATAATAAAATTTTCACAAGAATTCAATTGTTTGAAAGTATTTTTATAAAATTCTTCGCAAGAATACAATTATTTTTATAATTAATAAAATTCTTCTGTGGAATTCAATTATTTTTATTAAAAATTTTAATAAAATTCTTTGCAAAATAAAATTATTTTCACAACTAATAAAACTCATCGAAGGATTTTAAATATTTTTAATGCAATTTTAAATGAATTCGTTGAAAATTACAATTATTTATCAATTATTTTCAATAATATTTGCAAAAGTTCCTTGGAAATTTTCAAGTTTACAATTCAATTTTATGAAATTTCGATTATTCAGAAATTTTCCAATTAAATATTTTGAAAATAAAAACTTCAAAGAATTTCAAAAAAATTTAATTAAACTTTTTCAAAAAAAATTAAATGTACAGAATTGCCAGTTAAAAGTATGAAAAAGTCAGATTTTCAAAGATTTTAATTTGAAACCTTTTCAAAATTCAATTATGTATTAAGAATTTAGTTTTGCAGCATGTGACATCAAACTTTCGCCATAGTTGTTGCTTTAAAATTTCAAACATCTCTCGAGCTTGTATTTTAAGCTGCATGCCTTCAGTCTCATTCTTTAAGTCTAGCTTTAAGTGTTTCGACTCTGGACCGGAAAGCCGAAAAACAATTTTTGAAAAGCGCTCTTGTGATCTCAGTTCAACTAACATTACGAAACTGACAATAATTATAATATTCATAAACGGTGCTGGGAACAGGCTTTACCATGACCTTTTCGAACCTCTAAATTCTTTTTAAAGCAAAATTATAATGTTATAATAAAAATGACTTTTCATTTTTTTTCTGAAAGCAGAAATTAGTTTACCACTTTAACTTCATTAAAATTTATGTAATTTTTTTTTTAAAAAACATTTATAAAAAAGCTCTGCGGAAATTTTGCAATAAAGCTTTTTATTCATTCACTTAATTACAGGAATCACAGTTAGTTCCATTTTTCCCCTTATTCATCCCCATAAATTAATAAAATTTCCTATAACACCTAAAATTGTGCATATTCTCTCTTTTTCCTTTCTCTTTAAGACAATCTTTAAAAAATTGTCATTTTTTGTAAGTCTGAAAAATAAAAATTTTAAAATAAATGAAATTTTCCAATTTATTATTGTTATGCAAATTACAAAAAATTTTTTTTTCAAATATAAATTTTTTAAATAATTTTATAATCAAAACTTAAAACATTCACTTATTAAGTACCTACAAAATTAATTATTACTGTTCATATTTTCAAAAATTTTAATTGAATTCCTCGAAAGAATTCAATTAATTTTATAAATAGTAAAATTCTTTGCAGGAATTCAATTATTTTAAAAAAAGTTTTGATTTTTTCATAAAATTTTAAAAAATTCTTTGAAATAATTCAACGATTTTTGTAAATACTACAATTCTTTGCAGGAATTAAATTATTTTTAATTCAATTTAAATAAAATTACACGAAAGAATTTAATTATTTTCAAAAATTTCCATAAAATTCAATTTCAACAAGAATTTAAAATTCTCTAAAAATAATTCAATTATTCTCAAAATATTTTTAAAAAATTCTATATAAAAATTAAATTACTTCCAATGCAATTTTTAAATATATTCGTCAAAAAAATTGAAAGAATTCAATTATTTTCAAAAAATAATAAAATTTTTGTGATGAATTCAATTATTTTCGAAACAACATTAATTGAATTTCTCGAAAAAATTTCATTATTTTTCAAATATTTCTATAAAAATCATAATAACAATTTAATTATTTCTTAAAATTTTAATAAAGTCTTCGAAACATTTCAATTATTTTTATAAATAGTACAATTCTTCGCAAGAATTCAATTATTTTCAATACAATTTTAATAAAATTCTTTTTCATAAAATTCAATTGCTTTCAAAATTTTCAATTAATGTTAATAAAGAAACTCCATTAGTTTAAAAAATATTCAAAGAAATTCTTCCAAAGAATTTAATTGGGATTTTTTAAAATTTTAATAAAATTCTTCGCGAGAATTCAGTTATTTTCGTAAATAATAAAATTCTTTGAAGGAATTCTATTATTATCAAATTTTTTGATGAAATTCTTTGCAACAATTCGATGCTTATTAATACATTAATTTTAAAATTGGAAATATTTGAAAAGAAAAATTATAAAATAGTTAAGAAACACAGGCTTTACAGTCTGTCCTCTATTTCCCTAAAAGCAAGTCCCCTTTTTTTAATCAGGGTGTCTAACGGTCAGGGAAGTCAGGGAAAAGTCATGGAAAAGTCAGGGAATGTCAGAGAATTTTATTGAAAGTCAGGGAAATTTCTAAAAATTTATACAAAAATTAAAATTTTTTTAACCTAAAAAAACTTAGAAGATTTTTGTCACCGTTTTTTTCTATCATTAGATATTAATTTATTGTTAAATGTCAGTTACCAAATTTTTGTCTCAAGAAAGCAAAAATAAAATTAGTAAAAGGTCAGGGAAAAAGTCATGGAAAAGTCAGGGAATTTTTTTCTCAATCCTTGTTAGACACCCTGTTAATTTTGGCCCCTAAACGTACCCTATTTTGAAAATTTCCCCTAAATTTCACCTATTTTTTTCGTCGCAGGAAATCAATTATTTTCAATAATTTTTAAGTAATTCTGCAAAAGAATTCAATTATCTTGATAACCAACAAAATTCTCCCCATAAAATCAATTATTTTAAGGATTTTTAATGAATTTCTTTTCCAAAATTCAATTATTTTGATAAATATCAAAATTCTTTTCAAGAATTCAATTATTGTCACAAATTTTAATTAAATTCTTGGCAAAATTTAAATTATTAAAACAAAATTTAATAAAATACTTTGCACGAATTCAATTATTTTTATAAATTGCAAAATTTTTCGCCAAAAATTCAATTATTTTGAAAAATTTAAATAAAATTCTTTGCAACATTTCAATTATTTTCAAAAGTGCTTCACAATTCAATGATTTTCAATATTTACTATTTTCATAAAATTTATCACAAAATTTAATTATTGAAAAAATTTTTGAGACAATTCTACGAAAATACTCAATTATTTTCATAAATAATAAAACTTCATTTACGAATTCAATTATTTTCATCGCAGAATTTCAAATATTTTTAATACAATTTTAAATAAATTACTTGAGAAATGCAATTATTATTAAAAAATTTTATTAAAACTTGAGGAAAGAATTAAATTTTAAGACACATTCAATTATTCAGTAAAACAATAAAATTCGTTGCAATAATTCAAATATTCTCACAAATAACATTTAATTCGTCGCAGAAAATCAATTATTTTCAAAAATTTTTAAGTAATTTTGCAAAAGAATTCAATTAGCTTGATAAACAACAAAATCGCATAAATTCTTCCCATAAAATCAATTATTCTAAGGAATTTTAATAAAATTCTTTTCTAAAATTCAATTATTTTGATAAATATCAATATTCATCACAAGAATTCAATTCTTTTGAAAAGTAATAAAATCCTTTGTAGAAATTCAATTATTTTCAAAAATTTAAATAAATTTCAATTATTTTCAAAAGTGCTTCACAATTCAATGATTTTCAATATTTACTATTTTCGTAAAATTTATCACAAAATTTAATTATTGAAAAAAATTTTTGAGACAATTCTACGAGAATACTCAATTATTTTCATAAATAATAAAATTTCATTTACGAATTTAATTATTTTCATCGCAGAATTTCAAATATTTTTAATACAATTTTAAATAAATTCCTTGAAAAATGCAATTATTATTAAAAATTTTATTAAAACTTGAGGAAAGAATTCAATTTTAAGAAACATTCAATTATTCAGTAAAACAATAAAATTCGTTGCAATAATTCAAATATTTTCATAAAAATAACATTTAATTCGTCGCAGAAAATCAATTATTTTCAATAATTTTTAAGTAATTCTGCAAAAGAATTCAATTATCTTGATAACCAACAAAATTCTCCCCATAAAATCAATTATTTTAAAGATTTTTAATGAAATTTTTTTCCAAAATTCAATTATTTTGATAAATATCAATATTCATCACAAGAATTCAAGTCTTTTAAAAAGTAATAAAATAATTTGCAGAAATTAAATTATTTTCAAAATTTTCGTCAAGAATTTAATTATTGTCAAACATTATTTTTTGAAAATTCTTCTCAAGAAGTCAATTATTTTCAAAAATTTTAATAAAATTCTTCTCATAAATTCAATTGTTTTCAAAAATTATTATTTAAATTCTTCTCAGGAATTCAATTATTTTTAAAAAATTTAATAAAATTCTTCAAAAAGTTTTCAATTATTTTCAACAATTGTTATAAAATTCTTTAATATAATAAATTTCATTAAAATTTCAATTAAATTTCTTAATGGAAATTAAATATTTTCAAAAGTTGTTAATACAATTCTTCCTAAAAAATAAATTTTACGAAACATTCAATATTATTTATTTTTGTATGAAAATAATTGATTTCTCGTAGAAATAAATTATTGTTTTTCGTTCTTTTAACTAACAATTCTGTGGAATTAATTTCTTTTGAAAAAGTTTAATTGAATAATAATTGATGTTATTGATTTAAAGTAGAATTTTAGTTCAAAATTCTAGAAAATGTTAATTGAATTGAAATGATAGAAATAATTTTGAAGAAATTACAGTAACAAGATTCTTATAATAATAAACTAATGATTTTATCACTGGGTTATTTTTAATTATTATAAAACACAAAGAAATGGATCCATTTCTTTATGTTTTATAATGATATTCTTATGAGTTGTTCAATTTGAAAAGGTTTGAATTTAAAATTTTTAAACATCTTAATTCCAATGAAAAAAAATGATTAAATATTTATTTTAAATAAAACTATTGATGTTTTCGACTAATTTTACTTTTGAAGAAATTTGTAAATAAATTAAATATAACATTTTTTTGAGTATCTAATAATTTTTAGAGTGAGTCGCAGAATATTCTTTAGGGTCAGGGAAAAAGTCAAAGTTGTGTTTTTGGAAATCAGGGAAAAGTCAAGGAAAAATAAAGTTAAATTTTTGTGGTCCCTTAAAAGTCCCCTATTTCCCCTAAAATACTTCTTAGGGGCATTGTGAAGCCTGTTGAAACAAAAAAGCAAACAACAACTAATTAATGAATTAACGAATTAATTATTGAACTATTGATTTTAGAATCGAATGCAAGAATGATATCGAACGGTGTCCAAAGTCATGCGCCAGAAGACAAGGGAGCTGCTTCGAAGAGCAGCCTCTCCTCGACAAATTCAACTTTGAATTCGCCTCTGATGAAGCTCTCCTCGTACTTCCTGGCGGTCCGGCCCTGGTCCCTGAGCGCCTCCCTGATGCCGACGCTGCTGGGCTCGGCACTCGCCTACCGAACGACGGGAATCGCAAGTTTCAGCTGGATCTCCTTCGTGCTGACTCTCTACACGATAATCTCGGTGCACGGCGCTGGCAACGTGGTGAACACATACTTTGACTACATTAAAGGAGTGGACAGTCGCAAGAGCGACGACAGGATACTGGTCGATCAGCTGCTCTCTAAGGACGAACTGGTGTCCCTGGGCGCGCTGCTCTACGCGGCAGGCTGCCTGGGCTTCGTCCTCTTGACGACCATATCGCCCGCGAAGATGGAGCACCTCGCCCTCGTCTACTTCGGCGGCCTCTCCTCGTCCTTCCTCTACACGGGGGGAATCGGCCTCAAGTACATTGCGCTCGGTGACGTGATTATTCTAGTGATATTCGGCCCCATCTCGGTGCTCTTCGCCTTCATGGCCCAGACCGGCTTCATCGCCTGGGAGACCATCTACTTCGCCGTTCCCCTCGCGCTCAACACTGAGGCCATTCTGCACAGCAACAACACGAGGGACCTGGAGAGTGACAAAAAGGCTGGCATCGTGACCCTCGCCATTTTAATCGGTCACACGGCGTCCCATGTTTTATACGCGTTTCTACTCTTCACGCCGTACATCATCTTCGCAGTCCTCGCTCTACGATACTCAATTTGGTTTCTACTGCCACTGATAACGGTTCCAACGGCCTTCAAAATCGAAAAGCAATTTCGTGATCCCACCATGATCCAGAGTGTTCCCAAGCAGACCGCGAGGCTCAACATGTACCTCGGGATACTCTACGTCGTCGCCTGTCTCGCGGCAGAGCCTCTTCCCTACTTATAATTCAAAAGACTTTCCGATCCGAAATGCAATTCCGAAGGGGACATTGGAAGTCGTTTCAATGGGAGTCTAAAGGCGCTGGCCTCCAGGAGATTTAGCTACAAGCGGAGTTAGACACCGAAAGAAGAGAGAGACTGGTAGACAATGACACAGGGTGTCTACTAACCGGGAAATAGCCGGAAAAAACCGGGAATAAACCACGAATTTTATGCCAAACCGGGAATGTTTCACCAAATTAAAAAAAGTTTTATTTTTGGTTTTTAAAAAATCGCTTTTTATTTCAATTTTTATAGATATATACCGTTCTCTAAATTTCAATTAGTTAAAAATAATTAATTTGATACTAAAAAATCAGTCTCACTGATTCAAATATAGAATGTAAATATATTAACAAAAAATTATCAAATTAACCACTTGAGCGGCAGGGCGTCAGAATTGGCGTCAGCGTGCAAGTGACAGAAGCGGCAAAAATGCGAAAAAGGCGTCAAAATTTGACTACTATTTTCTCATTCTGTAAGGAGATTTATAATATCACAACAAAGTATTTTTCTTTCTTAAAGTGAAAGAACAGACCTGTAAGCAAAAAAAATGTTTTTTAAAATATTTAAATAAGTTTTCAAGGATCAAAGCTAACAATATTTAATAGTTTGATATTAGTGGCGTTTCAATTTCTACCACAAAAAGTCCAATTTTTCTTCACGAAATCGAAATATTTAAAAAAGCATTTTTTTGTTTAAAGATCTGCTCATTTACTTTAAAAAAGAAAAATACTTTGTTGTGATATTATAAATCTCCTTACAGAATGAGAAAATAGTAGTCAAATTTTGACGCCTTTTACGCATTTTTGCCGCTTCTGTCACTTGCACGCTGACGCCAATTCTGACGCACTGCCGCTCAAGTGGTTAATAGAAATTTTGTGAAATTCAACTAAAGATAATAAAATTTATAAAAGAATTTCATTAAAAACTTTTTAACAAATCGAATTTTCAAAATATTTTAATTTAATAATTGATAAATAATTGAATTTTATAAAGAATCACATTCTAATGTATTCATGTTTCTTTGTGCGAAAATAATTAAAATTTTTATTACTTAATTTAAAGAAAAGATACACACTTAAATTTTTTTAATAAATTTGAATTTTTGCAAAGTTTTTTTTGAAAATTCTTAAACTAATTGAATTATTATGAAACTAATTAAATTATTGCAAGGACTTTAATTTTATTTATTATTTTATTGAATAATTAAATGTTTCGTAAAATTTAATTCTTTCGTCGACTTTTAATAATATTTTTAAGAATAATTGCATTTTTCGAGAAATTTATTTAAAATTGTATTAAAAATATTTGACATTCTGCAATGACAATAATTGAATTCAAAAGAAGAATTTTATTAAATTTTGTTTAAGTAATTGAAATTTTGCTAAAAATGTTATTAATATTTTTGAAAATGATTGACTTCTTGAGAAGAATTTCACTACTTATTTATAAAAATAACTTATTTTTTGACGACAATTTTTTAAAAATTTTGTAAATAATTTAATTTTTGTAAAAAAAAATTGAATTGAATTGAAATTGAATTCGAATTCTTTCGTCGAGTTTTAATTAAAAATTTAAAGCATTTTTTGAGGAATTTATTTAAAATTGTATTAAAAATATTTGAAATTCTGCGATGAAAATAATTGAATTCCTAAAAGAAACTTTAATATTTATGAAAATAATTGAATCTTTTCGTAGAATTGTCTCAAGTAATTTTTTTCAATAATTAAATTTTGTGATAAATTTTATGAAAATTGTAAATATTGAAAATCATTGAATGGTGCAAAGCTTTTGAAAATAATTGAAATTTTGCAAAGAATTTTATTTAAATTTTTGAAATTAATTGAATTTTTGGTGAAAAATTTTGCTATTTATAAAGAAAATTGAATTCTTGACGAGATATTCGTTAAAATTTTGAAAATAATTGAATTTCTACAACGAATTTTATTACTTTTGAAAATATAATTGAATTTATGTGATGAATATTGTTATTTATGAAAATAATTGAATTTCAGTGAAGAATTTTATTGTCTATAAATATAATTGCCTTAAAACTTTTGAAATCTATATTAATATATTTTTTTCATTAATTGAATTGTTTCGAGAAAATGTAATTAAAATTGTATTAAAAATAATTTAATTCTTGGCAAGATTTTTATTAAAATTCTTTAAAATAATTGAATTGTTTTGAAGAATTTATTTCAATTTTCTTGAAAATAATGGAGTTTTTTTAATCATTTTTACTGAAAATTTTGAAATTAATTGAATATTACGAAGATTCTCTTTTAAGTGTTGAAAATAATCGTGTTTATTATATTACTTGTAATCAATGATTTTCCTATTAAATTATATTAAAATTATTCATAGAAAATTAACTTCTTTCAAAGAATTTTATTTAAATTTTTCGAAAATAATCAAGGGAAGTTAGTCTCCGTAATTATAATTTTATTTTCAAAAATTTCTTCGCAATATATTCAATTATTTTCATAAATAGTAAAAGTTTTTGCAGAATTTCAATTATTTTTAATACATGTTTAATTAAATTCCTCGAAAAATGTAATTATTCTTAAAAATTTTATTAAAATTCGTCGAAAGAATTCAATTATTTCTTGAAACTGAAAAAAAATCTTCTCAAGAATTCAATTATTTCCATAAATAGCAAAATACTTCGCAGAAATTCAATTATGTTTATAAATTTTTTTTATTCTCCTCAAAATTTCAATTATTTTTATAAATAATTAAATTGTTCTCCACAATTCAATTATTTTGAAAAATTTTTAATGAAATTCTACGCAAACATTTAATTATTTTCATAAATATGTAATAACATTCTTTGAAAGGATTTAATTACTTTTATAAATAGTAAAATTCTTTGCAGAAATTCAATTAGTATCATTTCATTTTAATAAAATTGAATTAATTAAATTTTTAATTATAATTAAGAAGAGACAAGATTATTTTAAAAAATTGAAAAAATTCTTTATTTAATTCAATTATTTTCCATATTTTATTTTCAATTAAAATTATTTTCAAAAAAATTTAAAGAAACTTGTCAAAAGAATTTAATTATTCTTAAAAACTGTAATAAAAAATAGGAAGCCATTTGTAGATTTATTTATGTTCGAAATCAATTAAATTTAAATTTGATGAGAAAAAAAACCGGGAAAAATTAGGACAAAGCCGGGAATTTTGTTGAACGAAAATAGTAGACACCCTGACAATGAGAAGTGGTACTTAGTTTTTAAATATAAAATTCGTAACGATTTTTCTATTTTGCGACGAGGAAGAAAATTGCTATTATAAACGTGTAAGGACTTTCGTTTTTTAATTCTCTCCCACTTAAGAATGAAACGAACAATTTTTTACATTTTTTCAGACAAATATATTTGTAAAGCAATCTTATACAAATTGAGGGCTTATTGTAGAAAAAAAAACACACACACACACACACAACAGGACTGCAGTTTTCTATCGATAAATCAAAACAATCTCATATTTGTAGCTGGCTACTACATATTCGTGATAAGAATACTTTACTAAAACGTAGGTATTCTTTTTTTTGGGTAATTGGAAAATTATTCAAGAAGCGAAAATTTATTCATACGAACCTTTGTGAATCAAGTTATCGTAATTAAAGAATATCAATTTAGAGACTGATTTATAAAAAAAGTGCAATGGCTAAAAGTCGTAAAATTAGTAAAAATCTTTGTCAGTAACATAATTTTTAATTTATTTTTTAAGTTTTTAAAATAAAATTTATTACCTAATGGAACAAATTATAATATTTAATAATTTCTCTCTAACTGCAGAATTCCTTGAAAAAGTTGGTTTATATTATAAAAAGTGTATGAGGAAAATTAAAATTAATTAAAAATCGTCTCAGGCGTCTGTTGCGCCCTTACACGTTACTTAACAAATGTAAATGATTTATATAATTTTTAAGGCTATCAGGTATTTCGTTATAGAAAAATTTTAATTTGTACCTATTATTTATGAATAATTTATTTACTATTTAAATAAAAAAAGTAGGGTTGGCTTTAATATTGCAACAATATTTATCATTTTTTTTCAAATAAAAACTAATTTCCCCATATTTTGACTTACTCAGTTATTTGACATTAAAGAAACGAAAATATTTTGTTGACAATTTTTGGGGTTCTTTTGGTGAGAGTCAAATGCATTTACGGATTTTAATTTAATAAGTCTCATTTTCTAATAGGAAAATATTCGATAAGTAATTTTTTATTATTTATTTATTTTTTAAAAACTGTAAAAAATTATAGAATTTTAAGAAAATCTCAGAAAAATTACTATTTGGAATTTTTTCGTCCGACATCTTGGATTAGACATTTTGAATTTTATTCAACCCTATATTCATAATCAGTGACCATAAAAACCTACGATTAGTGATTTTTGTGAGCGTATCTCAAAATTTTTAACGTTTTGCTCGCCATTTAAAATTGTTATTTTACAAATTTTTTATTTTTAAATATGAATTTTTGAATAATTTCTTATTCAAACTTTAAAAAAATTCAATTATTAACTAATTTCGACTATTTTTAGAAAAAGTAAAATTTTGTCCAAAAATTAAATTATTTTTTAAAAAAATTTTAATAACATTTCGCGAACGAATATAATTATTTTCTAAAATTTTAATAAATTCTTCGAAAAAATTCAATTATTTTTGTCAATAGTAAAATCTTTGCAAAAATTCAATTACTTTCAAGAAAAATTTCACGAAAGAATTCAATTTTTTTCTTAATTCGTTAGAAAATATTTAAAAAGAATCCAAAGATTTTCTAAATTTTTTATAAATCCTTCGATTTAATTTTTTTTTTTTATTTTCGATTCAATTTTATTTATAAATAGTAAAATTCTTTGCAAACATTCAATTATTTTTAATCAAATTTTTATAACATTTCATGAAATAATTCAATTTTTAATGATATTATTCGAAAAAATTCAATTATTTTATAAAATTTTAATAAATCCTTTAAAACAATTCAATCTAATTTATAAATAGTAAAATTCTTTGCAAAAATCCAATTATATTCAAAACAATTTCAAGAAAGAATTCAATTTTTTTCTTAATTCGTTGTAAAATTTTTCAAAAGAATTCTTATTTTCTAAAATTTAAATAAAATTCAATAATTAAATGTTAATTCATACAATTCAATTATTTTAAAAAATTTTAATTAAAATAATAAAATTCTTCGAAGAAATTCTATTATTATAATAGCAAATTTTTTGATAAAATTCTTCGCAAGAATTCAATGATTTTTACAAGTAGTAAAATTTCTCAAGAAAATTCAATTATTTAAAGGAAGAAGTAATAAAATTCGTTGAAGAGTATTCAATTATTTTCATAAATAATAAATCGATTATTCGGTAATTCATTTTTAAATCAATTTTTATTAGAAAATTCTATAAGAATTCAATTATTTAAATTAAAAAATAAAAAATTTATTGAATAATTGAATGTTTGTTAACGTTGAATTCTTATAAAGAACTAGCTGTCGTACCCGTCTTCGACGGGTTTTAGTTTCTACCAATACATTTAAGTTTCTACCAATCTGGAAAATCAGGAAATAGCTAGGGAATTTAATTTGACCGGAAAAAAATAATAATTAGTTACCATTATAGCTATTTTAGTAGGAAAATATTACTATTTGAATCAGTGATTGACTTTTTGTTATCAAATTAGTTATTTTAACCAATTCAAATGCAGAGAACAATATTTATCAATTTGTAGTACTTTAATTAATGTATTAAAAAAATTAAATTTTCCATACAGTTTTTGGAGTTATAGTAGAGTCTAATTTGAACTAATTGTATCGCAAGTAGACCCTACGTTACGACTGCTAAAACCTAACATAAGACCTAAATTTTAGGCTGAAAGTAGGGCTTAAATTTTGACTCGGGTCTGTTTTCATAAATATTATACATCAATAAAAATTGAAGTAAAAAGCAATTTTTTAAAAGCGAATTAATATAATGAAACTTTTTCTTAATTTGATAGGAAAATTCCCGGTTCGGCATATTCCCAGCTTTTTACAGTTTTTCCCGTTTGGTAGATACCCAGTTAAATGTATTAGTATAAACAGAAAACTGTACGACAGCAAGTAATACAATCTATATTTATATGAACTTAAGAAACAGTATTTTCATAAAATAAGTAAATTTTTATAGCCATTTGTAGATTTATTTATGGATAAAATCAAGTAAATTTAAATTTGACAAAAAAGAGATAAACCGTGAAAAGTTTGGACAAAGCAGGGAATTTTGTTAAACAAAAATAGACACCGTGTTAACTTTTGTCTTTACATTGCTCAAAACATCTCTTAAAGTTAAATCTAGAGTTAAAATGAAAAAACGTTTTAACATGTAAGTTTTTGCCTAGTGGCATAATATGCTTGTATTGTATCACAGGTGACTTACAATTCTTGACATCCTGCGAAATCATTTTAATCATAAAAAATTTCCATTTTCAATATTTCTGAACTTCTTGAAAATATTAGATTGATTTGATAAATAATTTTGAATTGCACTATTTTGACATCAAAATATTAATCAGAGACTCCAAAAATACTACTGAATTATACTTCATATAGTAATTAGTATCGATTTTTTGATATACTGAAAATTTTTTTATATTTCTTGTAGGATAGTATTTTTTGCAAAATTATGATAAAATCTGACTAAATAACATATAATATTCATTTTTAGAAAGTTTAAAAGCTATCCATTAAAAATTGTGAAATTTGGAAATTTTCCATTTTTCAAGTTTTTGAAAATATTTTTATATTTACATCTTAGTTGTAGAATAGTATTTTTTGAAAAATTATGCTAACATGTAATACTCAAATATAGAAAGTTTAAAAGCAATCCATAAAAAAATGTAAAATTTTGAAATTTTCGATTTTTTGAAAACATTTTTATACTTACATATTAGTTATAGGACTTTATTTTTTGCAAAGTTATGCTATAATGTGACTAAATAACATATAATACTCAAGTATATAAACTTCAAAAGCAATCCATGAAAAATAAAAAATTTTGAAATTTTCGATTTTTTGAATTTTTTGAAAAAATTGAATATCTCCCGTTCTAATTAATATTTTTTAAATCTGTAAATTTATAAACCTTCCTTGGGTCAATACCTAATAACCTACCAAGTTGGACTTAAATCGATTCACATGTTTTTGTGTGATTGGGGTACAAAGTTTTTGTGACAGACAAACATACATACATACATACATACATACATTAAATTTTTTAAGAACATTTTTGGAATCTCTGATGTCCATAATAACTAATCATGTTAACATTTTGAAGTTTTAAGCAATGTACAGACAGACATCTGATTTTATTAATAAGGATTTTGTCAACAAATTTTTAAATAATTGAATTCCTTTAACGAATTTTAATAAAATTTTTATTACATTTTTCAAGGAATTCGATTTGTTTTAAAAATAATTGAAATTCTGCAATAAATTTTATTATTTATGAAAATAATTTAAATTTTCCCAAGAATTTTTCTAAAATAATTGAATTTCGGAGAAGAATTTTTTTTTAATTTTTGAACATAATTGCATTTCTGCAAAGAATTTTATTACTTTTGAAAATAATTGAATTTTCCAATTCTAATTTTGTATTTTAAATAATTGAATTCCTGTGGAAATTTTATTACTTTTAATTAAAAATTTTGTAAATAATTGAATTCCAGTGTAATTTTGCCAAGAATTTTTATAACTTTTGAAAATATAATTGAATTTCTGAAAGCGTTTGTAACTTTTCTAAAATTCAATTTTTTTAGTATTTTTAACTAAAATTCTTCTATAAATCTAGTATTTATGAAAATTGTAAAAATTATTCATTAGATAATTTATAAATCATAATTTTATGATAGTTGTTGAAAAATTAAATTATTTAAAAACAAATTATTGTCAGAAATAGAAATAGTTGAAGGTTTTGTATTAGAATTCGTGGTAATTTCATAGCTTACGAGGCAAACAAAAAAAACATCAAAATTCAGAGTTTTCTCATGAATTTTAAAAATTCAATTTTTTCCACTACTTTTACTAAAAATCTCTGACTTTTCCCTGTTTTCCCTGACTAATTTTACTTTCCCGGAATTTCCTGACCTGTGGCAACCGTGTAAAATAATGGACGCTTTTAAATGATCTTAGGCTTATTTCAAAGATCATTTTCTACAGAATCAGAAATAATTTTTAGTTTTCATAAATTTTATGTTTAAAAATTTTTTTCCTTCCCCTGAAAATGGTTGGTTCTCAATTTTGACCGGTACTGTAGCTTTTATAATTTGTAATACTTTTAGCTATTATTATGACAATGTGTATTGACCAGCAGGTCAATAAAGTGACCATTATTACCCAAGGGTAATAAAAAATAATTTATTGATCGCTGAAAGAATTTCGGATTTTTTTTATTATATATATTTCTGCACGAAGTAAATTTGCTAAAAAACGAAAATATTTTGTTGACAATTTTTTTATTTCTCAAAATGAAAATTACATTGATTACATTAACCCTAGTCATAGTTCTAAGTTCTATCAATAATATATATTTATCTTAATTTTAATGGATAAATCATTCATCATGTATATTCTGTTTTACAATTTTTTGTTGGTTTTTTCTTAAAATGAATTTTCTTTTTTCGACCCCTTACATTCATGATAATATGTACAAGATTTTTAAAAACAGAAGCGAAGAAACAATTATTATATCAAATTACATAATAATGTTGCACACTGCGAATTAACAATTCGCCCAAAAGTTTTTTTTATTTAAGACGAGGAAAAAATCGCACAGGAAAATATATACAGCAATTTTACTGGAATTGAAAATGATTACTTCATTTTTTATCCTTCTCTACGAATGAATTCTTGTTTAACTTATACATTAAATGTAGACAATAAAAAAATTCAATGAACAATTGGCTCAGTTGACAATAAAAATGAACCAATTTTTTTATTATTGTTATATTGTATTTACATATTATTGAAACTCCCCGATATTTTGCATCTTTTCTTTCTTTTTTTTTGACAAAAAATTTAAATATAATTTTTAATTCCGCTGCATTAGTGTCAATTTTTTTTTTTTTTTTTGAATGACATTGTCGGAAATTTTCAAGTTTATAGTTAAATTATAAATTAAGTAGTTTAAAAATGAAAATATTTGTTTTAAAAAATAAATGCGCTTTTTAGTTAACCGCGTAAAAATTGGATCGGATATCTGAAGAAAAAGTCCTGGAATGTTAAATATGAACATGTTAAATTGTTTCATCTTATATTCGAATGGAAATGAATTTTACACCATATTTCACCCATAATTGGTCTGCAATTAGAAAACAAAAAGAAATCCAACAAAAAAAATAAAAAAGCCAACTAAATATAAAATAAATAACTTTATACCCAATAGAGGTAAAATATTAAATGCAAATTTGCCTAAACAATCTAAATCATTTGATGAAAATTAAAAATGATTTTTAATCAATGTAAAAAGAAAAACTCTTTTTCTTTGATTGTGAATATTTTGACTGCAATTATTCAATTATTTTTTTTTATCATCACTAATGCAGCTTTTAACAATGAAAATTTAAGTAGTCAAACATGTACTGTATAAAATGTTGATGTTGACAGTACTTCTTTGAAAAAGTCATTAACATTAGAGACAGCTGTTTTCTAATTCATTTAGGTATGTATTATTTATACGTTGATATTAATATTTTTATCCTACAATTGAGATGTAAGTATCTGAAGAAGAGAAAGTTTGCTTCTTTATGAGCAAAAGTTTTAACAGATTTTCCGATACCTATGATTAGATTGCGCTTAATATTTACAATATTCTCACGTTCGATGATAATTTTAATGTATATACTGGCAGTTTCGCAGCAGCAGTCTCTTCACCATCTATGTATATATAAAACTGTAAATTTATTGAGCGCAACATTTTCACAAATAGAGCGAGATCTTTGCACTGCGACTGTTTCAATTTCGTAGTAATATTCTATACCAGATGATAAAATTCACCATTCACTACTCACGAACAATTCAACATTTTTTTTTCTTTTCTTTTATTTATTTATTTATTTATTTTAGCTGCTTTATTTTCTAGAAGACAATTATATGTTTTCAGATTTCTGCTTTTGCTGTTTCCAAGCTGCTATTCTCTCTTTTAAATCGCGAACTGTAATCAAAAAGTTTACATTAAACATTCATTTTTCATTAGAATTTTGAATTATTTTAAACACTTTATAATAATTATATTCACTTGCTCACAACAGTAGATAAATAATATCAGTCCAATCAATAATTTTATAGTAAAATACTCAACAAAATTATTTTTTAAACAATGTCACTTTAACTATTTTTTACGAAATATTAGGAAAATAAAATTGAAAAAAGAAAGAGTAATTTGTAAATTTACCTGGCGTAAGCATATCTTCGCTGAGAGGTTGACGACTGAATGGATCAGTAGCACTGTTTAACAAGTGTCTAATGATAACAGCCTTATCCATAACAATTCCCGACGGAAGTTTCACGGGATCCTCCATGAGCGTGTCCATGAGAGGATCTCTAAATTCCTCAGGCGCATCTCCGTAATCAACATCACGGGCTCGATTATCTTTCGCAATAATTGCAGCTCGCTCAGCCAATCCTCTAAATTGTTCAATCTCAGTCGTTGTTTTTATTGCCGATTTTTGCAGTCTGTTTGCTGCGTCCGCAAATAACTCTTTGCAAAATGAACGCTGGAAAATTAAAAATTTATTAGGTATTTTTAACATCAACGAATTCATAATCAGGGTTGCCACAAAAATTCAACTTTGTTTTTCCCTGACTTTTCCCTTATTTCCAGACAGAATTTTCACTTTTTCCCTGATCCTAAAGAATATTCTGATTCACTCTAAAAATTATTAAATACTAAAAAAAAATGTTCTATTTCATTTATTTGCAAATTTCTTCAAAAGTAAAATTATTCGAAAACATCAATAACTTCTTTTTCAAAAAAAAATTTAATCGTTATTATTTTTCCATTTTTATATAAAAATATAGTTACTCAAACTTCTTTGAAATTATTTTTATCATTTAAATTCAATTTTTACTATTTTCTAGAATTTTTAAACTAAAATTCTTCTTTAAATAAATTATTTTATAAATTTTTAATAATTTTTGAAAAAGTTCGTTGGGAATTTTCAAATCCATTTGTTTACAATTTCATTTTAAGAAATTTCGATTATTCGGAAATTCTTCATTTAAATACATATTAGAACATAGAAACTTTTAGTAAGTTCAAATAAAATGTTTCGAAAAAATTAGTTTCACAGAATTTTTAAATTTAAAGTATGAAAAATTCAAATTTTCAAAGATTTTAATTTGAAACCTTTTCAAAATTCAATTATTTCTTAAAATTCACACTATATTGCTTTTAATATTCAATTATTACCTATCTAAATTTTTACTGAAATTTATTTTGAAATCAATTTTTATTAGAAAATTCTACGAGAATTCAATTATTAAAATACAAAAGTAAATAATTTATTGATAATAATTGACAGTTTTTTAATAATTGTATTTTTATGAAGGATTTTATTAACAACTTTTAAAAATAATTAATTTCTTGTAAGGAATTTAGTTAAAACTTTACAGAAATTTATTGAATTAAAGAATTTTATAACAATTTTTGAAAATAATTGAAAACTTTTCAAAAATTTTATTAAAATTTTAAAAAATAAAATTCATGAGCAGAATTTAAATAATAATTTATGAAAATAATTGCATTCGAACGAAGAATTTTATTAAACTTTGTTTAAATAATTGAAATTTTTGAAAATAATTGACTTCTTGAGAAGAATTTCACTACTTATTTATAAAAATAACTTAATTCTTGACGAGAATTTTTCAAAAATTTTGTAAATAATTTAATTTCAGCAAAAAAAAGAAAAAATGAAAATTAGAATTCTATTGTCGAGTTTTAATAAAATTTTTAAGAATAATTGCATTTTTCGAGGAATTTATTTAAAATTGTATTAAAAATATTTGATAATTCTGCGATGAAAATAATTGGATTTTTTAAAAGAAATTTTATTATTATGAAAATAATTGAATGTTTTCGTAGAATTGTCTCAAAAAATTTTTTTCAATAATTAAATTTAGTGATAAATTTTATGAAAATAGTAAATATTGAAAATCATTGAATTGTGAAAAACTTTTGAAAATAATTGAAATTTTGCAAAGAATTTTATTTAAATTTTTGTTGAAAAATTCTGCTATTTATAAAGAAAATTGAATTCTTGACGAGATATTCGTTAAAATTTTTATAAATAATTGAATGTCTTCGAAGAATTTTATTACTTTTAAAAATAATTAAATTCTTGTGATGAATATTGTTATTTACGAAAATAATTGAATTTTGCAAAGAATTTTATTAAAATTCCTAAAAATAATTAAATTTCAGTGAAGAATTTCGTTGTTTATGAAAATAATTGCGTTACAAATTTTGAAATGTATATTAATAATCGTTACTTTCCGATAATCTGTTTGCTGTTTGAACTTAGTTACTGTTTGCTTTTTTGTTTCCTAACTGTTTAAATAATTTTTCTTTTTAAATGTTTTCAATTTTAAAATTAATATAAGTATTGAAAATGATTGAGTTCTTGCAAAGAATTTTATCAAAAAATTGGAGAATAATTGAATTTGTTTCAAGAATTTTATCAACATTTTTTTCATTAATTGAATTCTTTCGAGAAAGTGTAATAAAATTGTGTTAAAAATATTTTAATTTTTGGCAAGATTTTTATTAAAATTCTTTAAAATAATTGAATTGTTTTGAAGAATTTATTTCCATTTTCTTGAAAATATTGGATTTTTATTTAAATAATTTTTACTAAAAATTTTGAAAGTAATTGAATATTACGAAGATTTTCTTTAAAGTTTTTAAAATAATCGTGTTTATAATTAATTATAATTAATAATTTCCTTATTAAATTATTTTTAAATTATTCATAGAAAATTAAATTCTTTTAAATAATTTTATTAGAGTTTTTGTAAATAATTAGATTTTTTTAAGAATTTTTGAAAATAATTGAAATTTACAAAGAATTTTATTAATAATTTTTAAGAACAATTGAATTGTTTAGAAAAATGTTATTAAATTTTTTGAAAATAATTGAAGCTGATAGGGAAATTTTATTAAAATTGTATTGAAAATTATTGAATTATTGCGGAAGATTATAATTGAATTGTATGGAAGAATTTTATCTGAATTTTTTTAAAGGAATTTTATTAAAATTGTCGAAAGCAATTGAATTTATATTAAAATTCTTGAAAATAATCGAATTTAATTAATATTTTTAAAAATAATTATTGTATTCTATCGAGAAATTTTTTAAAATTGTATTGAAAATAATTGCAGTTCTCTAAAAAATACTATTATTTATAAGAATAATGATATTCTTTTGAGAAATGTTATTAAAATTTTTGAATAATAATAATAAACAAGAATATTTAATATTATGTACTTAATAAGTGAATTCTTTAAATTTTGAATCTGTAATCATTTAAAAATTGATGTTTATTCTTGAAAATATAAAGTTTTTTAATTTAAAAAATAATAATTAATAATAAATGGAATACCGCGTTCCACGCGTATCATTTGCTAGTAATTAAATAATACCTATTAAAAAATTCATTCTTGTCAAAAATAGAAAAAAAAATTAAAGGTTTTATATTAGAATTCTTGATAATTTCATAGTTTATGAGACAAACTAAAAATACACAAAAATTCAGAATTTTCTTAAGAATTTTAGAAATTTAATTTTTTCCTGACTTTTCCCTGACCTGTGGCAGCCCTATTAATGTATATGAAATATGAATAAACTCACCTCATCACTAGCTAACGCCGCAGCAAAATTATCACAGTCTAGATGTAGGTAAATATCAACCAACTGACTAAGCAAGTTTCTCGGCTCCCAGCCGTACTTTTGTGGATTCCTCACTTTCAAGTTCTTGCATTTGGGGCCGCACAATTGTTGCAAATTGAAGTTCAGCATGGCACTGAGTCTCGCAACAAGTTCGGGTCGGAGGAAAGGTTCCCTAATGTCAACGGTGAGATAGTGGAACATGGCTACAGTTTCTTTCGCCAAAGTCAGGTAGGAGCGGGCCTGCCGTTCGTCGGCGGTGAGCTGCCTCGTGCGGGTCTGCTGCTGCTCCTGAGTGAAGGCAGACCAGCCAGCCTCGTCCGACATCAGTTCCTGGACTTCGTGAATTCGTTTGAGAGACTCGAGACTTTCGTCCAGCAAAAAGGTCGTGTCATTCATTAACATGTTGATAAACTTGACAAACTGCTTTCCATTGTTGCTTTCGTTGACGATAGCCACGCGATGAATTGGACTGTCCCACATTGACTTTAGAATTAAACTTATGTGATAGCGGATCGAGAATTTGTCGTAGAATTCCGAACTTGATCCAGTTGTTTCAACGTCTGTGTAGAATTTCATTAGATAAGAGGCTAGGTGTGTTCTCGATATTGGATGAGACATTATTTGTTCGTGGAGGGCTTCGGTTCGTGCCTGGAATTAGAATTTACATTAATACCTTTACATTGCGGTCGCCTACTAATATTGAGCTCGTTTTTGAGAGAAATATTACCTGTACACTTGGATTAATAACAAAGAGGACTTCAATGACTTTTGCAATTAGGTAAGGATTTCTAATGCAATGCGGCGTGCAAACCATAACAAGGAGCCACGTGATCAGCGAATTATCCATGTTGTTTACTACAACTGCAGGGCTAAATCTGAAATCAGACATCACTTCGTTAAAAATCCAGTTGATTACAATTCTAAGTTACTATCCAAAGTTCGTTTTGCTTCATTCTGTCAGGATATTTTTAAAAATTTTTAATAGCGAAATCATTGTGGAAGACAATTTAGTTACTCAACTAAATTTTCCATTAATAGTCTATTTCATTACGAAAATTTTTAGCCCTTGTGAATTTCGATTGGATTAAAAATGACAATTTTAATTTTAACTATATTATTTTATTAATTATTAACTATATTAATCTTCGTATTCTTTCATTCATTCGTTGTATGCTTTTTTATATAACAAATTTCGTTTGACTCATCTAAATAATTATGCCAATTATTCTCCTCTTTATTTTTAACAAATTTCAATTGTTTTTAAAACTAAAAGTTTTTTTAAAAATAAAGGAAAAAATGTTTATAAATTCTATTTGTCAGTTACTAATTTTAATTGAAAATGAAATTGAAAATTTTTAAATTTTTACACTTTTAGAAAATAAAGGAAAATATTTTACTCACAAAAAAATGTTCTGTTACATTTTATTAACGAATTTCTTTAATTATAAAATTATTCGAAAACAATAATTTCTTTTTTGAATATTTTAAATATTTAATTATTATTATTATTTTTCCATAGGAATTAAGATTTTCAAAAATTTCAAATTTAAAAATTTTTGAAATTAAACAGCATTAAAAATATTGTCTTCGACTCGGAGTAATCGATTTCTTCATTTTTTATACCTAATAATTAAAGATGATCGAGAAATAAAATAATTATTTTATATTATATAAGAATGTTGTTACTGCAACTTCTTCAAAATTATTTTCATATTCAATTATTATTTAAAATTTTAACTAAAATTCATTTTTAAATCAATTTTTATTAAAAAATTATATAAGAATTCAATTATTTAAATACAAAAGTAAATTATTTATTGATTAATTGAATGATTCTTAAAATTTAATTCTTATAAAGAATTTTATTACCAAATTTTTAAAGAATTGAATTCTTTTGACGAATTTTAATAAAATTTTTAAGAATAATTACATTTTTCAAAAAATTCGATTAAAATTGTGTTAAAAATAATTGAAATTCTGTGATGAGTTTTATTATTTATGAAAATAATGTAAATTTTCCCAAGAATTTTATTAAAATTAAAATTAAATCTAAAATAATTGAATTTCGGAGAAGAATTTTATTATTTATTACTTGCAATTTTGACAAGAATTTTTTTTTTAATTTTTGAACATAATTGAATTTCTGCGAAGAATTTTATTACTTCTAATAATAATTGAATTTTTCTAACGAATTTTATTCAAGATTTTAAAAATAACTGAATTTCTTTGAAGAATTTTATTATTTATGTATAAATAATTGAATTCTTGCAGCGAATTTTATTCAAGTTTATAAAAATAATTGAATTTCGGTGAAGAATTTTATTATTTATAAAAATAATTGAATTCTTAAAAAGAACTTTGTTAAATTTTTTTGTAAATACAATTGAATTCTTGCGACGAATTTTATAAAAATCTTTTTAAATAATTGATATTTTTCGAAAAATTTTATCAAAATTTTTGTATGTATTTGAAATAATTGAATTCCTGTCCAAATTTTATTACTTATGAATTTCGAAGAAATTTATTTAAAATTTTGTAAATTATTGAATTCCTGTAAAATTTTGCCAAGAATTTTATTATTTATGGAGATACATAATTGAAATTCTGACGAAAATTTGTTTTTAAAGTTTTTAACATAATTGAATATTTGCGAAGAATTTTGTTACTTTTGAAAATAATTGTATTTCTGGAATCATTTGTAACTTTTCCAAAATTCAATTTTTTTAGTGTTTTTAACTAAAATTGTTTTGAATTATTAGAATTTTTCAAAAATTTAAGTTCTTTAAAATTTCTAATTTCTAATTCTAATTGAATTCTAATTTTGTATTTTAAATAATTGAATTCCTGTGGAAATTTTATTACTTATGAAAATAATTCCAGTGAAATTTTGCCAAGAATTTTTATAACTTTTGAAAATATAATTGAATTTCTAGAATCATTTGTAACTTTTTTAAAATTTAATTTTTTTAGTATTGTTAACTAAAATTCTTCTATAAATATAGTATTTATGAAAATTGTAAAAATTATTCATTAGATAAATTATAAATTATAATTTTATGATAGTTCTTGAAAAATTAAATTATTTAAAAAGAAATTATTTTCAGAAATTGAAAAAATTGACGGTTTTATATTATAATTTGTTGTAATTTCATAGTTTATGAGGCAAACAAAAAAGACACAAAAATTCAGAATTTTCTTATGAATTCTAAAAATGCAATTTTTTCCAGTATTTTTTATAAAAATCCCTGACTTTTCCCTGAATTTCCTGTGTCAGAATATATGATATTATAGTTATATTAATGCTAAAACTATATTCCAATTCATATTCAGGCCTCGGATTGACTTTAAGACACAAAAAAAGTCGCTTTAGTAGATTAAAAATACAAAAAAACTTTTTTAATTTGATCAAATCTTTATAAAACAATTGAATTTTGGTAAAATCGTTCAAAAGTAATTGAAATTAGACAAAATTTTGTAAAAATAATTGAATTTTTGAAAAATATAAAATGAATAATCCAATTTTTCAAGAATTTTAATTATAAATATAAACATGATTTTTCATAAATTTCAATTATAGAATCTAAAGAAGTAAATTTAAAAAAAATTTAATTTACTTTATTCAAAGATAAGTAAATCTTAAAAAATTATGATGAAACAATTCTAAGAATTAGTTTTTTAAAAATATTCTAATGTAATTTTTCAAAAAAATTGAATTTCTTAAAAAAAATTTTGTATAATTAAAAAAACAAAATAATTTTTTTAAAGAATTTTAATTAAAAATTTTCACAATTACTGTTTTCTCCAAAATGTAAAAAATAATTCTGAAAAATTTTAATATTTGTATTATTTTTTACGTATTCGAATTTTCGGAATTGTTTTTGAAAATATTGAAAATAATTGAATTTTAAAAATTTGTAATAATGAAAAAAATTCTAAGAATTACTTTTTTAAAAAAAATTTGAATATTATTTTTTAGAAGCTCGTTTTTTCATTAATTTTCATAAATTTATACTTGAAGATTTTTCATTAAATTTTTTTGAGAATTCAAATATTTTCACAAAATTTGCAATTAAATTTCTTCAAAAGTTGATTTTGAAAAATTGTAATAATAATAATTGAAAAAAATCAATTATTTTCAATTAAATTTCACAAAATTTCAACTATTCCAAATCTCTTTAATAATTGTATATTTCGAAAATTTAATTAGAAAAATTATTCAAAAATAATTTTTGAAAGATTTTTCTATAGTTCTTTTTCACATTAGAATAATCGAAATAATGTGCAATTTATACTAAAAATTTGGTATTTTGTTGCAATATTTCAACATTTTTTTTTCTAAATTCTCCTCAAAATTTCAATTATCTTTATAAATATCAAAATTCTTCTGCAAAATTTAATTACTTTTAAACATTTTTAAAAAAATCTGTTCAAAATTTCAATTATCTTTATAAATAATAAAATTCTTTTCTAAAATGCAATTATTTGAAAAAATTTTAATAAAATTCTGGACAAAATTTCAATTTACTTTATAAATAATCAAATTCATTCTAGAAATTCAATTATTTTTAATTTTTTTTTTAAATTTCTCGTCAAAATTTTAATTATTTTCATAAATAATAAAATTCATCCTGGAAGTTGAATTATTTTCAAAAGTTCTGTTAAAATTCTTTGCAAAATTCAATTATCTTCAAAAGTAAGAAAATTCTTCGCAGAAATTTAATTATTTCCAAAATTTTTTTTAAAACTCTCCTCAAAATTTCAATTATGTTTATAAATATCAAAATTCTTCTGCAAAATTCAATTACTTACTAATGTTTTCGAAAAATTCGAAAGAAATTTGTAAATAAATGTAACAGAACATTTTTATGACTAAAACTTTTTCCTTTTTTCTATAAATTTCAGTCGCATTTTATAAGAAAAAAAATCTCGAAAAAGTCGATTAGTCGCATTTTAAAAAAAAAGTCACATTTTCTTAGAAAAGTAAAAAAAAAGTTGAAAAAGTCGCACAATCCGAGCCCTGTATTTTGAAGAAAAGTCGAAAAAATCATAATATCCGAGGCCTGCATATTTTATTTTTATGAAAATAAATTTGAATTAAAAATTTTTACGTTTTATTATTTTTAAAATTGCTAATTTTATTTTAAAAAGTTAGTGAGACGTCAGACGCGCGCGAATTGTTGTTAGTAAGTATTATTATTCTATTTCAATGCGCTCTGAAGTAGCAAAAAGAAAATAATTAAAGAAAATTAAAATCTAAAAGAAAATGTTCGAAATACTTACTGCAAAGTGAAGAGTAAAAATTCAGCGATATCTTCAACGTACCACTCGGGAAGAGCGGTAAAGACATTAGGTACTTCCTGTGGTAGAGGAAGTTCAGGAAGAGCGCTGTTGGGATCGGTTTGAGTCAAGAGACCTAGTAAAATCGACGCCACGGACGCATAGAAATGAAGAGCCCGACTGAGCAAGACTGGGTCGATGAGTCCGGCGTCAGCGCAAGATTTCGACTTGCCCAGACGTTTCAGTTGTTGTTTCCAACGTTTGATGAATTCCTTATTGCGAACAGCGAAAGGAGTGTCCTTCCACTGCGCCTCGCTTGCCTGCAGTTCGTCGAGCATCTTCTGCAAATCCCTCAGTGCTCTTAATTTCCTCTGATACTTTTGTAGAGCCGGAAGTAGAGCTATGTGATGGCAGTGCAGAGTCAAGAACCAACACTGAGTGGGGAATTTCGCCTCCGTCCACTTGTGTGTCTTGCCCGTCTCCTTGAGCCAGTCCTCCACCTCCTGCGAAGACAGCTTCAACCGCGTCTCATTAGTGACGTCCACTAGGCTGTTGGGGTGGAACGGATACATCGAGTCTATCGTGTCCAACTTGATTTTCACCGAGAGCATCTGCAGGACAGAGAGCAAGTTGAGCATGAATCCATCGCCGGCGAGGGCGAATTCCTCGGCTTGGATTTGTGTTCGTTTCTCATTGTGCTTCAGCAAGGCCGCGAGATAGGCTAATGTAGTCTCGCGGCAATTGCTGTTCGCCAAGACCGCGTGTAGAATTTTGTGAAGAGACGTTCTAATGCTTTCCAGTTCCTGCTGGAGCGTCGAGTTCATTGACTTGTCTGTGGATGGATTGCCGCTGAAGAACTTCTCCGCGACTTTCGGCTGGTCCTCGGCAAACACGGAGACGGAGAAGAATGGCCCGAGGAACGAAGTTCGCGCCAACTCTCTGCCCACTGCGCTCGTCATCACGTCCGGCAGGAACTGAACCTGGTGTGTGAGGAGTCGGCATATGGGTCGGGTGGTGCCATTCGTTCCCACGCGAATGTCGATCAATTCCTCCAGAGCCTCGATCGGCCTGCGGTGAGTGTTCCCCACCAAGCTGCCCTGCTGCATCGCCAAGTAGAGCGCTTGGAGAAGCGGCGTGAATATTTTGTTGAAAGTCTGCGACTGTGTGTGCGTTCTGGCGACGAGTTCGTGCAGAAAACCGCGAGGCAATTTCTGTGAGAGGAGAGGATAAATCATGGGCGAGGAGTTTGCCGACAGAGAAGTGGTGGGTGAGAGTCCGACGAGTCCCTGGAGAACGAGGTTCGTGTGCTGAATGCACTGAGCTCGAAGAATGGCCAGCACTTCCGAGAGGGGAGGACTGCTCGATCTCTTTGGATGATTCCTCTCCTCGATCGCCACTCTTGTGTAGCAGTCCATTAAGTAGACGAGACTTTTGGGCTGCGACTTCTCGCTGAAGATCACGGGAAGCGGACTGTTGGGAAGGGTCATTATGGGACTCAGGAGCGGACTTGTTTGACTGTTGGGACTGTCCTCCAGGCCCAGTGAAACGTCCATTGTGATTTCCTTTAAAGGGTCCTCGTCTCGAGAGAACATGTAGAGAACCTCCATCAAAGCCTCACTTATTATGTCCGATGAGTCCATTTGTTTTTGTTCCTGGACGGTTTTCGCTGTGTCAGGCAGAAATATGAAACCTTCCGTTGACTCTTTCCAAGAGACACAAAGCACTCGCGATATTACAGAATGAACTTGATCCAGAGATACTTCGGTACTGGAACTAGTAGTCTGAAATTAAAAAGTTTCTTTGTCAAAACAAAATTACTCCTAAACATAAAAAAAAACTTGGACTCATTTTTGTTGCATCTCAAAATAAGTCTATCAGTTAAATGACAGAACGTGACGCCACTACTAATGTGACAATTTTTCCAAGAAAATGAAAGTTTTTAAAGTTAGACTTAAAAAAAATTATTTACAAAATCAGATTTATTGATTAATAATGGATAATATAATAAAAGATAATAATCAAAGCAGTAAGTGATGTTACAGTCTCATAAACAAATAATCATTAAACTTGTAACTTAAACAAAAAATAATAAATGTTTTTAGTTATTCATGTTTCAGGCTTCACAGTGCCCCTAAAAAGTATTTTAGGGGAAATAAGGAACTGAAAATTAAAAAATAGGGGACTTTTAGGGGACCATAAAAATTTGTTAAATAAAGATTAAAATATAATTTATTTGTACAGGGTTGCCACAAAAATTTAACTTTATTTTTCCCTGACTTTTCCCTCATTTTCAAACACAACTTTTTCCCTAACCCTAAAAAATATTCAGATTCACTCTAAAAATTATTAGATACTCAAAAAAATTTTCTAATAAATTTATTTACAAATTTCTTCAAAAGTAAAATTATTCGAAAACATCAATAGTTTTATTTAAAATTGAGAAGAATTTCCCTATCTATTTACAAAGATAATTTAATCCTTGACGAGAATTTTTAACAAATTTTGAAAATAATTTAATTTCTGCAAAGTATTTTATTACTTTTCAAAAAAATTTAATTCTTGTGATGAATATTGATATTTATCAAAATAATTAAATTTTGGAAAAGAATTTTATTAAAATTTCTTAGAATAATTGATATTTTGGGAAAAATTTATGCGATTTTGTTGTTTATTATCAAGCTAATTTAATTCTTTTGCAAAATTACTTAAAAATTTTTGAAAATATTTGATTTTCTGCGACGAATTAAATATTATTTATGAAAATATTTGAATTATTGCAACGAATTTTAGTAAAAAATTGTTTAAATAATTGAATTCTTGTAAAGAATTTTATTCAAATTTTTTTAAATAATTAAATTTCTCAGAATTTTTTTTTAAACTTTTTGAAAATCATTAAATTCCATCGAGAAACTTCATTAAAAAATTGAAAATAATTTAAATCTGACAGAAAATTTAAAAAAAATTCTTTTTTAAATAATTGAATTCCTGTGAAAATGTTTATTTTTGAAAAGAATTGAATTATTGGAAAGAATTTTATTAAAGTTTCTTAAATAATTGAATTGCTTTGAAGAATTTTATTTTTTACGAAAATAATTTCATTCCTTCGAAGATTCTTACAAATATTTTTAACAATAATTATATTCCTAGAAAGAATGTTATATTTTATAAAAATAATTTTATTTTATGACCAATTTTATTATAATTTTTCAAATTTATAAGGCATTTTATCAAAATTTTTTTTAAATAATTGAATTCTCATTAAAAATTTTATTATTTATGAAAATAATTGATTTCTAACGAAGAATTTTATTCAAATTTTTATTAAATAATTGAATTCCCATAAAAGAATGCGTTATTTGTGAAAATAATTGAATTCTCAAGAAGAATTGTATTAAAAATAATTGAATTGTACGGGAAAATTTAATTAAAATTGCAATTTTATTAACTAAATCTTGTAAAAAAATTTTTAATTAATAGAATTTTTAAAAGAATATTATTTAAATTTTTCGAAATAGTTGAATTTTTCAGAACTATTGTTTTCAATTCTCTAACTATATTTGAATTCTTTAGAGAAACTTCATTAAAAAATTAAAAATTATTGTATTGGTTCGAAGAAATTTATAAAAAATTGTATGTATTTTAATTCTTGTGAAATTTGTATTAAAATTTTGTTTAAATAATAGAATTCTTTTGTAAAATTTTATTAAAATAGTAAATATTAAAAATAATTGAAATGAGGAAATTTTTTGAAAATAATTGAAATTTTGACAAGAATTTTATTAAATTTTTTGAAAATAATTGAATTTTATTATTTATTAAGATAATTAAAACCTTGACGAGTGTTATAAAAATTTTTGAACATAATTGACTTCTTGAGAAGAATTTTTAGAAAATTTTTGACAAGAATTAAATTTCTGTAATCAGTTGTTTCTAAAATTTCTATTTAAATTTATAAAAAATTGATATTTTTAAAAATTTTAAATTGAAATCTTTGAAGTTCATCTATTTATGAAGATTATAAACGCAACTCTTTTGAAAATTTTAAGTAAAATTATTATTAATACTAATAAATTACATGTTCCAGTAATCTGCTCGCAGTTTGAAGTTAATTGTTGTTTGCTTTTTTGTTTCTTAACTTTTTTATAATTTTTCTTTTCCAATATTTTCAATTTTAAAATTAATGTATCAAAAATCATCGAATTTTATCAAAAAATTTGATAATAATAGAATTCCTACAAAGAATTTTATTAAAATTTTTAAAAATCCCAATTAAATTCTATTAAAGAATTTCTTCGATTTTTTTTAACTAATGGAGTTTCTTTAATAAATTTAAATTAAAAATTTTGAAAGCAATTGAATTTTATTAAAATTGTATTGAAAATAATTGAATTCTTGCGAAGAATTTTACTATTTATAAATATAATTGAAATGTTTCGAAGAATTTATTAAAATTTTAAGAAACAATTAAATTGTTACGAAGAATTTTATAGAAATATTTGAAAATAATGAAATTTTTTCGAGAAATTCAATTAAAGTTGTTTTGAAAATAATTGAATTTCTTTAAAGAATTTCAAAATAATTGAATTCGTCACAAGAATTTTATTATTTTTTGAAAATAATTGAATTCTTTCAATTTTTTTGACGAATATATTTCAAAATTGCATTGGAAGTAACTTAATTTTTATATAGAATTTTTTAAAAATTATTATTTAGAGAATTTTAAATTCTTGATAAAATTGAATTTTATGAAAATTTTTTAAAATAAATGAATTCTTTCGTGAAATTTTATTAAAATTTTTGAAAATATGAACAGTAATAATTAATTTTGCACCTAATAAGTGAATTTTTTGAATTTTGATTATGAAAGTATTTAAAAAATTTATATTTGAAAATAAAAAATTTTGTAATTTGCATAACAATAATAAATTGAATATCACGTTCCGCGCGTAACATTTGCTAGTTCATTAAATAATTTATAAGTAATAATTTTATGATAATTTTTTAAGAATTAAGTTATTAAAAAAATAAATTATTGTTAGAAATAGAAAAAATTGAAAATTTTGTATTAAAATTCTTTACTATTTCATAGTTTATGAGGCAAACAAAAAAGACTCTAAAATTTAAAATTTTCTTATAAATTCTAAAAATTAAATTTTTTCCAGTACTTTTAATAAAAATCCCTGACTTGTGGCAACCTTGAAAAAAGTTAACATTAGTAATTCTGTGTTCAGCTTACTCGTGATCTGGGTGTTGCTTCTTTCCTATCAGACTCTTCTACTTCCATATTTTCAATTCCCGAATCGACATCAATACCGGAAGTACTGCACTGTTTTTCACTATTTTCCTCAACATCCATTGTCACCTGCTGTTGTTGAGGTAGAAGAGGAGCCGCCGAATTGGGAGAAATATTCGAAGGTCCAGGCGTATCGGGAGAAGTGGGTACAGAAGTACTGTTCGTACTCGGCGACGCATTGTTTGATCCTAAACTCGCTAAGCGAGCTAACCTTCGCCGTCTTATCTAAAGCACAAGATTCAAAATTATATTCTTTTTTAAACTTTACAAAAATTCATATAGTTGTAAACTTGAAGAAAACAAACAAAAATAAACAAACGCAAACAAAGCGCAAAATTTAAATTTAAAACAATAAAATTTATTAACAAAAAATATTTAAAGATACACAAAAGATTTTTATTCTCATTAAGTATTAAAGAAGGGATGAAGTTTAAAATTAAATGTTCCTTGTTACAAAAATAATTTGGCACACTGTTGAAACAAAGAAAGTTATTAGTGGCTTTTTGTTTCGATCTGGGTTGCGAACTTAATTATTATTCCGAGAATTTTTAAAAACAAGGAAGTTTGGAGATTTTATTTTTTTTAAAATAACTTAATGAGAATAAAAAAGATATTTAATACTCGAAATTTTCAGAAAAAGACATTGCGGTACCATCGATCGTATTTAACCTTCAACTCATTGATTTTCCATTTCTTTTGACAGACTATAACTCTTTGCAGACAAATTAAAAAGTCCTTTAAGCTATTCTCTTATGAATAAATTAATGAAACGATAACAATAGTTCTAAATGAAAATTTATTCTCTTAAATAATTTTTTGATTACTCATGTAAAATAATATAAAAGTGAAATACAGTCTTTCAAAGTGCAATAGAAAAACAAAACTTTACATTAATTCTACATTCTTATAATTGGCAGAAATAGAGAATAATGTCAGTGCAACAAGAATAATTTGTATGTTAAATTAAATTAGTTATATAATTGATTTGTGCAACAAATTACATACAATTAGTATCGTTCGCTTTATGCAAAAGAATAAGGCACATAACAAAGAAACCGTGATTAAAAAGTTCCCGTGGTTTCTACTTATTTTGAATGTTTACGTTGATATTGAAAAGATAAGAGGAAAAAGAGTGTTAAGAAGGTAAAGAGAAATGATGTAAAGAGAAAGTTAGGGTCCATAATTTGTAGTGAAATAGAAGTAATGAGCACGCAGCAGAATGGAAATTAAAAAGTCATGAACTCGATATGTACTTACTTCCTCTTGAGTTAATTCATTCATAGTTGTTGCTTCTTGAATAAACGATGCCAAGTTTGATAATTTGCTTTTGTCTTTTAAACGTCACTAGCTTTAGAAAATATATAAAAAGCTCCGTTATAAAATTGTGGCACAGATATGTCAGAAATTTGGGCAGTCGTCACTCCACATCTGCCTTGGTTTTGACGGGAAGATAGCGAGCTCAGGTGAGTCACGGAAACTCTGTCTGTCAACGTCAAGCCAAGTGATCGACGATTCTTCAAAACAGCTGAGCAACTCACTAAACTATCGACCTTTAAATGGCGCTCACACCTCTATTAAGTAGAGTTCACAATGTTGAGCCCTGTTACAGAAATAGGGCATGAGAAAGAAAAGGATGCAGACAGCTTTTATCGAATTTATTTCTTTTCTTTATTTTTACTCCAATAATTAAAAACATCTAAAATTTTTTGTTTTTTTAGTACTACCTTTTTGGGAAACGTGTCTTTATTTCAAAATTTGAAAAAGAATATTTATATATTATTTATATTTATAAAATAAAAGATCCCATGTGAGCAGAATACGTCTACCGAAAGCAGACCATGAGTGCAAAAGAGATAGGTAGATATTGTTGCTCTTTTCACTCTCATGATTTTCTGCTTTCAGTCGACGTATTCTGCTCACGTGGGATCGCACCCTTATACGGCCTTCACAAAACTATAAATAAAGGTGTATCTACAAAAGCTGGAATATACATTTGTTTTGTCTGATTCAAAGTAATTGCATATTTTGCATATAAATTTACTTTAAATCACTAAATTCAAAGCAAATTATCGTAAATTGATATGCAAAATGTGCAAATACTTTTATCATGGAGTTCCTTGGTAGCGTTTTGTAACTAGGCCATGAGTGTGAGAGAGATACAGATATATGTTTGCTCTATTTGCACTCATGGCCTAACAGCAGAAAACAGAATGTAAAGGTGCCGTCCCATGTCGGCGTAAAAACGTCAAAGCGTCGGCGTCAAAACGTAAATGCATGAGAGTGAAAGAAGCAACCTTATATCACTATCTCGTTCACTCTCATACTTTAACGCCGACGCTTCGACGCTTTGACGTTTTTACGCCGTCATGGGACGGCACCTTTAAGCAGAATTTCGTGAGTGCATCTACTATTGTAGATACACCCTTATAGTTTGGTGTGAAGGATATTTGACATTTTTTGGTAAATTTTTTTTCTGTCAACCGACGTATAAATGTACCGCCTTAATATATACAGAAGAGAAAAAAAGAATTGTGTTATTTTCTAAGTGCCTTTTAAAAAAACAATAAATTTGTGTTTATAAAATGAACTAGGAGTAAAATCTGTCAGTTTACATAATTCATCTCTTTACAATATATAGTTATATGGATTGAATGTTTTCTCTCCACGATTTATCAACTCGATTTTCCTAATAACATAATGTCCAGAAATTGCACTGTGGTAAGCATTAGTCTTTTCTTAGTAACATAATATAAGTTAATTTATGTATTTATATTAAATCCAGTACATATTTGTTTATTCTCCCTTAAATGAAGCTTTATTTTAATTAAAACTTTCAGTTGTGATTTTTCATTGATTTCATTGTTTTTCGATCTCAGGAACTAATAAATAGTGTTTTTTTTAAATATCCTGATGTGTATGTGTGATAGTCAACATTATGTTTTGTCATATTCTTTTGAAAACTACAAGGTAGAGCAATACTTTTATCACCAATTTGTAGGTTTCTTTGAGGGACAACTTATATGGAAATAGCTTTTCCGAATTATAAATATTATTCTGTCCTCTTTTTAATGTAAATTTAAATAACTCATCTTTTGACCTATTAATGAATATTCTACCTTAAATTTACATTTATTATTTGTGACAAGATCCGAAGAAAGGTATACCTAATAAGCAAAACATTTTAAGGTTATATTTGTATCATTTTTACTTTAATTAAAATTAAGTTTCTACTTCCTTGTGTAAAAGTGAAATCAGTTTTTATTAATTATTTTATATGCAATTAAGATTTACATATTAGCAGTTTGTTATATATTAATGTTTTTGAGGTTAGAAATACAAGATTCTGTAAATTTACAGTAAAAAAGTGCGAAGAGCAATTTTCAATGGCACTGTAAAAAGTGTAAAATTCCAATCCAAATATGAATTCACTCTACTGAGCAATGGTTTTTCCCTCGCATAGCGGGAATATGTCACTTTCATTTGCAATAAGAATTTTAAAAAATCATTTAATTTTCCCTCCATACTATGTATATAGTTGATTTTTTCTTCCGTTGTTGAAAGTTTGTTAATATTCTTTTAATCGATTATCGGAAGAGTAATAAATAAAACACCATTAGTTGTGTTTCCATTGGTTGTGCAACGTGTTTCTGTGTATTGGTATGACACGATCATCAGGCCACTTATTATTAAACAATTAAATATTTTTTTTATAATTATTAATTTACGAATAAAATAAAATTAAGATTTTTACAAAAAGAAAACAAATGTTAGATATTAGATATTAATTTTGTTTTATTTGTTTTGTTTTTGTAAAAATCGTAATTTGATTTTATTCGTAAATTAATAATTGAAAAAATATTTCCTTGTTTAATAAAATGGCCTGATTATGATGTCAAACCAAGACACCGAAACGTTATGCACAACTAATAGAAAAGTGTTTTATTTATTACTCTTCCCACAATCGATTAAAATAATGTAAACAAATTTCGAAATCTATTTTTTTTTAGTATTAAATGTAAGGAATATTGGAGCTTATAAACCTAAAAGTCTGAACAACAGAAAACGGAAACCTTATGTAGAAATTTTATATACTTAATTAAAGTTGTAGCAGAGATAAATTATATATATTTAATGCATTTTATTTATTTATAACATTTATTTTAAAAATAAAGTGTATTCTCTAAAAAGATAAAGCAGGTTTTATGATTTTTGTTACAGAATTTATAATCGACTCATACTAATTCTGTCTAAGACTGATATTCATCAAGGGAAATTCCAACAGTTCGGTACTAATTGTAATTTATCCATTTGCGGTTATGGATAGCTCGAATAATTGCAGTGATCCTTCCGATGGAAGTGACCCACTGGTTTCTCCTGATCATGTTCACAAATTGAATCTTATTCAAGCTTTTCTTAAACATTATTCAGACAAGGAAACGGAGAGTGGAGGAACGTCAATGCCTACAGCCGAAGAACAGGAGGAAATGGTTCTGTTGACTGCGAAACGAGATAGAGATGGAAACAGTCTTCTGCACCTTGCGATAAAGGAAAACCAGACGGAGGTGTTCAATCAAATTGTCGGAGAGTGCAATGTAGACGCGGAAAATAACAGGGGTGAACGGCCACTCCATTGTGCTGCAGCTGATAGTAGAATTGAATTTGCATTAGCTCTTATCGAAAATGGTGCCACAGTTAACGTAGAAGACAATGAGGGAAAAACACCTCTTCACCTGGCTCTGAAAAATCAAAACGTTCTGTTAGCAGAAATTCTGTTTGATAGTCGCGCTGTTATGACTGAGGAATATATTAACAAATTTCAACCTCTTCATTGTGCTGCTGAAAGCGGGAATTTGGAAATTGTTAAATTGCTTATGACGAACGGATGTAAAACAGTCGATAGTTATGGAGGAATCCACGATTGTCCTCTTAAAGCTGCAGTAAATCAAGGTCATTTAGAAGTTGTAAAGTATCTGATGAGGAAAGGCGATAAACATATTAAAACCATCACTGAAGATCGTTGTGAAATACTTATGTACTGTGTGAAACCAGACCGAGCCGAGATTTTAAAATATTTAGTCGATGTGGGTATGAAAACAGATCAAAATTATTTAGGTATGGCTTTAAATTATAAATGCTATAACGTTTGGAAGTATTTAATGAGGTCTACCTCTAAAATGAATGCAAGTACATGTTGTCAAGAAACAGAGCTTCATTCGGCGATACGTGCAGGACAAGTGGAAACTGTTAAAATAATCATAAATAATCCAGCAAACTATTACAGACCTGACTCTCTGAGTAGCCAATTAGCCGTTCACATTGCCGTTGAAAATGGCGATGAAGATATACTAGAAGTTCTCTTAAATAGAGGCTTTCCTTCTAGAGGTTGTTTTGAAGAAATAAAACCTCTTCACGTTGCTGCAACATTCGACAACACGAGACTAGTAGAACTACTCTTGAAATCTGGAGCTGACATTAATTCAACAGCTGATAATATCACCCCATTATATTACGCAGCATGTGCAGTGCAGCCGAATGTTGTTAAATTTCTATTAGAAAAAGGTGCTGATCCTTCTAAAAGGTGTTGTTATGGTTCCTCACCATTAGAATTTGCATTAGATATGCTTACCGGACGATTTGGAAATGGTCCAACCATTACTACTGTAACGTATGAAAAACTTTTAAAAGTTATGGAAATACTTATCCCAAAAGTAAAAGTAAGACCAGATTACTGGCATTATGCAATCAAAATGAAGTTTTCGAGAATCAAAAGTGATTTAAATACGTATGGACAGACATCGAAAGAAGCGAGCAAATCAAAGCAAGATGTCAGTAATTTACAATTTCAACTTGCAATGATTAAAGTCATATTTAATTACCTAAAAGAAGATCAAGTGGAAAGTTTATCCCTATCCGCCTTGAATGGAAAGGAGGATAAATCAATTGACTCTCCTGAACTCTTGCAAATTGTAATGGAATACAATGATTGTAAGTCTTGTTCTGATATCGAAATACGACTTTGGAAAAATTCCTATGAGTGTAATTTACTTCTAATTGGTTACGCCGACAGTGTTAAAAATCTCACAAATATAGATGTTGAATTTAAGAACGATGTATCTTATTATAAACTGCACGGAAAAGATAAAACCGTCTTCTTGAAATTAATAGTTGCTCGTCTGGTATTGATAATCGATAAATATAATTCGAAAGTGTCAACATTTTGTAGGAAACACAATTTAAACGATTGGAGAAAGGAATGCGGAAAGCAAAAAGTTAGCTTGCAAAACACAAAGGTTGATGAGAATTTCGACATCACTTTCTACGATGTTTTAACTTCACCAGTCAGCAAATTCGCAACGTTCACGGGGAATGAGAATTTTCTTCAAAGCATCGCATCTTCCTACACAAAGTTTCCAGCGTATGCTGAATTTTTGAAAGTCAGTCTCGACAAAGGAAAAATAAGGAATGATTTAATGGACGATTGTGTGAATCATATGTTCAATCTGGTTGCAAGAAATGGCAAAATTCGAATTTCAAAATCTGATGTCGACCAAATTTTTCAATATCTTTCGGTATTTGATTTACGAAGATTTTCAGCAGCGTGCGCAAAAAAAGTTTTCAGATTATAAGACAATTATTTTTGTATGTGTAATTCTAATAGTTATGAATCTACAATTTGCATTATTTTCTACATTGTTTATGTTAAATTTAATGTAATAGAATGGGAATATTTTGTTAAAAACAAATAAAATATATTGGATACCTGATGAAAAAAATTAAATTTATTACAAAAAATAAATAGAAGTTTCTATATTGACAAGAACTATTTGTAAAAAAAATAAAAAATTACATAGTATGATTATAATAATTATAAACAATAGGTGAAATATTTATAAGAAAATAACGAAATCTAATTATTCAAAATTTTTTCAAATTTGCTTAAAGGCGCTAGCACAGCTCCTACTGCCTGCCTGCCTGCAGGTTGACATGGTAACACATAAGAGTAAGAGAGTCAGAAAATTCAAATTAAATGTTTTTTCTCTCTCACTCTTATGGCGCCTGCCTGCGCAGGCAGGCAGGCAGTGAGGTGACAGTCTACCTTTAAACTTCTTACTCAACGGTTTTCGGGATCGCTGATTAAGAATCTAAAGTGAGGATTAAAAAGTTAATTAAATTCAAAATAGTAGACTTCAGATTCGTAATCAGTGACCTTAAAAACCCCTGAGTAACAAGTTTTAAAAAACTGCAAGTACTGGGTTTCTCGGGGGCAGGAATGAGGGTTAATTACGCTGAAGGAAGTCTGTTTCATCTTTTGCGACGAGAGAAGTTGTTAAGGGTTCTTACCATTTTGCACGCTTGAAAATGAAGATATTTTCTAGAATTATTTTTACGATTCGTATGGATTATATTGATCTGCATCTTTTTTTACTTCAATCAATACACTCTTTAACTTTATAAAAACCCTTATTTTATTAAAAAAAATATTATTTGTCTATTTAAAATTTAACAATACTTTTAGACCTGCTGAATGTGCCGATGCCAGCTGCGTAATTGATTTCTCCGGGTTGAAAAATCAGATCCACAAAATTCAAGTTGATTTATGTTCAGTAGGATTGTGCTTATCGCCCGAACTAGAATTTTTAATTTTTATGCAAGAATAACAAAATGGCGGTAATTTAAACAAAGCTTTTCGAAAATTAAGGTTTCTTTTGCAGTTTTATAAAGTGCTTCTTAGGTACTTTTCTTGAGAGAGTGTCACATTTGGTTGGAATAATATAACAATTCTTGAAAATGTAAATATTTTTTACTCATTCTAATCGCCTGATACAATTATAGTTACAATTTTTGTTTCAGAACTATTAATCGAAGGACCATGGACACGTCAAGTGACTATAATGACTCTTCGTGCTACAATTCACTGTTTCTTGCCATTCATGATGGTAAACTAAATATTGCTCGCAATTTACTAGCGGCAGCTAGAGGACACGAAGAAATTGTTCGACTTTTCACAAAACGCGATGCAGACGGCAACACTCCTCTGCATCTTGCAGTGAGGGAAAACCATGCTGCAGTATTCGATTTGCTAGTCGAAGAATTTAATGTCAACTCGAGAAATTACAGGGACGAAACGCCACTGCATCACGCTGCAGCGAATGATCGCTTTGAGTTCGCAAAGTCTCTTCTGGAAAACGGCGCGATTGTTAATGTCAAAGATGCTAAAGGACGAACGCCTCTTTATCTTGCTATATCGAAACAAAACGTTCAGTTGGCAAAACTTCTGTTTAAAAATGGCTCTTTTCTGAGTGAAGAATGTTGTAACGAACTTCAACGCCATTCCACAGTCGATTTTAAAATATTTGAAGCATTCAAAAAGCAACAGACAAAAAAATGGGACGAATTCAGTACTGTAACCAACGAAAACTGTCCTCTTGTATCAGCTGTGTCATTTGGTCATTTAGAAGTTGTAAAATACCTGATGAAAAACGGATATAAAAACAGTAAAATAATAGAGAAAGATGGGAAGCTTCTTTTAGAAACGTGTTTAAAGTATAAATATTTAGATATTTTGAAATATTTAATTGATGCTGGTGTGAAAGCGAAAGAAAATTTGTTAGATTGCGCTATGCGTTGGAGCAAGTATGACATTTGGAAGTACTTATTAACATCTAATTCTAAAGCGAATGCAGATACATCTTCACATGAGTCAGAACTTCATTCGGCCATACGCGCAGGACAAGTGGAACTCGTCAAAGCAATTGTAAATAACCCAGAAGACGAATGCGAACCTACTTCTGAAGCTGGCAAATTAGCCGTTCACATTGCCGTTGAAAATGGCGACGAAGATGTGCTGGCAATTCTTCTAAGTGAGGGCTTTTCATTCGAGGGTTGCCTTGAATTTGAAGGTATAAAACCTCTTCACGTTGCTGCAACATTTGAGAATACGAGATTAACGGAATTATTATTGAAAGCCGGAGCTGACATTAATTCAAAATCTGTTGGAAATTACACCCCATTACATTTTGCAGCATATGCATTACAACCAACTGCTGTCAAATTTCTGTTAGAAAAGGGTGCTGATCCTCACATTGAACTGAGCGATTATAGTAAAGCGACACCTTTATTAAAGGTTTTAGAAATGTTTTCTCCTTTTATACATCCTGTGACCGTTACTGCTTCAATGTTTAAAAATTTAGTGAAAATTACAGAATTGTTAACTCCAAGAGCGATGAAAAAAAGCGATCAGAAATTAGTGTCAACTGCATGTAGTATAAGAGTGATAATTAATGACAATGAATTTGAGATGAACGCCAGCAATTCAGAATTTCGTCCCGATATTCTAAGATGTATATTTAGTTACTTATCTGATGAGGAAATCAAGAATCTTTCAAGATTTGCCTTGAATGCATATCGATTAACGTCCTCACCAGAATGTTTATATTCACTGATAGAATATGACGATTCGAGATCATGTGAAGTTGTTGAAGCTCGTGATTTTGACAATTCGGAGTGCGAATTGCTTTTAATTGGTTACACGAAAAACATTAAGTCTCTCAGGAATGTTGAACCCAAAATTACCTACGATTCAGATCATGCTAAAGTGAAAGTAGATGAGAAAAATTTGTTGAAGTTGATTGTGGCGCGTTTAGTGTTATTAACCGCCGACAACTATAATCTAAGAAAGTTGAAGAATTGGCCAAGATACAATATTAGGAGTTGGAAAATGAAGTGTGTAGAGCAAAAAGTCAGCATGAAGGAAACAAAGGTTCTCGAGAGTTTAAATATCACTTTCTACGATATATTGACTACATCAGTCAACAAGCTTGCAAAGTACACGAGGAACGAGAATTTTCTCCAAAGCCTAGAATCTTCATACAGCGATTTTCCGGCGTATGCTGCATTCTTGAAAGTCAGAATTGAAATGGCAAGAAGGAGAAATGATTTAGTGGACGAGTGTGTGAATCTTATGTACAATCTGGTTGGAAGAAATTACAAAATTCGAATTTCAATCTCCGATATGGATCACATTTTTCAGTATCTTTTAGCAGTTGATTTGAGAAGATTTTCAGCGGCATGTTCTTAAAGTGTATTTTCAGTGTTAAGAGAAAATTAGCTTTTGCGTTTGAAGTGTTTTCATTTTCTAAAAATTAAATTAAATATCATAATTGAAAATTCTCTAAATTTTCTGAAAAATGTATTTTATATTTTAAGTCTCGTCTGCAATGTTACTCTTCATTATCACTATCGTCTCCGTCGAATGAATAAGCGCTTCCTCATAGAAGAATTGTCTTAACAAATTTTCAAATTTGATTTTTTCACTTTTCTTTACGTTCCCTACGACCGTTTTCTTACGTTTAGTATAACTTGTCAATGCTCATTTTTTAATCTGTAATTGAACATTTTTCTGTAATGCCAGACAAAATTATTAACATTTTAAAAAAATTTATGTTAACAACGCAGTTTATAATACTGACAATAATATGAAAATCATAATGGGAAAGCAAAGTTTTTAATGAATTGAACACTTTAGTGTATTTAAATAATTTTCAAAAAAGCTATTTTCTCATCTATATTGTAAAAAGATTATTTCTTTATTAATAATTGATTTATTCTGTAGTTTAATATCAAAATTAATCATTTTTTTGCACAAGAAATTAAAATTTTAAAAAATTTAATATTTATAATACAAATTAAAAAAACGGACTCAAATAAATTGCAGACCACGGATCGATTTAAAAAGCTCAAAAGAGTCATTTTATTCGTTTCAACGTACAAAAGTCTGAAAAGTCGTTTATTTTACAACTGTTACAAAAGTTTTTTTTTCTATTAACCTGATTCATAAAAAATTCTATAATTTTTTCAATCAAATTCACAGAGTCAGCGACCTTAAAAACCCTAATAAGTTGCAAGCAATTATGTTTTAAATTGTTTTAGTTTGAAAAAATGTTTACCTTTTACATGTAATGTATTTTTAGTTTTTATTTATGAATTGGGTTTTTTGAGAATTTTTCTAGTACCTACTTTTAAACAGTGAAAATTTTTTTAAAAAGTACATACATGAAAAATTCTTCCAAACAAATCCTCTCAGATCTCGCACTCATCTACTAAAACATATATTATTTAATACTTTTTTTACTAATTTTTTTACTAAAAGCTACATTTTCCATATTTGAGAATTTACACTACCGCTACTTTAAATTTGTTAACAGTTGAAATAAAAAAATTATTTGAAACGATTCAATATTATTTTCACAAATTTTTTGTAATTCAATGATTTTTAATATCTAGGTACTATTTTTGTAAAAAAAATTCTCAAAAGAATTGAATAATTTAAAGAAAATGTTTATAAAATTTTTCGCAAACATTCAATTATTTTCATAAATAAAAAAGATGTCATAAAAAATTTCTGTTTTAAATTATCATTATTATAAAATGTTACTAAAAATTATCCAATATTTTAAATAAATGTTATTAAATATTTCATAAAACTTTGATATTTCACTCAGGGTGTCTAGCGAACCGGGAAAAACCCAGGAATTTGGTTCGACCTCAAAAAACCGGGAAAAACCCTGGAATTTTCTATTTATAGGGTATTTTTTGAATTATGTATATAAAAAATTATTATTTTTTTCAAAGCGTAAAATAATAACACGGTCACAGCTCAAATCGTCAAGGGTAAATTGATATAGTATGAAGCAGTAGTAAAAATAATAACTTAAATTTTATTTAAAACTAACTTAAGTACACGCTATATTATAAAAGTTAAAGGATTTTTACTATTATTATTTTTATATATAACAATTTATAGGTATACAATATGTAACAAATTTTATAAGAAGAAATTAAGAATCTTCTGTGATATAAATATGAAAGGCAAAGATTTTACTTTTTAAAACTAAATATGGGGCATTCCATTTCAAAACGATCCTTCTTATAAACAATTGACATTGTAAGGTAATTTTTAAATCATTATTTCTTATATTTATTGAAGCCAAATTTTATTTACTATTAGTGGTTTTAAAACAAAAATTTCTCAACTTTATAATGGTAGAAAATTTTTTTTTAAAATAATAGAACTTTTTGAATATCTCAAAACACGTCGCATCCGATTTTCTTGAAACTTATGTCGAAATAAAGCTTAAATATTCTAGTTTAATTCTATGTAAACATTATAATGAGCAATTTATGGTTTGAGAAATTAATTAAATTTTACAAGTATTTCAAAGGGTATAATGTATGTACCGAGCGGAATTTTTTTTCAAATTTTTCCACACTTCAACCTCTGACATCTTTGTAAAATTTAATAAATTTCTTAAATTCCCCTGAATTGACAATTATATTATAAAGTTGAGAAATTTTTATAAGTGAAATTTTGATATTCTATGTCAAGTTTTTAGAAATTATTGTATAACTTTAATGATTGTAATTTAATAAAAACAATATTTAATTACGTAAATAATGTTATTGATAAACATTTAAATATGTTTTTGAATCCTTTGTGAATATCCGGGAAAATTATTCAAGAACCTGGGAAAAAACCGGGAAAAACCCGGGAATTTTAAATTGACGAATCGCTAGACACTCTGTCACTGAATTTAATAAATTTTCTGTTTTGTCATTTCATTTTGTGCAGAAACAGCATAAGTCCAAATGTTAATTTATTTTTTAATTTTTTATATTAAGTAGGGTGATGTGGGGTGATGTGCAACGTTTTTTTTCGTTGGACGAAAAACATGTCAAATAATTAAATTTGTAAATATTTCAAAATTGAATGACTTAGAGGCATTATAATAGAATATTTCTGCATTATTAGATTTTCAGAATTTAAAATTTTTCCTACAAATTTTTCGCTTTTTTAAAAACGTCTGTTTTTGCATTTTCCAAAAAAGTTGGGGTGATGTGCAACACTAGTAAAATTCAGGTATGTAATGCATAAATATCGATAAAAATCTCTTTAATTATTAATTTTAGGCTTTTTCAATGCAAACTAATCGAAATCTGACAAAAAAAAATTTACTAAGGTATAGTTGGCCTCTAAAAAGTAGAGATTTCATCAAAGAAAAAAAATTTTTTTTGTTTAATTTTTTATTTATTAATAACTGAATAAGGAATATAATTAAAGGAAAATAACTAAGAATTTTTTATTCATCATGTGAATCGCAGCTATTGCACGTAAAGTATAAAAAAGAGAAAAGTGTTGCACATTACCCCAAATATGATATTTTGCGAAAAATGATTTGTACGCAATACAATGCAATGGAAACACAAAATATAAACAGATATTTAAAAACACTTAAAAAACCAACAATAAACACATTCTTATCTATAAAATAAATTAAAACCCTTCACGAAACGACTAGAAATATAAAGAGCGAGAAATATTTCCTTCTCGAGAAATTTAAGTCAACTTACGTACAGCGAACCTAGCTGCGAGCTGTCTCGTGAGTTTTATATAAAAAACAAGTTACTGAGGACACAAACAAATGTCAAAACTTGGCTCTGTTTAATATCAAACTGTTAATCATAAATCGGCAGTGTTGCACATCCCCCCATGTTTCACATCACCCTACATAATTAATTAATCATATTGGATTTTTAACTTACAGGTTTATGGACTTATGCTGTTTCTGCACAAAACGCTTCAATTAAAATCCATAAAATTTTATCTGTTTATATTTTTCTCTTAAAATGACCTAATATTTTAGGGATACTTTACACTTATTTTGCAACAATTTACCAAATTTTAGAGTTAATCCAATAAATTTTAATGTTGGATGGCTTTTTTCCAGGAAATTACACAGATATAAATATGTACGCAAATATTATTTATATTATTAAATATTGAAGGCTATCAAATTAAAACAACTTTTAACAAAATAAGATACCGTAAAATAGTTATTAATTAAGGACACTATAATATTTTATAATATCAAAACTATTTAAAATTTTTCAAATTGAAAATGTATTTCATTTATTTTAAAATACAATATATACTTAAAAAAAGAAAAGAGTTTTATAATAACACACTTATATCATATATTTTATAAAAAGTATGGTTTTATTGATCTTCGAACAATTCAAAGAAATAACCCTAAGGTTAATATAACATAACATTATTTTAGTGGATTTCACAATTACGTAACATATCATTTTTTCAACTGATAAACAGTTTACACTGACGACTTTTATGTTTCATTTATGTGAACGTTTAACATTTTAAATGTAACAAAAATAAATATAAAAGTAGTTACGTTTAGGTAGATATTATTGCCAACGTTTTAATCAATGGCGACATTTGAAAAATATCTATTATTCATATTAGTTAAAAATATGCAACTTTTCGAAAACAATAATGAGGAAATAATTTCGATATTCCATGACCAAGAAAATTACTTTCTTTGTTCAACGTTAAGAACAAATTTCAAAAAAACACTGCTGAAAATCTTCGCAAGTCTACGACAGAGAGATATTGAAAAATTTGATTGATATTAGCATTGGAAATACAAATTTTGTGATTTCTTTTAACTAAACTGTCCATTAAAGTAACGCACTGATTCATAAAATTCTTTCTTCGTTTTCCATTTTCAACGTTGATTTTCAGAAAATCAGCATACGCTGGAAAGTTTGAGTACGAGGATTCGACTGCTTTAAGGAAATTCTCGTTCTTCACGTACATTGAGAGTTGATTCACAGATACGGTTAAAACGTCGTAGAAGGTGATGTTTAAACCATCAGCAACTTTTGTTTCCTTCATGCTGGCACACTCCTTTTCACATTTCTTTCGCCAAGAAGTAAGTCGATTCTTTTCACAAAAACTGTACACGCTCGGATGACAATTCCTCGTTAGCAATAAGACTAAACGTGCAACTATCAACTTGCAGAAATCTCTATCTTTATCCTTCCTGGTATTTAAATAACATGAAGTACATCTTGTGCTTGTCATTTTCCAAAGTTCTTTCGCATTTTTAGAGTAGCCGATCAGAAGCACTTTGCTCTCATAATTTGTCCTAGAGGACAATTCACTTGAATAGTATCACATGATTTAAAATCATTATATTCCAATATGAGTTGCAATTGTTCTAGTGTATAATTACTTCGACAATAATTATTTATTAACGATTCTGAATGAGATTTGATTTTTTCATCAGTCAGGTAATTAAATATGCATTTAAAGATTTCAGAACGAAATTCCGATTTCTTCATGTCTTCCTCGTTTGATGCTTCATCTTCAGATTTGAAATTTGAAACACTTTGTCCACTGTTGCAATTGCTTGAAACTTTTAAATTAAAGGTATATCCAAATAATTCTGAAGCATCTTTAGAAAATGGAATTAGCATTTCTGTAATTTTGACCAATTTCTTAAACATTGGAGCCAGAAGTGATGAAGGTGAAAACATCCTAAAAGCCATTCTTAATGGCAATTCTCTGTATTTGCATGCTTTAGAAGGATCGGCGCCACTTTCTAGAAGAAGCTTCACAACCATTGGCTGTCCTGCAGCTGCTGCAAAATGCAACGGGGTGTAAAGTTCTTCAGTTTGAGAATTAACATCAGCCCCAGCTCCTATGAGCATTTTCACTAGTCGCGTGTGTTCGAACGTCGCTGCAGTGTGAATGGGACTTGTATTTTCGAAGCAACTTTCTACGGAGTAACCTGCATTTAGAAGAACTCGCAGAATTTCCTCACTGCCGTATTCAACGGCCATGTAAACAGCCAACCTGCTAGCTAAGGAGTTCGGCTCAAAATCGTCTGCTGGATTGTTAACGAGTACTTTGACGGTTTCCACATGTCCCATGCGCACTGACGAATGAAGAAGGGTCTCGCTGAAATAGGTTTTGGCATTTATCTTCGACGCGCATGTCAATAAATACTTCCATATGCCATGTTGATTTCTGAAAATTGCATCACTAAAATGATCTCTTTCTGATTTTACACCCACATCCACCAAGTATTGAAAAATTTCTAAATGACCAGGCTTAGTAACTCTAAGAAACAACTCTTGTCTATCTTCAATAATTGTTTCTTTTTCTTTCAAGCCATTATCCATAAGATATTTCACAACTTCTAAATGGCCATGCGTTACTGCAGTTGAAAGAGAAGAATCGACTTTGTTCAACCCTTTCGACATAAGCAGTTTTACCATCTCCAAATTCCCGCTTTGAGCAGCAGAATCAAGAGAGTCCATGTACTTCAAATCATTTGCACTTAAAGCAGCTCCGTTTTTGAAAAGAATTTCAGCCGTCTGAAGGTTTTGCTTCGCCAAGGCAAGATCAAGCGGTGAGAATGAGTAAGAATGAGTTAAAGAAGGATAGGTATATTGTTTATCCTTCTTTAACTCATTCTTACGGTAACGCGTAAGAATCAGATCTATTCTGCGTTGGCCTTTATTGTACAAAAACACCTTTGCAATCGAGTCAGTGTGAACCAGAATTTCTTCGACATTTTTCGGTAACTTTTTTTTCTACCGACAAAGATGTGAAAGCACCCTTAATTAAATATATCCTTGAGAAATTTGATCTAAAAAAAGTCGATAAAATAGAAACCTAAATATTTTGAATGAAAATAATACTTTTAAATTTTAGGTTAAGGTTGAAAGCAATGCAAAAACATACCAGGAGCTGTCAAAATTAAATGATTCAAAAGGTATTTAAATTTCAATAACACAGCTTGTACAACTATGTTTATAAATATTCAAAAATCATATTATCATTAACTTGTCAATAAAAAAGTTGCTTTTTAATGAGCATCTTGTAAATTAGTGAAAAATTGGTTTTTCTCTTTAAAATTTCTCAAACTTTAAGCACTTTTATTTCTTTTTTTAGGACCTAGATAAATTATTTATGTAAAAATAGGAATATACATACATAATGTACGACTCCGATCCTGTTTCCTATGACGTTAATATTTCCATTGGTAAGTTTGAATTTCAACAAGTTTTAGTTTAAAAAAAAGGAACGAGCCGATTAAACTGCTCATAACTTTGAAATAGTAATGTAGGGTGATTAGAAGTCCTGTTTTGGTGAGTGTCATTACAATATTCATTTTAATCTGTTGGTGAAGTTCAGGACGGTTGTAATTAATAATTTTAAAAAAATATTTTTCCCACAGAAAACAATAAACTTTTAATTCAAAAATAATAAATCACTGACAAGTTTTATCTTTGTGATCATTCCATAAAAATTTTGCTTCCTCCTAGAGAATGTTGAAATTTTTCATCTTGTATTCTAATTAAATTAATAAGAGGATAAAAATTTACCATGATGAAGTGTGTAATAATAAAAAGTACTTTTCTTACATTTTTTATTTTTAAGCAATTACACTAAATAGTCATTTTTTTCTTAATTATTTATAAGTCAATAGTTTTCCATAAATAAGTCAAAAAATGTTCCTAGTTAAATTAATTAAAGGGTTTCTAAATATACTATCAGGGTTGCCACATGTCAGGGAAATCAGTCAATTCAGGGAAAGTAAAATTGGTCAGGGAAAAGTTAGGAATTTTTATTAAAAGTACTGGAAAAATTTTTTTTCTACTTCTGACCACAATGGATTTTTAAATATTGTTCAAATATTTCAAAAGTTTTAACGCAATTATCTTGATAAATAACAAAATTCTTCACGGAAATTAAATTATTTTTAGGAATTTTAATAAAAATCTTTGCAAAATTAAATTATTTTCATAAATAACAATATTCGTCACAAGAATTCAATTATTTTCAAAAGTAATAAAATTCTTCGAAGAAATTCAATTATTTATAAAAATTTTAACGAATATCTCGTCAAGAATTCAATTTTCTTTATAAATAACAAAATTTTTCACCAAAAATTCAATTATTTTCAAAAATTTAAATAACATTTTTTGTAAAATTTCAATTATTTTCGAAAGTTTTTCGCAATTCAATAACTTTCAATATTTACTATTTTCATAAAATTTATTAAAAAATTTAATTTGTATTGAAAAACAATTTTTTGATACAATTCTACGAAAACATTTAATTATTTTGAAAAATAATAAAATTTTATTTAGGAATTCAATCAATTTCATTGCAGAATTTTAAATAAATTCCTCGAAAAATGCAATTATTCTTGAAAATTTTATTAAAACTTAACAAAAGAATTCAATTTTAAGAAACATTCAATTATTCAATAAAATAATAAAATTCGTTGCAAAAATTCAAATATTTTCATAAAAAACTTTTAATTCGTCGCGGAAAATAAATTATTTCAAAAATCTTTAAGTAATTCTGCAATAGAATTCAATTATTTTCATAAATAATAAAAATTTTCGAAGGAATTTAATTATTTTAAAACATTTCTATAAAATTCTTGGCAAGAATTCAAATTATTTTCATAAATGATCAAATTTTTTGAAGGAATTCAATTATTTTTAAAGATTTCTATAAAATTCTTGACAAGAATTCAATTATTTTCATAAATAATAAAGTTCTGCAAAAGAATTCAATTATCTTGATAAATAACAAAATTCTTTCCAAAAAATCAATTATTTTAAGGAATTTTAATAAAATTCAATTATTTTGATAAATAACAAAATTTATCACGAGAATTCAATTCTTTTGAAAGATAATAAAAAACTTTGCAAAAATTCAATTATTTTAAAAAAATTATTTTAAAAATTTTAGGAACGAATACAATTATTTTCTAAAATTTAAATAAATCGTTCCAAACAATTCAATTGCTTTATTTAAATAGTAAAATCTTTGTAAAAATCCAATTACCTATATTCAAAAAAATTTAACGAAAGAATTCAATTTTTTTATTCGTTATAAAATATTTCAAAAGAATTCAATTATTTTCTAAAATTTTAATAAATCTTTCGAAACAATTCAATTGTATTTAATAAAATTTTAATAAAATTTCTTGAACGAATTCAATTTTTTAAAATTTTTTAATATTTTTCGAAAAAATTCAATTATTTTCTAAAATTTTAATATAAATCCTTTAAATAATTCAATTTTATTTATAAATAGTAGAATTTTTTGCAAAAATTCTTTTTTTTCAATTTCTTTCAATTCTTTCAATTTCTTTTCAATTCTTTTCATAATTATTTCAAAAGAATTAAATTATCTTCTAAAATTTGAATTAAACTCAATAATTAAATGTGTTATTTCAATTATTGACAAACACGATTATTTTAAAATAACTTGAAAGAAATGGTTTATAAAATTCAATTATTTTCAAAATTTTCAATTAAAATTATTAAAGAAATTCTATTATTTAAAAAAAATTTAAAGAAATTCTTCAAAAAGAATTTAAATAGAATTTTCAAAAATTTTAACAAAATTCTTCGCGAGAATTCAATTATTTTCCTACATAATAAAATTCTTTGAAGTAATTCAAATATTATCAAATTTTTGATAAAATTCTTTGCAAAATACTGGTCGAATTAGGTTCAAAAATAGGTCGATCGAAGCATTTACCTTCGAGTAACAAGTTTCGACAAAGTACCCTTCCTGGGTTTCAAGAAAAAAATGAATTGTAATTTTTTTTAATAAAAACTTTTGTACCTCATTCATTTAGTGTATTAGGTATTAGCAGACAATTCAAATAATTATAATCTTGAGAAAACGGGGACCATTTTTTAGTCATCCATTTAGACCATTTGAGGATGTGCTTAAAAATTCTTCTATAATTTGATCACCCTATTAATAGCTAAGAAAAATAAAATTTTTAATGATTATTGTTTGTGTATACCTATTGCTGTAAGTGACACAGTTATTAAAAAGTAATTTTAAATTTGACATTATAGGTACCTGTAATAATGGAATGGGGGCAGTGAATTTGGCTTTTTACAAAGTAACCAATAAACCTGTAGTGATGAAAAAGTTTTATTTAGATAATACTGAACAAGAAGAGTACAATCTGATTGAGCAGGAAATCGTGAAAATGCGACACATGCAACATCCGAATATCTTACCATATCTGAGTGCTTTCATAGTTGAGCAATCGTTGTGTGTCGTGTCTCCTCTCATGGCGTATGGATCTTGCAGCAGTTTGATCGACGAATATTTTACTGAAGGACTTCCAGAATTAGTAATAGCGTTTGTTTTAAGGGATGTTTTACAAGGACTTGAATACATTCACAAGCGAGGTTTGATACACAGGTAAATAGATATTCTCATCATTTAAATGCCATTAAATATCATTATCATTTAAATATCATTCAATTTTCTCATTTTAGAGCAATTAAAGCAAGTCACATACTCATATCAATTTTGGGTCAAGCTTGTATATCAGGACTGAGGTATTCGTGTGAAACAACGGAACACGGTAAATGGCAAAGAAATTTGTTTTCCTTTCCAAAGACGATTGCTCCAAATCTAAAGTGGCTTAGTCCAGAGCTGCTCAAACAAGTAAATATGATCTCTACATTACTATTTATAACACTCTTGTTTTGTTTTTACCTGAATTTGATTTTAACAAAAATTTAAAAATTGTTATCATCTTATTATTAATTTTAATTAGGTATTTCATTTTTATTATTAACCAGCTGTTTTAACCTTCTTTGATGAGTCATCATCTTATACTGATTTAGATAATGATAATCCAAATCCAAAAAATTGTCTTTCACGTCCAAGAAATATTACAGGGTTGCCACAAATATTTAATTTTATTTTTCCCTGACTTTTCCCTGCTTTCCAGGCAAAATTTCGACTTTCTTCCGTGGCCCTAAAGAATATTCTGATTCACTCTAAAAATTATTAGATACTCAAAAAAACATCCTATTAAATTTACTCACTAATTTCTTAAATTGTAAAATTATTCGCAAACATCAATAACTAAATTTTTAAATAAGTATTTCATTATTATTATTCTTCTGTAGGAATTCAAATTTTTCAAAACATTCAAATTCAAACTTTTTTGAAATTCAACAACTTATAAGAATATTATTACAAAATAATAATAATAATAAAAAAAAAAAAATAATAATAATAATAATAATAATAATTTAAATTACCGTCAACAGGGGTAATTATGGAACATCAGAGGTAAATATGGAACGCGTAATTCTTTTTTATGTAAAATTTTTGTGGTAAATTATTTTAATTTGGTTCTTGTTGTAAATAATAGTTTAATATATTGCCTACAAAGTTACTCAGATGTTTTTATTTTTATTGTCATTGGCAACGAGAAAATAATTATTAAACATCGAAAAAGTGGAAAGGTTATTTCACAAAATGACAAAAGTGTAAAAATCTACTAATTTCTTCGAATTAAATTCGCGTTTAGTTTACTATTATTATCTATTATTATTTTACTCTGCAGTAGTAAATAAAGTTTTCTTAATATACAGACAAAGAAAATTTGTTATACTTGCTTTTATAATTAATTATAATAATTTGTTCTATAATTGCCCCAAATGCGAGACAATTACGCAGCAATATTTATGTTTAAATAACTCCGTCAAAAAATTTTTTTTTGTAAATGGAACTTGAAGGAAATCTTTAGAAGAATGTTCACAATATATTTGAATAGCTAATAACATTTTTTTGTACACTTTAGATTTTTAGTGAAGAAGAAACTCAAAAAATCGAGTTTTTTGTTCCATAATTACCCCTGTTGACGGTACTATAAAATTTTTCTAAAAAAAGGTAAATTATTTACAAAAATCCTAATAAAATCCTTCGCAAGAATTTAATTATTTTTACAAGTAGTAAAATTTCTCAAAAAAATTCAATTATTGAAAAAAAACTGTAATAAAATTCGTTGCAAGAATTCAATTATTTTCATAAATAATAAATCGATTATTCGGTAATTCATTTTTAAATCAATTTTTATTAGAAAATTCTAGAAGAATTCAATTATTTAAATTAAGAAATAAATAATTTATTGAATAATTGAATGTTTGTTAAAATTTAATTCTCATAAAGAATTTTATCAACAAATTTTTTAATAATTGAATTCTTTTGACAAATTTTAATAAAATTTTTAAGAATAATTACATTTTTCGAGAAATTCGATTAAAATATTGTATCAAAAATAATTAAAATCCTGCGATGAGTTTTATTATTCACGAAATTAATTCAAATTTTCCCAAGAATTGTAGTAAAATTTTTCTAAAATAATAAATTGGATTTCGGAAAAGAATTTTATTATTTATAAAGATACTTGAAACTTTGACAAGAATTTTTTTTTATCATAATTGAATTTCTGGGAAGAATTTTATTATTTATAAAAATAATTGAATTCTTGAAAAAAACTGTGTTAAATTTTTTTTAAATAATTGAATTCTTGCGACGAATTTTATAAAAATCTTTTTTAAAAATTGATATTTTTTGAAAAATTTTATGAAATTTTTTATTTTTAATAATTGAATTCCTGTGAAAATTTTATTATTTATGAAAATAATTGAATTATTTCGAAGAAATTTATTTTAAATTTTGTAAATAATTGAATTCCTGTGAAATTTTGCCAAGAATTTTATTAAAATTTATAAAAATAATTGAATTTCGATGAAGAATTTTATTATTTATAAAGATAATTGAAATTTTGAAGAGAATTTTTTTTTTAATTTTCGAACATAATTTAATTTCTGCAAAGAATTTTATTACTTTTGAAAATAATTTAATTCTTTCTACGAATTTTATTCAAGTTTATAAAAATTATTGAATTACGGTGAAGAATTTTATTATTTATAAAAATAATTGAATTCTTCAAAAAGAACTTTGTTCAATTTTTTTTAAATAATTGAATTCTTGCGACGAATTTTATAAAAATCTTTTTAAATAATTGATATTTTTCGAAAAATTTTATGAAATTTTGTATTTTAAATAATTGAATTCCTGTGAAAATTTTATTACTTATGAAAATAATTGAATTATTTCAAAGAAATTTATTAAATATTGAATAATTGAATTCCTGTGGAATTTTGACAAGAATTTTATTAAAATTTTTAAAAATAATTGAATTTCGATGAAGAATTTTATTATTTATAAAGATAATTGAAATTTTGAAGAGAATTAAAAAAAATTTTTTAAAATAATTGAATTTCGATGATGAATTTTATTATTTAAAAAGATAATTGAAATTTTGAAGAGAATTTTTTTTTAATTTTTGAACATAATTTAGTCAAAAAATCCAATATTTTATTGAGAAAAATCCAAATATTTCAAAAAATACTTAACGTATTGAAATTTCCTGAAAATATAGAGATTTTAACCCAATTAATAATTTTTCAGAATATTTTACAAATCCGTTTAGAAGTTTAGTCTCCTCGTTTGTTTAAATTTAAAAAAATCCAATTTTTTTGAGAAAAATCCAAATATTTCAAAGAATACGAAATATATTAAAATTTCTTGAAATATATATCGAGATTTTAACCTATTTAATAATATCGTTTAGTAGTTTAGGTTTTAGGTTTTGTCTAAATGTCAAAAAGTCGCTATTTTTTCAGTTTTCTTTTCTTAAATTCTATAAAAGAATCAAAAATATTGAAAAACAACAGAATTCTTTCATTTATTATTCTTTATCCAACAAAAAAAATTGAGCAAAATCGGTTAAGATTTGCTTGAGTTATTGGATTTTATAAACAATTTTTTGATAGGATAAGAATTGATCTTTGAGAACCGCTAATATTTTATTAATTAATTTTACGAAACTTTTTATAGGATCTTCATGGGTACAATGAAAAATCAGATATCTACAGTGTTGGTATGACAATTTGCGAACTTGCAAACGGAATTGTCCCATTTTACGATATGCCAGAGACATTAATGTTAACAGAAAAAGTGCAGGGATGCGCTCCACACCTAATTGATCGATCATCGTTTCCTCAGGACACTGACCAAATAAAACAATGTAATTTTTCGCTAATATCGCATGCTTAGCATACACTAATTTTGATTCTTTTGTTAGTGATAATTTTTTTATTTCAGCAAATGGGAATGCTAGCAATAACAGTTTGAACGTAATTGACAAGCGCATCGAGTCTTTATCGACAAAAGAGTTTTCAGAACCGTTCCATTCAATCACAGAAATGTGTTTGCAAAGCGATCCTGGTAATCGACCTTCAGCCACTCAACTCATTTCACATCAATTTTTTAAGCAATGTCGAAAAACCGATGAGACTTTAGTTGACATCCTGAAAATTGTCACGCCAATACATCAGAGAAAAATCGAATATGCTGGTACTTTTTTAAAAAAAAAACTTGATTACTTTGATATTATTCACAAATAATTAAAACAAACTTTATTAATCGCCAATAATTTTGTTTTAACAGGAGATCGACAAATGACAATTTCAACTGAACAAGTTTGCAACCTGAATTTAGAAACCTACCAATGGGATTTTGAAAATACCTGAATAAATTTTAAATGTTTTAATTTTTTTTTATTCTTCCTAGTAATGAATTTTGTATTTTAATGAAAGATTTAATTGAATGTATAATTTTAAATTGTTACATGTTACGTATTTTATTGAGACTGAATGTTATTTCGAGTTTGTACCTAAAATTCTAAGTAAATGTACTTTTTTTGTACACAATGTGAAAGTAATTTTAATTATTATATTCATAAGAAAACTAAAGTTGTTTTTTCTAAAAAAAATGATGGGTATTTCCGGTAAGAAGAGATGAATTAAAACGAATTAAGATTTTACAAAATTTCAAAAATTACATTCATTCGGATTAAGATAATTATGAATTTTTAATTCAATTGAAATCGTTTGGATGCGCTTTAATTCCATTTTATTAGAATGAATTAAAGTGTCAACAATATTTACGTTGTGTTTGTAAATATTTTATTTTTTTCAATCTCTTCTTATCTGGTGTTGTATTTATTTTTATTCCTTTCTGAAACTTAATTTTGAAAAAGAATTAATATCAATAATTAATAATTAATTAAAAGAACTAGCAACAGTTCGCGCGCGGCTAACTTTTTACTGCCCTTTTTAAATAAAATTAGCAATTTTAAAAATAATAGTATTTTCAAATTTTCTAATTTAAATTTTTGTTGAAAACACTAAAAAAATTCAATTTTGGAGAAATTACAAATAATTGCGAAAATTTAATTATTAAAAAAAATAAAATAAAATTCTTCTTATAAAATTCAACTATGTACAAAATTTGAAAAAAATGTTCGTAAAAATACCAATTATCTTTATAAATAACAAAATTCTTCTCCAAAGTTAAATCATTTTTATAAATGTCAAAAAATTTCTTGTCCTAATTTCAATTATTTTCAAAAATTTTTTCTAATTTCAATAATTTTCAATATCTACTGTTTTAATAAAATTTCCCAAAAAGAATTCAATTGTTTAAAAAAAATTTTAATAAAATTGTATGCAAACATTTAATTATTTTCACAAATATTAAAAATTTCACAGGAATTCAATTATTTTCATAAATAATAAAATTTTGTTAAGGAATTCAATTATTTTCATAAAAAATAATTTAAAATTCTAGAAAATAATAATTGAATTAAAATAATGATTTTATGTCATCTTTAATTATTAGAAAACATGAAGAAATCGATCACTCCGAGTGTTCGACTCGGAGCAATCGATATCTTCATGTTTTATAACAAAAAATACTTTTATAAGTTGTTAAATTTAAAAAAGGTTTGAATTTGAAATTTTTGAATGTCTTAATTCCTGTGGAAAATCCTGTTCCAAAAATAAGATTAAAAATAGAAATTGTGCAAATATTTTTCTTCTTTTTCTAAAACAAAATACCTATTAATTTTGTTAAAAAAATTATGATTCATAAACAAAAATAATGCAAAATAAATAAATTTTCTATTTCTTAATCACAGTTGTTTAACGATTTTCTAATTTTGTTTAGAAGTAAAGAACAAAAATCTGCATAATTTCAATTTGACAAAACATAATATTTAATAAAATTTTAGTCGTTTAATCAAAAGAAGTGAAAAAAATTCTGAGGATTTCTATTTCTCATTACAATTTTGAATTAATTATAAAATAAAAATAATTATAACATTAATTAATTAATTAATTAATTAATTAATAATAAAGTACATGTTCAGGTAATCTGTTCGCAATTTGAAGTTAGTTGTTGTTTGTTATTTATTTCTTAACTTTTTTATAATTTTTTTCTTTTCAAATATTTTTACTTTTAAAATTAATGTATTGAAAATCATCGAATTGTTGCAAAGAATTTTATTAAAAAATTTAATAATAGTAGAATTTCTTCAAAGAATTTTATTATTTAGGAGAATAACTGAATTCGCGCAGAGAATTTTATTAAAATTTTTAAAAAATCCTAATTAAATTCTTTTGAAGAATTTGAATTTCTTTGAATTTTTTTTAAAACTAATAAAGTTTCTTTAATAATTTTAATTTAAAATTTTGAAAGCAATTGAATTTTTATTAAAAGTGAATTGAAAATAATTGAATTCTTGCAAAGTATTTTACTATTTTTAAAAATAGTTGAATTGTTTCGAAGAATTTATAAAAATTTTAGGACATAATTGAAATTTATGGAAATATTTTAAAATATTTTAATTCATCCGAGGAATTCAATTAAAATTGTTTTGAAAATCATTGAATTTTTTTAAAGATTTTACTATTTAAAAAAATAATTGAATTGTTTAGAAGGATTTATTCAAATTTTAGAAAATAATTGAATTCTTTCGTGAAATTTAAAAAAATTTTTTGCAAATATAAACAGTAATAATTAATTTTGTACTTAATTAGTAAATTTTTTAAATTTTGATTATGAAATTATTTAAAAAAAATTATATTTGAAAATAATAAATTTTGAAATTTGCATAAAAATAATAAATTGAATATCACGTTCCGCGCGTAACATTTTCTAGTAATAATAATATAATATACAATTTATCTAAAGATAAGAAAAAACAAAAGTATAAACAAAAGACAACTTCAGAGTGTGAGGGACAGAAAAAGTGAATGAATGAATGAAAGAACATTCAAATTATTATAGTTAGGTAACTAATGTGATTTTGATAGAAAAAAACAAGATGATTTTATTTCTGCATTTTGGCTTATAAATTTGTGATTGATACATTTAATTTTCGTTCATATTGTTTTGCTATTTTTTGATTACAGGTGAATGTTGCAAAAACTTTTCTGACACTCGTGCGTAAAGCTGATTATACCTTTGCACAGTGGGTTAAAAGAGGACAAAAAGTGTAAAAATAATAGTCTTATAATAACGCAAAAAAAATTTACAATGTCAAAAACATTTGTTAGTCAATTTTTTCACTAGTTTTTACATGATTTATTAAAATTTTTACTCTTGTGCTTACTTTCGATTCATTGTTTCCTTTCGTTTCATTAGATACAATATACTTTCATTTATGTTAATCTCTTCCTCAGATCGGTTGGGGTACAATTTTTCTAAAAAAAAATTTCTAATTTTTTTTCTAATAAAGTTTGATTTCTAAAATTTTGTTTTCTAATAAAGTTGGATTTCTAAAATTTTGTTTTCTAATAAAGTTGGATTTCTAAAATTTTTTTTTAATAAAGTTGGATTTCTAAAATTTTTTTTTCTAATAAAATTCGATTTCTAAATTTTTTTTTCTAATAAAGATTGATTATTAAAATTTTTTTTTCTAATGAAGCTCAATTTCTAGTTTTCTTTTTTTAATAATGTTGAATTTCATATTTTTGTTAGCAACTTCGCAGAAGTTGGAATTGGAATTGAGACAAAAAATAAAAAAATAAGTAGATTCCAGATACAAACGGATTAGTGAACGATTGTACAACATTGTCTCCAATTACGAAAAATAATGACAAAAAAATAAAAAAATAATGACATTTTATCTTACCTTAAAAGTATCGGGCATAACATAAATTTTTAACCTTTTTATTTATATAATTATTTGTTTATTTACTTTAGTTACTGTGTTTTGATCATATTTTTAACTTTTTAATAAATTTATTTTTTTACAAAAATGCACTTTAGAAATCATATTTTTAGAAAATGTTATTTTAGAAATTATGTTTTTAGAAAATTTTATTTCAGAAATAGAACTTCATTAGAAAACGGTTCTTTTTAGAAGAAATGGATTAGAAAATACTTTTTAGAAAAAGTTTAAGTAAATGTTGCGCCTTTTAAGAGTTTTTTTTTATTTAAGTGAGAAATTAGTTAAAATAGAGTTATTCGACAATGAAAATTACTTTCAAAATTAAAATATTTTTCTATTTAAAATAAAAGATACAAAGGCGACTAGAAATAATAGGCTTTCATTTTACTGCTTTGTAAATTTTTTTTTCCTTTTAAACCTCAGAATGTATTTTTGATTAATTAAGAAAATAAAGTACAAAAAAATTAACAGAATACAAAACATATTAAAAGAAGGATAAAAATTTAAAAACGGCTTGGAAGAAGGTTTAAGAGTAAACAGCCAATATCCTAAACGTAATTTAAAACTTATAACGTAAAATTATCACAGTCATATACTCGTAGTAACTTATACACTTAGCCTATTTGAAATTTGAATTTAGATTCTTAATCCCTAACCGCAAAATGTCAAGTTTTTTTTTTTTTTTTCATGTCAAGTTTCATGAAAGAAAATCAATTTGTTACATTCTACGTCGGCCATATTGGATCCGCCATTTTGAATTTTCGAAATCTGACTTTAAATTCGTAATCAACGGTTATTGATTTTTAAAAATTGTCGATTTCGTCCCACTGTGCTTTTATTCGTCTTCAAATTAAAGATTCATTTCACTCTTACTTTACGCACTTGTATCATACACATATAACTATATATTTTCTTTTGAAATACAATTTTTCTCTAAATTCTTCAAATAATTACTCTTTGATTGCACAAATATAATTATAAATATTTAATAAATCAATAACCTTAAAAAATTGTTATTGACCTAGTAAATTAATCGATATAATATCATTTAACATTTGATAAATTTCTATAGATATTATATGTAAATTACTTGAAAATTGTATAAATAGTTAGTAAATAGATTTACAAAATCAACATCGAATACAGGAAATGTTTATTAGCCTCAACTAATAAATATCTTTGATAGATTATTTCCTATTATCACACAATCACACATACATTTTTTGTATTTTGACAATAGTTGTGCTCTACGTATATTGTTATAAATATCATAAAATCTGATATTCAAAATTTTTTCTGCTTCAATGAAATTTGTACCAGTTTTTATTAGGAAATTCAATAGAAATGGAAACTAATAACTAAATTTTCTCACTTTCTCTGTTTTCATTTTGTAATTTTAACTGAACTCATGTCCCCCGGTTAATTATTAAAATCCACTTTTATTTTAACATTATAAATTCTACCACATAAATATAAAAGTCAAGCAATAAACATTGTTTACAACAGGCACACCTACTAAAGAATTACAATTATTATAGATGTAACGAACAATTAATTTCAGCAGTAAAATATTCTCAAAACTTTTAAAATTCTTCTTTTCTCTTCTCTACTTCAAGATATATAAATTATTTAGTCACTTTAATTTTTTTTTAAATATTTAACTCTATAAATTTAGTTTTGATAAAAATTGATTACCAGTTTTCATCATCACTGACTTGATACGATCCGCTCGTAGTATTTGACTATGAATTTGCATATAATGTTCATAAGATTCCCGATCGTCCTTTGGTAGAATATTGTGTAAAGCTTGGAGGGGTAAAGTCTTTGCTACGTGAGTCAATGTATCTGAAAATAAAACAAGAATATTTTTTAAAATAGTAATTAATAAAAATTAATATATTATTTTAATTAATACAATATTATTTTGCTATTTTATATATGTCGCATAAATTTACAACAAAAGTCACGAAAAGTAGTAAAAAATTTCCGAAAAAGTCGGAAAAAAGTCGCATATGAAATCTTAGAAAAAACGACAAAAAGAAAACACGAAATTGTAAAAATTGTAAAAAAAATCACATTTCTCGACAACAGATGCATTAATATCAAACAATACGGAATAAAATTTTAAAAAAATTTAATAAAATTCATAGCAAAATTCTAATTAGGTATTTTTAACACTTTTTTAAAAAAATTCTCTTTAAAATGTCAATTATTTTTATAAATAATAAAATTCTTCTCCGAAATTCAATTATTTAATAAAAATTTTAATAAAATTCTTCGCAGAAATTCAATTATATTCAAAATTATTTTTAATTTTTCGTCAAAATTTTATAAATAATAAAATTCATCATAAAAATTAAATTATTTTCAAAAGTTCTGGTAAAATTCTTTGCAAAATTCAATTATCTTCAAAAGTAAGAAAATTCTTCTGCAAAATTCAATTAATTTCAAAAATTTTTTTAAAATTCTCCTCAAAATTTCAATTATGTTTATAAATATCAAAATTCTTTTGCAAAATCCAATTACTTTTAATCATTTTTAAAAAAAAGTCTGTTCAAAATTTCAATTATCTTTGTGAATAATAAAATTCTTCACTGAAATTCAATTATTTGCAAAGATTTTTAATAAAATTCTTGTCAAAATTTAAATTATCTTTATAAATAATAAAATTCATCCTAGAAATTCAATTATTTTCAAAACTAATAAAATTCTTCTCAGAAATTCAATTATATTCAAAATTTTTTTAAATTTTTTGTCAAATTTTTATAAATAATAAAATTTATCATAAAAATTAAATTATTTTTAAAAGTTCTGATAAAATTCTCCTGCAAAATCCAATTACTTTTAAACATTTTTTTTAAAAAATCTGTTAAAAATTTCAATTATCTTTGTGAATAACAAAATTCTTCTCTGAAATTCAATTATTTGCAAGGAATTTTAATAAAATTCTTGTGAAAATTTTAATTATCTTTATAAATAATAAAATTCATCCTAGATAATCAATTATTTGCAAATTTTTTTTTTAAATTTTCCTCAAAATTTCAATTATGTTAATAAATATAAAAATTCTTCTGCAAAATCCAATTACTTTTAAACATTTTTAAAAAAAAATCTGTTGAAAATTTCAATCATCTTTGTGAATAATAAAATTCTTCTCTGAAATTTAATTATTTGCAAAGATTTTTAATAAAATTCTTGTCAAAATTTCAATTATCTTTATAAATAATTAAATTCATCCTAGAAATTCAATTATTTTCAATTTTTTTTTAAATTTCTCGTCAAAATTTTAATTATTTTCATAAATAATATAATTCTTACTGAAAATTTAATTATTTTCAAAAATTCTGATAAAATTCTTTGCAAAATTCAATTATTATCTTCAAAAGTGAGAAAATTCTTGGCAGAAATTCAATTATTTTCAAAATTTTTTTTTAAATTCTTCTAAAAATTTAATGTATTTTAATTAATAAATATAAATAATAAATAATTGTATCTTTGTAAATTTTAAAATTCTCCTGTAAAATTCAATTAGTTTTAAACATTTTTAAAAATATCTGTTAAAAATTTCAATTATCTTTGTAAATAATAAAATTCTTTTCTGAAATTCAATTATTTTCATAAATAATATAATTCATACTGAAAATTTAATTATTTTCAAAAGTTCTGATAAAATTCTTTGCAAAATTTAATTATCTTCAAAAGTAAGAAAATTCTTCGTAGAATTTCATTCTTCTACAAAATTCAATTACTTACTAATGTTTTATAAATTTCTTCCCAATAATTCATTTATTTTCATAAAAAATAATTAAAATTTTTTTTTTTATAAAGTCTTATAATATAAAATAATGATTTTATCACTCGGTCATCTTTAATTATTATAAGTTGTTTAATTTCAAAAAGATTTGAATTTGGATCTTTTGAAGAATTTTAATTCCCATGGAAAAATAATAATTAAATATCTCTGTAAATATTTATTTAAAAAAGAAGTTATTGATGTTTTTGAAAATTTTGAAAGAAATTTGTAAATAAATGTAATAGAACATTTTTTCAACTCAAACTTTTTCTTTTAAATTTTTCAAAAAATTTTTAAATTTCAGTCGCATTTTACTAAAAAAAATCTGGAAAAAGTTTGAATATTTATTTGAAAATGACGATAAAGTTGTGTGCGAAAAATTTTGAGATAAAATTTATTATTTTCAAAGTTTTAAAATAGGATAGAAAAGAAAAATTTATCAAAAAAAAGAAAATTTATTTTTGGTTCAAATAAAAAAAAGGAGAAAGAAGAAATTCTTACCTATTAAAGTTTGCTCGAAGAAACTTGTCAATCCCTGTTTAGTTTTTACTAATAAAATTTTGTTTTGTAACATTTCTATTAAAGCTTTCCATTCTTGTTCTTTGGTATATTTATCCTAGAAGAAAAATTAGAGACGAGTGAGCATAAAATATAATTTTTTCAAAATGTAGATATCTAAAAAAATTCTTACCTTGGCATAAAATAAAATAACCTGAGGACATTGTTCCAACAATATTTTGGTAACCATCTCAGTATTTTGATTACATAAACTTTTTAAAGACAAACTTCCTAAAATTTCTTCTGTTTCTAAAAATTGTAAAATCTCCTGTAAACATTCCGCGGGCAAATAACCACTAGCTATCAATGCTTGAAGTTTTAAAATTTCACAGCGAACATTCTTTTCAATTTCACCATCGGCAAGCTGGTCAATAATTTCAGAATGTAAATCAAGTCCGTAATTCTTCGAGCAAGGTGGCATTTTATTTAGATAGACTGGTCTCTTATTGGCGAAGAGATGAATCTCCTCATTGTGGTGTTTCTTCCTCCAGTCTGCGGGGTTAGACTGAATTAATCTTCCCAAATAAGAACGTACAAGAATTTTAAAAGCCTCAATAGTCGCGAAATCGTAGCTTCCCTTCTTCTTATCAAGTTTAAAATATTTTCTCAAATAGATTTCGATGAAAAATTGTAAAGCAGCCGCTGCATCGTGTCCGTCTCGACCGACTCTCGAGGGGAGGTATTCCAAAAAGACTTGCATAATTTGATACAGAGTTAACGTATCGTCATTAATCAGCTGTGTTAGAATTTCAGCGAAGACGTTCGACTTCCATCGCATCAGCGCTCCTGAAAAATTGGAAAACGAGAGGGTCTCCGATTTCTTGATATTCACGTTCGAATCGTCGAACAAAAGGTGCGGGTACTCGAGAATCATCTGCTCGATAAAAACCCCCGAAACGGGTTCCATAACTTGTTCGACAAGTTCATCTCGTCCGGCTTCCGTGTACAGTAATATCAAAGCCAGACGATTATAGTCGTCGTACTCGTGAGATTCTAAAAGTTTTATCAACTTCTCGGTCGCGTATTCCTGCAGGACACTACTCCCGAGAATTAATTTCAATAAACCCTGTTTCGTCTCGGTCCCGATGATGTCGACTACATTGTGACTTTGGAACAGTTCGTCAGCCTCGACTCCGCTTTTCATGGTCAGGAGACTTTCGGTTAGGAATAGAACCAAGCCAGGAGCACTTTTAGCGGACTTTCTAGAAAGTACTTGATTTACTTTCAATCCAGACATCTTGTAGTAAGGAATCGAGAGTCGCCAGTCGGATTCCGATTCAGCTTCGATGTAATAGTCGCCAAGGAGCATACAGGACTGATCGTAGAGATCGTCCAGTGCGCTTCTCGGATTCGGCGGAAAATTTTCCTCGTCGAACCGAACGACGTCCTTTGCCAAACGAACTATCGCATGCGCCTCCTCTAGCAAATGTCGATAAGTCGTCGGACTGGTAGATTTATGATTCCTCGCCGCGTTCAGAATATCCACATATATTTCATCCGGTTTAGGAAGCTTTAGTGAGTATAGAGTCCAGGAATTCTCTGCCTTCGCCAACAGGACGATACTCTTCCTAGTACTGAGAATCGTTTCGATTCCCAAAAAAGGTCGTAAACCTATTAAACAAACGGGTTCGGTGACGTCGGGGCAAATTTCCTCCGACTCGGACGAATTAGTGGTGTTAATAAAGTTCTTCGCCACGTGATGAGAGATCCTAAGCGTATAGGACTCGAGCCCCGCTTCGGTGAGAGCGTGCAAAACTGTGTGCTCCAGCGCGACGTGCGTGACAGGAGCAGTAAAAGTGTAAGTCGTCAAGCACGTGGGATTAAAGTCCTCCAGATTGTCAGCAGCGAAATGATAAATATACCCCTCTTGGGACGTGCAAATCAAACATGTCATCCCATGCAAATATTTATACTTCTCCGACTTTAGAATACACTTTTTCGCACCGGAATTATTCTTATTCTTCGTTTCCAGATACAGGGGCTTTAGAATCGAAGCCGAAAAGTAATCCCTACTGGAAAACGATTCCTTCGCAATCTCCAGTCGGAGAACGCTTTTAATGGCGAAATTCTCTGACCAACCGCTATCGGGCGATGAAGTTTTTATGAAAACTTCCGTGTCTGGTGAATTTAGAATGAAGGGACTTAGTGTGTGACCTGGACCGGCTCTCTCTAGGCTGATTGATGGAAAGTTGACTGTGAACGGTTCGGAGGCTGAACTGATCAATTCCTGACGAATAAGGGAATTAATTTCTTCTCGTTCGTTGTGAATCAAACGATCCCAGTCGATGAATTTTCCATCGATGGCTCTTGATTTTACGGCTTGCAGCCAACTTGAATTAAAGTTTCGAGTTGTTTGGGAATTGAAGAAGTTCTTGTCGTGTTCGGAGAGTTTTAAAGCATTTCCATTTTGGAGAACTTTGCTGGGAGTCTCTGAACTTGAATTGTCATAATCTGAGCGATTCGTCGATTGGGTTGACTTCGAGCATGAATTTTCCGATGTTAGCGAGCTGAGGTGATCGATATCTTCGTAGAGGGGATTAGTCAGTCTGAAATGGTAAAAAGTATTATTAATAAGCGTGAGTAAAAAATAGGTGAAAAAGATTGATGGCTTTCAGGAAGTTAACACCAAACAGTTTTAAAACAATTAAAAAGTGTCGATATAGAAAAAATTTTAGAAGAATTTTATATTTTTCCGATCAAAATTCAATAGAATTTCCATTTCTATTAAAATTCTTGTTTTTAAAAATGTTAAATACAGTAAAATGTAAAATTTATGTTACAAAAAAGATCGATGATTATTTTGAAAAAAAAAGGTTTGGAAAAAAAATCTTAAGCAGAGTTGCCACAAAAATTCGATTTTATTTTTCCCTGATTTCCAGATCAAAAATTTATTTCTTCCTTTTTAAAAAATTTCATTATTCCCTAATTGCTATAAAAGAAATTAAAAGAGAGTTTAGTTATGTATAAAAGCAGTTATTTTCAGAAGCAAAAATGTAACTAAATTTAATTTCCAATAAAATTTTTTAAAAATTCAATGATTTCGAAGAAAAAAATAAGAAAAATTCTTGAATAATTCAATTATTTTCAAGACTTTAATTAAAATTCACTTTTTCAAAGAATTCAATTATTTTCAAAAAATTCTTTAAAAAAGTCATTTATTTTCCCACCAATAAAATTCTTTAAAAATACTATTATCTTCAAAAATTTTCATAAAATCTTGAGAAAATCAAATTATTGTCAACAAAATTTTAGAATAGTTTATTACAAAAATATTTAAGTATTTGTTTATAAGAATTAAATTATCTTTAAAAAATAGAATTGAAATATTAAAAAAACACATTTTTTTTAGAATTTCAAATAAAACTTTTCGAAACTTCAGTTTTTTAAAAAAAATTTTAATTGAAATCTTTTTTAAAATTAATTAATTAATAAAAATTGTAATTGTAACTTTTGGAAATCAAATTATTTTAGATGCAATTTGAACTTTTGATTGCTGTTTTTATACAGTAATAAACATATGAATACATTCGATTCTGTGTAAAATTCAATTATTTATTTAATTTTTATTAAATTAAAATTCCCTGGAAAAATTGTTTTTTTAAAAATATTCCATTAATTTGATAACTTTTTAATAAAATTTATCTAAAAATTCAAATATGTACCTTAAAAAAATTCAATTAAAATTTTTCAGATAACTAATTTTTTGAGAAGTTCAAATAAAATTGTTTAAAACGTAAATAATTTTTTAACTGAATGTTTAATTATTATTAATTTTTTCACAGAAATAGAAATTTTCAAAAATTAAAGTTTAAAACATTCTAAAATTCAATTATTTCTAAAAATTACAATTTTTTTAACTAAAATCTTTTTTTGAGTTAATTTTAATTAATAACTTTAAGAAAGTTATTAGTATTTATAAAAATTATTGAATTTTTTTAGATAATAGTTTTTTTTAATAATTTTAATGGAAAATTTTAAAAGTATAATTGAATTTCATGAACAATTTTTTTCAAGTTTTTAAAATAATCGTGTTTGTTAATAATTGAAATTAAACGTTTGATTATTAAATGTTATTAAAATTTTTAGAAAATAAATTTTTCTCAGAATTTTATTCCAATTTTTTAAGACAATTGAATTCAAGGAATTCACTTAAATACATTACAAGAAATTGTATTAAAACATTGAGAATAATTGAATTCATTCAAAATATTTCTTTAATTTTTTAATATTATCGATTTTATTAATAATTGTAATAAATAATTCTACTGTTAAATTTTATTAAAATTATTGATTATAAATTAAATTCTTTGGAACAATTTTGTTAGAGTTTTCGTAACCTAAAAAAATTAAATTTTTTGAAGAATTTCTTTAAGTTCTTTTGAAGAATGTATTTCAATTTTCTTGAAAATAATTGAGTTTTTTTAATCATTTTTACTGAAAATTTTGAAAGTAAGTTTTATTAAAATTTTCTTTTAAGTTTTTAAAATAATTATGTTTATTACTAATTGTAATTAATAAGCTTCCTATTCAATGATATTAAAATTATTCAAAGAAACATAAATTCTTTTAAACAATTTTATTAGAGTTTTTGTAAATAATTACATTTTTTTGGAAAAATTTCATTAAATTTCGTAAAAATAATGAAATTTTTAAAAATAATTTTAATTAAAAATTTTGAAATTAATTGGAATTTACACAGAATTTAATTTAAAACTTTTGAAAACAATTGAATTGTTTAGGAAAATTTTGTTACAATTTTTAAAAATAACTGAACCTGTTAGAGAAATTTTATTAAAATTGTATTGAGAATAATTGAATTACTCGGAAGAATTTTATTACTTATGAAAATAATTGAATTCCTTTGAAGAATTTGACTATTTGTGTTAATATTTTAATTTTTGCGAAGAATTTTCTTATTTATGAAAATAATTGAATTCCTGCGTTGGATTTCACAATTCATAAAAATAATTAAATTGCTTCGAAGAATTTTATCTGAATTTTTGAAATAATTGGACTTTTTAAAGAAACTTTATTAAAAATTTTGAAAATAATGATTTTTTTAAAAGAATTTCATTAAAATTGTGGAAAATAATTGAACATATTAAAGTTCTTGAAAATAATTGAATACCTCCGAAACATTTTATTATTTATGAAAATATTTTAATTCTTGCGAAGAATTTTCTTATTTATGAAAATAATTGAATTCTTTCAGAGGATTTTACAATTAATAAAAATAATTGAATTGTTTCGAAGAATTTTATCTGAATTTTTGAAAACAATTAAATTTTGTGAAGGAATTCTATTAAAATTGTCTGTTAAAAATAATTGAATTGCTCTAAAAAATGTTATTGTTTATGAGAATAATGAAATTCTTGCAAAAATTTTTATTGAAATTTATGAACAATAATGATCAATAATATTTAATATTATGTACTTAATAAGTAAATTAGTTAAAAATTGAATTTCTTTAGAATTTTGAATCTGAAATTATTCAAAAATTGAAGTTGATATTTGAAAATAAAAAATTTTGTAATCTGTATAATAATAATTAATTAAATATCGCGTTTCGCGCGCGTAGCATTTTCTAGTAAATAAATAATAGTTTAATTGTTTTTAAAGGGCTGTGAACTTACGTTCTGTTAAATTTTCATTTCATGTCAATTAGTAATTTACGAAAAATAAAAATACAAAAATATGAATGAATATATTGAATGATTGTTACCGAAAAATGAGAAAGTGAGAGCTGTCCATAACCGAGACGAAATCTTCGACAATTTCCATGTGGGTTGGAGTGAAGGAGAGATCGAGAGCCCAGGGTCTCGGTTCAAAGTCAAGAAACTGAAGTTTCGTCGGCTGCAGGGTTTCGATCTTAAACTCGTGTAAAATAGCGGTGGTCCTTCCGGCGACAAGCAGATTGCCGGTGGCTTGGCAACAGGCAATAATAACGGGGTGCAAATTCAAAGGCAACTCGATCATCTCCAAGCTGTTCATTGGCCGATTTAAACTGGGAGTCACTCTGCCCGCTATCCTGGCCCTCATGGCCTGACTCTGGTCACTCGTCGTCCAGTTCACGTAGACTCTAACGAATTTATTGTCCGACTCGCCGTCTCGCGAGCATTTCGATTCCAAGGCAGCCACATAGTCGCCCTTCGAGCAGTGGATCAGCTGACTGGCCAGGTCGACCGTTGGAAATATCGTCACCAGTTTCAAGTCAGGCGTCGTCAGGTCGTGGACTTCGATGCAGTGACTCTGCAGGGCCAGAAGAAGCAATTCACTGTCCGCCGAATGAGCCACGCACGTGGCTGTGGGCTCCTCGATTTGTGCGACATTCTGCTCCTGAAAGTTGTGCACAGGAAAAACTCGAACCATTTTTGAAGATTTCTTTATTTTTCTTCTAAACTGGCGGATATCGAGACTCTCCTATTATAGAAAGTCACATCTCATGAACATCTAGACAGAAAATTGAGAATTATTATTATTTGTGTAACTTGAGCTTTGGCAGCAACGACAATTTTACAAATTTGCTACTATTCGGATACATTTTTAGAATTGGGACACAAAAAGTTACTTTTTCTATCTCTGAGAATTTGCACTACTTTAAATTCGCTAGAAATAAAAAAATTATTCTCAACAATTTTAATAAAATTCTTAAAAACAATTCAGGGTTACCACAAAAATTTAATTTTTTCCCCTGCTTTCCAGGCAAAATTTCGACTTTCTTCCGTGGCCCTAAAGAATATTCTGATTCACTCTAAAAATTATTAGATACTCAAAAAAATGTTCTATTACATTTATTTACAAATTTCTTCAAAAGTAAAATTATTCGTAAACATCAATAACTTCATTTTTAAATAAATAATTAATCATTATTATTTTCTTATAGAAATTAAGATTTTCTAAAATATTAAATTCAAACCTTTTTGAAATTCAACAAATTATAAAACATGAAGAAATCGATCACTCCGGAGTGTTCGATTTCTTCTTGTTTTATAATAATTAAAAATGACCGAATGATAAAATAATTATTTTATATTATAAGAATTTTGTAACTATAACTTCTTCGAAATTATTTTCATCATTCCATTCCAATTCAATTCTTATTTTCTAGAATTTTTAACTAAAATTCTTCATTAAATCAATTATTTTTAATAATTTTTGAAAAACTTGTTTGAAAATTTTCAAATCCATTTGTTTCCAATTCAATTTTACGAAATTTTGATTCTTTAAAAATTCTTTAATTAAATATACTGTAGAAAATAAAAACTTGAAATAATTTCAAAAAAGATTTTTTTCAATTTTTAAAAACATTAATTTTACAAAATTGACAGTTAAAAGTAAGAAAATTTCAGATTTTCAAAGATTTGAATTTGAAACCTTTTCAAAATTCAATTATTTCTAAAAATCCATGCAATTATGCTTTAAATACTTAATTATTATCAAAATTTTTAACTGAAATTCATTTTTAAATCAATTTTTATCAGAAAATTCTGAGAATATTCAATTATTTAAATACAAAAATTATTAATTTATTGAATAATTGAATGTCTCTTAAAATTGATTTCTCATAAAGAATTTTATCAACAAATTTTTAATAATAATTACATTTTTCGATGAATTCGATTAAAATTGCATTAAGATAATTGAAGCTCAACAATGAGATTTATTATTTATGAAAATAATAGCAATTATTGAAAATCATTAAGTTTAGGAAAAAATTTAAAAATAATTGGATTTTTGCCAAGAATTTTATTATTTATAAAGATTTGAATTTTAACGAGAATATTTTTTAATTTTTGAACATAATTGAATTTTTACGAAGAATTTTATTAATTTGGAAAATAATCGAATTTCTGCAATAATTTGGAAATTCTCCAAAATTTAATTTTTTTTAGTTTTTTTTTAAACTAAAATTCCTCTATAATTCCATGATTTTTAATAATTAATTGAATATATATTAAAAAATGTGCCTAACTAATTTCAAAAAAAATTTTTAAAAATAAAATTTTTTAATAATTTTTTAAATTTCTAATTAAATAAATTCAAAATTAAAATTTGAAAAATTTAAAATTAAAGCCTTTTGAAGTTTATCTACATCGCAGGATTTAAATTGTTTTTAATACAATTTTAAATGTATTCCCCGAAAAATGCAATTAATCTTAACAATTTTATTAAAATGTTTAAAGTAATTTAATTATTTAAAAAAAAATTTCATTCAATTTGTTTATTAGAATTTAATAATTATTTTCACTACATTTCAAAATTCAATTATTTCCAATATCTATTATTTAAATAAAATTTCCCAAAGGAATTCAATTATCTAAAAAAAATTTTTAATAGAATTTGTCGCAAGAATTCAATTCAAAGTCGTCAAATTTAATTTTTCGATAGCTACTTTTTTTACCCTTTTTTTAATTTTCTAAAATTTATTTTTTGTAACTTTTTTAAAATTAATTATCATAAAAGTTCTTGTAACTTTTATAATTTTGCATCTGAAATAATAATTTAATTCTTGTAAAGAATTTTATTAAAATTTTTAAAACGATTTGATTCCTTTCAAAGAATTTGATTAGAATGTTCAAAAATAATTAAATTCTTTCGAGGAATTTAATTAAAATTCTATTAAAAATAATTGAATTCTTATTATTATTATTATTATTTCTTATTCTTATTTAATTTTCAATTTTTTTTATTAAACTTCAATGGTTTTTACGTAAAAAAGGTTCTTAACAAATTTAATAAATTTTTAAAAATAAGTGAGTTATAATAAAATGAAAAAAAAAATGTCAAGAAATTTGCAATGCAAATATCTTGAAAAATAATAAAAATATTTGATTAAAATTTGGTATAGTTGTTTAGGACCCAAAATACTATTAATAAGCAAAATATAAAAAAAATCTGAGACATGAACCTTAACTCTCCTCCGAAATGACCCTTATAAAGAATTTTCTCAAAATTTTTGAAAATAACAATTCAATTCTTTCGAGAAATTTAATGAAAATTGTACTACAAATATTCGAATTCTTATTTAAACAAACTATCAATATTTTTGAAAATATTCAAATTCCTGAGAATAATAATATTATTTATAAAAACAATTGAATTCTCGCTAAGAATTTTATCAAAATTTTTGAAAATAGTAAATAATAATAATAATAATAATAATAATAATAATTAAGGCGATGATACACTTTAATTTTTAACTATATTAAGAAAATATTTCAAATATTTCACAACATTGTTTTTATAGTAATTTTTTGTGAGGAATTTAATGGCCATAAAATAAAATCCGTCAGAAAATATTTTTTCCCTTTTTGAATTTTTATTTTTCCTAAATTTTTTAATTTAAAATAGTATTTTTAAAAATATAGGATTTATTTAATTACTAATATTTTTAAAAATATGCTTTTTTATATCCTCAATAAAATTGCGGAAGGAAAAAATTGATTTTTACTATATTTTTGAAGCAATTCTTTTTTTAAAAACAATGCTATTTTTTTGAAAAATTTCATCCTAAAAACATTGTTAAAAAAAAAATGCTTAAAAATAGTAAAAATCAATGTTTTTCATTCAGCAATATTTTTGTGTTTACAAAAACATATTTTCAATAATTAAATTACTCGTGGATTTCAAAATCTGCCAATTTTTAAGAAAAATAAAAATTCAAAAAAGGTAAAAATATTTTCTGACTAATTTTATTTTATAACGATTGAATTCCTTTCAAAAAATTACTATAAAAACAAAATTTTATGAAAAATTTGAATTATTTTCTTGATACAGTCAAGAACATCGATGTACTTTTTTCTTTATCAGCTAAAAGGTGAATTTTTAAAAATTTTGAATCTAAAATTATGTAAAATTTAAAGTTTATATTAAAAAATAGAAAATTTCTTATTTTGCAAAATAATAATAAATTGAATATTGCGTATCACGGGCGTAAAATTTGCTAATTATTTATTAAAATACGTATTTGAAAAATTTATTTAAAACATTATTTACGATGAAATCGTAAAAAAGAATAAATAATTAAAATTCGACTGAAATTAAAATTTAATCGATATGATAAAGAAGATTATCGAGATACTAATCAAATATTTACTTAATTAAAATATAGATTTAATGAATAACAAACAAGTGAATCATTTACTTAAAACACTGTCTAAGTAATTAATTCATTTTACTCCAACAGTGCGCTTTGCCCTAAAATACACTTTGATAATTGCATGCAGATGACCAAGAAATAGAAATCTAATTAAGAAAATTAAGATGAAAAAAATTTTATTAAAAAACGTAAGTAACATTACCTTCCGAAAAGAAAAATGAATTTTTGTTTTCATTGACCAATGTTCTTGATTCACTTTTTCTATTCTGTTTCCAATTCCTTCTTAGATTGAGCTTGAAATTTATTGTCGTTTACTTTTAAGTTGCAAATTTCGGCATATTTAGCCTTGTTATTTAATTTCAGAATTCTTGTCAACAAATTGTCCATTCTTGTAATTTTGTTTCTGTTCCACTTCTAACAATCGGCACAATCAGCTAAACGTAAAGATTATTTATTAAAGAGGTCAAACAGCTGACTGTAGCCGACATTTCTGACAAGTGACAGACACAAGTCATAAACTGTCAAAATGCTAACATAACCTCTTCCCTTCACTTTATTATCGCGCTTTTCTCTTTATATTCAAAAAACAATTATCGAATCTTTCGAAATTCGTTAATCAGTTAATTTACAGTGTTAAATAATTCTTTATAATTAATCAATAATGTTTACATATTTAATATTATGACAATTATCAGCTGTAAACAGAAGAGAGAAAAATCATTAGTGCAGTTTACAAGTAATTGACTAGCGGGACATTTCAAACAAAATTATCGTTACTTAGAATTACTCATAATAATTATCACTTTGGGAATTTATTTTAAATGAAATTAGTTCTCTACTAACAGGTTTATTTAAATATTCTTGTTTTTATAATTTAATTCTAATTCTAATTCTAAAATTTACGCAATTAAAGAATGTATTGTAAATGACCTTAAGGATTTCCGTTGAAAATGCGCCATTTCCAAAGTGACCTGCATCATTGGCTGAAGCACCGACCAATGGAAAAGTTCAACATTAATATTCGACCAATCGGAGCGTAAGCTTGTCACCGCCTTGAAGTTTTTGAAAACAACTGTTGTGCGTTGCCGTTAAACACAATCGGTTATTTAATGTAGCAGTACGCGTTCTCTCAATCGTACATGAATTGATAATGTGAAAAGTCAGAATATTTATAACTGTTTTAAGTGTCCTATTTTATATATTAATTATTACAAAAAGTGTATTTTATTTATTTTAACAAAAAATGGCTGATCGAAGGGCGAGATACAAACAAAGGGGTGATAATTTTGGTGATTTGGAATCAAGTCGCATGAGCCGACTTGAAAAACAAGATCAACGACGAAAAGAAATTCGTAATCAAAATTTTTCCCGACTCAGACCTTTGGAGGAAATTGCAAAATCACAGACTCCTGGTGAGAATTTATATATTTTTGGTTTCTTATTTTTCATTTTTTGTTTGTAAGTTATAAATATTCGCCACTGGATAGAATAATGCCTTCGTGTTTTTTTTTATTTTCCGTCTTATCATATTTATCATTTATCTTTCTACATTAAATTTTATTTTTTTAATTTTAGAATATTTCTATACTTTAGTAATATAAATATTTTTCTCTACATTTATTTTTGAGGTTAAAATTTTTCTTTTTTAAATGCGAATATTTTTGTAATATTTGATTGTTTGTTTAATATTTTGGTAAGAAAAATGAATGAAAATAAAATTCTTGAAAATAAGTTTACAAAAGCCGGAGCTGAAGGAATTGTCCTGTTAAAATGACTCAATAACAAAACCGAAAAAAATGAAAAATTTTGTTCATGAATTGGAATTTTTTTTCTTTTGGAAAAACTGCTTTTGTAAAGCAAAAATTGTATGTTTACGTGAATGGTTAATGACCGTAAAATTTAATTTAGGATTCTAATAAACATGTTTATTTACATTCGCTCTACATTTATGTGTACAAATTGAAAAGTCACAAAGTTTTTGCGAGTTAAAAATCGCTAATCTTAGGCACAATTTTTAATTAAGTAATACAAATAATTAGAGAGAGGAACTTTTTGCTTGAGCATAAAAGCATAAATTTCAAATATGTTGTCTAGTATTAAAATTCACATTAAAAAGTATTTTCTAACAATAATAATTGCAATTTACGAAAGAATTAAAAAGCATAATTCTGGATTTTAAAAAATTCAATTTAATTTTTGTAATTTTATTCCGCATAATTCAATAATTTAAGACAAAAGTTTTGTCAGTAAAGTCAGGGAAAGGACAGGAAAAAAAAATTTTTTCTCAAGGAAATTAAGAAAATTCAGACTTTTTTTTATTCATTTTCAAAAATTGCGACTTTTTCGACTTTTCTTCCAAATATTGCAACAAAATACCACATTTTTAGTATAAAATGCAACTCATTTCGATTTTTTAGTGCGAAAAATAAATATTTCAAAAATTATTTTTGACTAATGTTTCTAATTAAATTGTTGAAATATACAATTAAAAAGATTTTGAATAATTGAAATTTTGTAAATTTAATTGAAAATAATTACTTTTTTCAAGTATTTTGTTACAATTTTTGAAAATCAACTTTTGAAGAATTTTAATTGGAAATTTTGAAAATAATTTAATTATCAAAAATCTTAATGAAAAATCTTAAAATTTAAATTTAAAAATGAAAATTAATTAAAGTTAGCTTCTAATTTTTTAACATTTAATATTTTCAATTACATATTTCCAAAAATTCAAATACTTACAAAAAATAATAACATTTTATAATTATTTTTAACGTTTTTTGGAGAAAATAATGATGTTTAAAATTTTTAATTAAAATTCATCAAAAAATTAATTAGTATTTTAAATTACATAATTTAAAACAACTCATAAAATTGTTTCATCCTTACTTTTAAAGATTTAATTATCTTCCAACAAAGTAAATAAAAATTAATAAAAATTCACTTTTTTAGACTTATTAAAATTTCGGAGAAATCATTGTCATATTTATAATTAAGATTCTTCAAAAATTTGATTATTTTTATTTATATTTTTCAAAAATTCAATTAAGTATTTTTAAAAGATTTTACTAAATTTCTATTGTTTGGAAATTTTTCAATTCTATTAATTCAATTTCTATTAAAAAACTACTATCTTAAAAAAATTATTTAAAAATATTTTTAAAAATTAATTGTAAGAATTTCTTTATTAGAATTTTTAAAAAATTTTATATCCCTTATTTTTAAGAAGAACTTGTAAAAATTGTCATTTCTTGTAAGGTAAAAAAGATTTATAGTTATGTTTGAAAAAAAAATTTTTACTTTTCGCAAACTTTGGAAAAATTTTAATATTTTGAAACTAAAAAGTCTTTTTATATTATTTCTCAGTTTGTAAACATAGAAATTTTTTCATAAAAGGTAACAAATTTAAAATGACTTTTACTTTTAAGAAAAATCCAAATTGTTTGGAATTTTTGACAAATTGTATTAATTTCAGAATAAATTTTAATAAATTCAAATTGTGTATTTTACTAATTTTCAATAAAATTTACTACGGATATTATGTAATTTATTCTGGAATTAACGATTTTTAATATCAAAAATTACTATTCCGAATCGCAATTTAAAAAAAAAATATTCAATTTTTCCTCAAACATTACAATTAGCTATTAAATATTTTTATTTTTAGAGTAAATTTTACTATTTTTAAAATAAATTTTTCTAATTTTTATTTAAAAAATTGTCTTTGAAAATAGTAAAAGTTATTCTGGAAATATCAATTTTTAATATTAAATTTTACTATTTTAGAAGGAAATTTTTCCACGTTACAAGTTAATTTTACTAATTTTTTTCTGAAATTTACTTCGTAGTTCGTATATATTGCAAAATTGATGTAATTTGAAAAACAAAAGTAGCTCTGTAATGAATCAATTTTAAATAAAATTGGTCAGAAAAATTCGGTCCCTTTTTGGATTTTTATTTTTCTTAAAAATTAATTGATTTTAAAATCCATCCGTAATTTTGCAGAAAATATGTTTTTGTATCTACACAAAAATTATCGAATAAAAAAATTAATTTTTACAATTTTTGAAGCATTTTTTTGAAAAAAAACATTGGTTTTAGGTTGAAAATGCTAAAAAATATCATTTTTATTCAATTTTTTTATATGGAAATTGACTTGTTTATTTTTCTAACTAATTTGAAATCATTTTTTAAAATAAAAAATATAAAAAAGTTATGATAAAATTATGATTTGAAATTAGTTATGTAGAAAAATAAACAAGTGAATTTCCATAGAAAAAATATTGTACATCAATGATATTTTTTAGCATTTTCAACCTAAAAACAATATTATTTTAAAAAAAAAATATTACAAAATATCTATAAAATTACGGATGGATTTAAAAATCTATTAATATTTTAAGAAAAATAAAAATTCAAAAAGTGTCGGAATATTTTCTGACTATTGATTTCCACTCAAAAAAATGCTATGAAAATAATTTTATGAAAGATTTGAATGATTTTCTTGATAATAGTTAAAAATGTAATCGTAGTCTCCCCTTAAAAATTTAAAGGAAGTTACGGACTGTTGAAAAAGGTAAAAAAATATTAATAATTATCAGAAAAAATAGTTTAACAAATAAAATAATTTGATTTAAAAAGGCTAAAGTAAAGTAAAGCTGAAAAGTAAAAAATTCTTTAAAATAAATTTTTTGCGCTATATAATACAATAATTTTTACTTAATTTAAAAATTCCCCCTTTTTAAACTGAATCCTCTATTTGAAAAATAAAATCCTATTCTGTACCTAATATTATATGAAGAAATCACTGTGATCCCTAAAATAGTTTATTAAGAAAAATAAAAGTAGCTATTTCGAAAGATTTACAATTAAAATTTTTATCAATTAATTATTTCCAAAAATATTTAAATTTTTTGTTGAAAAATTGAAGCTCCAAAAAATTGTATTTAAAATTCTCTAGAATTATGTTTTTAAAATATTTTGGATCTATTTTTTGAATGTAATATTTTGCAAAGTTACAATACTAATTATTGTTAAAAATTGTAATACTTTTAGAATGTGAATATAATAAAAATGTTTGCAGGAAAATCTGAAGCCCAAATAACGCGCAATGAGAAATTGGAAAAATGGAGAAAGCAGAAGGAGTTGAAGAAAAAATCAGCCAAACCAGTAATAAAGAAACCTCCATTTAAAGTTGGAATTGTCCACCACAAAGTGTATTCCCCTCCAATTTATAATTCATCACTGCCAAGTTGTTCTCACTGGAGTCAAAATACTCAGACGAGATCAAGAATTCAGACAACTGGTACTCCTCAGAAGAAGATTACCCGAGTCACAGAGAAACGACTTGCAGCGAAGGCAGAGAAAGCGGCCAAAGTGGCCGCCAGTGCAGCTTCCAAAAAATCCTTTGCCCCTCCGAACTACAAGTTTAAGGCTCCCGCGGGACTCAGCAATATTCCCATATTCGGTCGCGTGAGGAAAGGGAGCATGGATGTGTCCACATTATCTTGGAATGTCACCGTCAAGAAATCACCAGTCAAATCCTCACTCGCCACCACATGTTCGTCGTCGAATCAACGCAAAAAGTCAAATTCCCTTTCTCGTCGTTCGCCACGAAAAAGTAGGAAGAACAGTTTTCCCAAACAATTTGAGAAATCTCCTGTAAATAATAAAACGAGACGTTCAATTCGTCGTTCACAATTTAGTTCCAATTCTTCGGATTCGGCAACGCCGCCAGTTTTCTCTGACGAGAATACCGATGTTTTCGATTCCGAGCTTGAAGATCAAAATTCCGCCGAAGAAGAAGGGAACAAGGCACCTAAGGTGGCATTCACGGATCTTGTCGAACCCCTCGACACGAGCATTTCTCCCATTAAATCCATTAATAATTCTCAGTCAGAGTCAGAAGAATCTGCAGAAAAATCAAATAAAACGAGTATTTCTCCCGTTAAATCCATTAATAATTCTCCGGCAGAGTCTGCGAAAAAATCAAATGACAGCATTTCTCCCATTAAATCCAGCGATAATCCAGAGTCTGCAGAAAAATCAAATAAATCCAAAACTGAAATTCAGATGGAACAGGAGTCGCTCAATTATTCATTGAATCTGCAACTAAACGATTTATCGGAGCATAATAATTTCAAGGAAATTGAACTGAACTGCTCGAAAAGTAATTGTAAAGCACTTGAGCAATACAATTCGCAAGATTATTCCCTGAAGTTACAGGCGACTGATTTGTCGGCTCAAGGGATGAATGATACGAAACAAATGGTGGAGGAGTCGGAGAAAATTATCGACTCGTCGATGGACAAGTCGTTGAATGACACGGTGAACGTGGCTATTTTCTCGCCCTACGTTGTCACGAGGCGGGGAAAGAAGGAAGCGAGGAAGGAGCAGCAAATTCGTCGGGGGTTCAATCGCTCGCCGGAGGAAATCCCCACGAAGGAAACGGTGATGCAGAACTTGAATATTTCCGTCGAGGAGGAGAAGCGAACGTCGCAGTACTTCCGGTGTCTCCTGGAGAGTGAGACCCAAAGACTCAACGAGGAGTGCGACTCTTGGAGTGAGATAATCGCGAGGGAAGATCCGCCCGAGGAGGCGAAGGAGCTAATCGAGCAGGCGATTGGTCAGACTAAATTGCTAGTGTCTAGTAAATTCAAGCAATTCGAGGGTCTTGTTCGTCAGTGCGAGGATGGTCATCAAAATCAACTGGTCACCTGCAAGGATCTTCAAGGCTTCTGGGACATGATGAACGTCACGGTCAAGAATTGCGAATCGAGATTCGAGAAGGTCGAGAAAATGCGAACCAACGGCTGGAAGGAGGACGCCAAAGTAATTCCAACCAGAAAGAGACTTCCCTCTAAGAAGAAATCTCCCAAAAAGAAATCGCCGATTAAACCTGCGAAAAGCAATCTGCGAGCTATGATTCTGGCCGCACGGCAGAAGAAAAAGGAGATGGAGCTGAATTCCGAGGAGGCGCCAAACGAAGATCAAATGATGGAGATCTGGAAGAATGTCGTGAAGGAAAGTCCAACGAAGCCGCCAACTTCAACATCCACTCGTAGACTTTCAATCGCTCCTCCCCAAGGCTCTGCCACCAAGGAGCGGAGGCTAAGTTTCGCCCGCGCCGCCATGATCATCAGTCAAAAGCGAAAAACGCCCGAAAGCGCAAAACCCGAGACAGAAACTATCAGTGAAATCTACACCGAAACAACCTCCGTTCAAGTTCATCTGGACGAATCGATAAGTTACATCAACTCGAGACAAACGCCAGGAAAGAGTATTTTGAAGCGCATCAAAATCGAAACCGACACCGCAATCACTGATTCCCGTTTACTGCGATCCACTCAAAAGGTCATTTTCAACGACACCGTCGAACTCAACGAAGTCGAAGTGGACGAGGAAACGAAGAACAAACTAAGTCTCGCGGCAAGTTTAGCGAGAATCGATAGCATGAATTTCGAGGATGAATGCGTGCCCGAAGTGAATATCCGAGCCGAGAAGAAGCTGAATTTCGACGATATGAGCTTCAACGAAATTCTAAACGACGAGGTTTTTGAATCACTCAACTCGACGAAGAAGAAAACACCCGATTTCAATATTATCGCCCCAACACCGAATTCTAGAAAATCTGACACGAGTGCGATAATTACGACTGAAAAAGCAGAAGAAAAGAGCGAAGAGAACGTGAGAGTCACGAGAAACAGAAAAGCGATGCTCGAGTCCCAGAGTTCGAGTACAGAAAAAGGAAAATCGCCACGAATCGTCAAAAGAAGAAAAATAGATTCCGACCTTCAGAATCTATCCCTCGAAGAAACTGAAATTACACCAAAATCCCCGAGATTGATCAAAAAAACTAATTCCGAATTGGAAAATTTGGTTATTGATGAAACAAAGAGGAAATATACACCAAAATCCCCGAGATTGATCAAAAAAACTAATTCCGAATTGGAAAATTTGGTTATTGATGAAACAAAGAGGAAATATACACCAAAATCACCGAGATTTAAAAAGAGTGAAATGAATAAAATGAATACGACTTTTGAGAATGATATCGATGAGAAGAAAACAGTTCCAAAGTCCCCTCGATTAGCGAACAGGAGCAAATTAAATTCGACTCTAAACAATTCGATGAATTCGATCAATTCGATCGTTGAAGAGCAACTTGAAAATACGATAGAGGACGAAGATTTGTATAGACGATCTTTGAGGAATCGCACCATTATTGGAAGTTTAACACCGAAATCAGCGAAAAAAATGAATGTGAGTCTTAAAAGTTGCTTCTTATTTATTAATTCAATATTTTTGGAAGCCATAAAATTATGGAAATAAAAGAAGAAGAATCAAAAGATCTTTTATTTCTTATTTATTATCTGAAACGAAATTCATAATTTTTCTTTACTTTTTCAGAAAGAAACTCCTGCTTCGGCTAAAATTGGAAATCCAACCATTAGTTTTCAAGAGATTAGTGAAAGTTCCATTCTCTCGAGCCTTGAGAGGGAAAATTCTTTGAGGTCTTCAAAACGAATTCTTAGATCTCCGATTTTGAAATTGTCTTCTGCAAAGCAAAAGTCGGTTTTATCGCCTATCCAACAGAAGGCAATCGAAGATGTAAGTAGAAAAATATGTACTTCTTCAGAGTTGGCACGTTACCTGGAAACCTGGAAAACCGGGAAATGTCAGGGAATTTTATAAACTTTGAAAAAACCTGGAAAAATTAAGGAAATTTAGATCAAAATCCTGTAAAATTATTGTTTTCTAAAGTTTATTCTTAAAATCTAATTTTACTTAAATATTTCAAAAATAATTCAATTTTAAAAGAATTGCGTTTACAATTTTCATAAGTAGATGAACTTCAAAGGGTTTTAATTTAAAATTTTGTAAAATTTCAATTTTAAATTAATTTAATTAGAAATTTAAAAACACTTAGATTTTTAAAAAACTTTAATAACTAAAATTCTTCTGAAATTATAGTTAAATTTTTTAAATATATATTGAATTGATTATTAAAAATAATTAATAATTTATAGAAGAAATTTATAGTTAAAAACACTATACAATTTTTAATTTTGAAGCAATTACAAATGGTTACAGAAATTCAATTATTTTTTACAGGGATTCAATTATTTTCATAAATAATAATAAAACTCATCGCAGACTTTCAATTATTTTCAATACAATTTTAATGGAATTCCTCAAAAAATATCAAAATTCAATTATTTTCAATGTCTACTATTTCAATCAAATTTCACAAAAAAAACTCAATTATTTGAAAAGAAATTTTAATAAAATTCGTCTCAAGAATTCAATTATTTTCAAAAGTAATATAATTCTTCGCAGAAATTCAATTATATTAAAAAAATTTACAAAAATTCTCATCAAAATTTCAATTATCTTTACAAATAGATAAAAATTTTCTCCGAAATTCAATTATTTTCAAAAAGTTTAATAAAATTCTTGAAATTATTTTTCAAAATTTTATTAAAATTGGTCAAAAGAATTCAATTATTTAAAAGTTTGTTGATAAAATTCTTTATGAAAATTTAATTTTAAGAAACATTCCATTATTTATAATAAAATATTTATTTTTGTAATTAGATAATTGAATTCTCGTAGAATTTACTACTAAATATTGATTTAAAAATGAATTTCAGATAAAATTTTAGATTATAATTGAATATTGAAAGCATTAGAGCGTAAATTTTTAGAAATAATTGAATTTTTAAAAGGTTTCAAATTAAAATCTTTAAAAAATTTTAAATTGTTAACAAAAGGATTTGAAAATTCTCAAAGAACTTTTTCAAAAATTATTTTTAAAAAATTGACTCAAAAAAGAATTTTAGTTGAAAATTCTAGAAATTATCCTCAATAGAATGATTTTCATTGTCTACTATTTTAATAGAATTCACCAAAAAAATTTAATTATTTAACAAAATTTTAATAAAATTCTATGCAAACATTTAATATTTTTTTCATAAATAATAAACATTTCGAAAAGTCAAATAGAATTTGTGACAAAATTTTAATTATTTTCTTAAATAATAAATTTTTTTTAGGAATTCAATTATTTTTATAAATTAATAAAACTCATCACAGAATTTCAATTATTTAAAAATTTTAATACAATTCGACGATAGAATTCAATTTTGAGAAACATTCAATTATTCAATAAGTTATTTATTTTTGTATTTAAATAATTGAATTTTCATAGAATTTTCTAATAAAAATTTATTTCAAAATGAATTTCGGTTAAAGTTTAAAATTATAGATACTTAATAATTAAATATTAAAAGCATTATAGCATGGATTGTTAGAAATAATTGAATTTTGAAAAGGTTTCAAATTCAAATCCTTAAAAATCTGGATATTTCGTACTTTTAACTAACAATTCTGTACAATCAATTTTTTTGAGAAAGTTTAATTGAATATTTTAAAAATTATTTGAAGTTTTTATTTTCTAATATATACTTATATTCAATTGAAAGATTTCAAAATAATCGAAATTTCGTAAAATTGAATTGTAAACAAATGGATTTAAAAATTGTCAAAGAAATTTTTTAAATATTATTAAAAATAATGGATTTATAGAAGAATTTTCGTTAATAATTCTAAAAAGTAATAATTGAAAACAATTAAAATACATTTTCAAAGAATTTTCTAAAAATTATTAGAAAATAATTTTAGTTAAAACTTCCAGAAAATAATTTAATTCAAATCTTGAAAATAATGGTGAAGAAGTTACAGTAGTAACTGTTAATGCTTAATGTATTATAATTTCTTATACTGTGTTTTTCATTGAAAAATATAATTTTACAGCAATCAGCACATCAATTAGAAAGAGAAACAAAAAATTCAGATTTGTTAAATGAATCAAGGAAAACACCAAGAAAAATGGAAAAAGCTAAGGAATCGGATAAGAAAGTCACACCAAAGGAGAAGAAACAATCAAATAGTTCAGCCGAGAAGATTGCAAAAGTGAAAAATAGCTTTTCTTTATTATATAAATTCATGAAAACACCACTATCTGCCTCGAAGAAAAATAAATCAGCGAATGACTCTACAGAGGTAACTTGACATTTCACTTTTTATTTATTAATTCGTTTTATTTTTATTAATTTAGTTTTTTCCTTTCATTTTCCAATTGTAAATCTAATAAGTACAAATAAAAATAATCGATACTTTCAGAAATGGTTTGGTTAAGTTATCTAAAGTGCGAAATAGGTAAAATTTTCTGCTATGTATCACTTGTAGTGACTGGGCAATTTATTTTTTTTTACAATTTTACGTGCGAAACTGTGGTTTTGGCGTAAAAGTTTTAAAATAAAAAGTTCAGACATCGCCCTCATACTACTTTTTACGGTTTACTACTTTTAGGATAGTTTTTTTTTAGGTTTGTGCCATTGAAAGCTACTTTTTTCTCTCTTTTTTTTTGTAGAATTTTCTTTACTTTAAACCAACTAATCGTTAAAATCAAATCATCTTTAATATTTATTTTCTTCGTAGTAATGATTCATTTATATTTTAGTAAATCCTAAACATTAATTTTTTTAATTTTAACATTTAATCTCAGGAATTTTAATTCATCTCACTTTAAATTAATCTCAAATTCAGTTGATTCAAATCGCAATTCATCTAAAATTTTAAACAATGTAATTTTCAAATTCTAATCTTAACCTACTTTAAATTCGAACATTTTAAACTTCAATATTTAATTTATTTATTAATCAAGTTAGACATAATTTTTAATTGAAATAATATGTTGAAATTATAGAGCATGGAAGTGGATTCAGGAGCTGAATCTAATGCAAGTAGTAGATGTAGAAGAATGCACAAAACACCAAAATCTGAACAGAAGAGTGAAAATAAAACAGAATCGACTCATAAGAAGGTAATATAATTATGATTATTGTCTCCTTAAAATAAGTAAACAAAAATCTTATAAATATTCAAACTGTAAAATTGTAGTTATATTATAATGAAATTATTATGTTAACAGGAATCACTACACACATCTTTAATAAAAGTGAAAAATATTCCCGAGAGAAGAAGAAGTTTAAAAATTTCTGTGGATGAATTGCATGAGAAGGAGAATACTTCGCCGAGACCTATAGAAACACCCAGTAAAAGAAAATCAATTAAAAGAAGCATGAGTTGTCATGGTGAGAATAAAATATAATTTTACATTACTAAAACCTACTATTTACTACTTTTCTTAAGTTATGCTACTATTTGGGTACTTTTTTAGATTTCAGTCACAAAAAGCTACTATTTCTGTATTTTAGAATTTCCATTGCTTCACATTCGCTAATACTAGAAATTAAAAAACTATTCTCAAAAATTATAATTAAATTCAATTATTTTCAATATTTTGTATTTTCATAAAATTTCGCAAAACAATTCAATTATTTAACAAAATTTTTATACAATTCTTCACAATGATTAAATTACTTTCACTAATAAAAAAGATTTTTCATGGAAATTCAATTCTTAAATGAAGAATTCCATTATTTTCAAAAATAACAAAATTTTCCACAGAAATTCAATTATTTTTAAGCATTTTAATAAAATTTTGACACGAGTTAAAGACGTAAAACATTTAAATTTTTTGGTTTTCAAAAATTTAGTTTTTTCTCATTATTTTATAAACTAAACAAGATATAAATTTATTTCTGGAAGAAAAAAGATGCGCATTTTCATTGTGTATAAATTTATGTCATTGAATTTGAAAATTGAAAATGTTTTAAAATCACACTATTGGTCAATACTTATACGTGAGAATCCACGCGTATCCCCTTTTAGAAGCCGTCCCCTCAATTGTAATAAACGTTATTACTAGAAAAATTACTTTTGTCATATAAAAGAATTATGACAAATAATAATATTCAAAAATAATTAAATTTCTTCAAGGAATTTAATTAAAATTTTACTAAAAACAATTGAATTCTTTTAAAGAGTTTTATTATTTTTAAAAGTAATAAATAATTTAATAATTACTTAGTTAAAAAGTGATTTTTTAAAAATTTTAAATCTGAAATTATTCAAAAATTGATGTTGATATTTGAAAATAAAAAAATTTGAAATTTGCCTTCATTTTGTACCCGATTTTAATAAATTTTGTAAATGAAAGGTAATTTAATTTAGAAATAATTAAGCAAAATTATAATAAAATTTCAATAATTTTATAGAATTTAAAATTTTTAATGATTTTTCCGTCCCATCATGGATATTTCATTCCAGACCCTTAAATTTTAGGAAAATGTATTGATATTTGTTATTGTGAAAAAAATGTAATAATTTCAGTGATTACGTGAAAAAATAATTACATTTTTTTATAATAGGTATAAATTTGAATAAAAATAGTAAAACAATTTTAAGAAGTAACTGAAATTTGAATTTTTGATTTTAGTTGCGGAATGCCAAGTTGATTATCATCCATCAACGCCCCAGTTACAACGTAGCAATTCAAGCCGATTATCGAAAATTGGAAGCAATCGTCGTAGTATTAAGCCAATGACCAGTGTATCGCCTTAAAATAAGTCATTTTTATTTGTAAATGTTTTTTTTTTCATTGAAAAAAGATTCGGACCATGAATAATATAACACGATGGTCTGAGTGAAAATATAAAAAATATTTATTGCAATAAGTATAGCGCTGTTTGCATTAAATGTATGCACTTTTTATATGATTATTATTCTTTTTTAATACAGTGATTGGAATCACAGTATAGAACATTATTAATGTCTCTTTTTTTATAAAATAGGTATTAAAAAATAGTAGTAACATTTTTTAAATGTAATGTCTTCAGTTTTTATAATTTTATATTAAAAATGTATCTATTTTCAAGAAGGCTTTTTTTATGAATTACAAACTATTTTTAAAAAAAACTTTTTCATGTTCTTTGGTTATTACCGAACCACCAAAGTCTCACACTATTATCACGATACTGTTCCCTCTCGTCACATATTCTTTGACCCGAACTTGTAGCTAAGAGTGGTAAACTTCCGTGTAAGCTCACTCCATTTATACAATCTTTTGATAATGAAATTCTACTGATGGGGTTCAATTCTTCAGCTTCTTCTTCAGTTGCTTTAACCACGTCAACTTTCCAAACTTTAACTACACCATCTACACCACCTGAAATAAATCAAAATTTTTAATAAATTGGAAAATAAATTAAAATAATTATCATTAGCCACTGGTTTTCACATTAATTTAATTCTACTTTTCTTATCGAACTTAATGTTAATTTAACGTCCGAACTGATTATAGGATTCAAATTGTAAGAAATAATAAAAGGAATACATTAGAACAAGTGATTTTTAGTAAAAATATTCTCCATCATTTCAAAATTTAAATGATTTTGAGGAGAATTTTATAAAACTTCAATTTTCAATGAATTTAATTAGAAATTTTAAACAACTTGGATTTTTGCAAAATGTTAATAACTTAAATTCTTCTTGAAATTAGTTAAATTTGTCAATATAATATAGGTATATTTAATTAATTATTAAAAACAATGGATTTATAGAAAAATTTTAGTTACAAATATTTTAAAGAATTGAATTTTGGAGAAGTTACAAATGATTGCAGAAATTCAATTATTTTCAAAAGTAATAAAATTCTTCTTACAAAGTTCAATTATGTTCAAAATTAAAAAAAAATTCTCGTCAAAATCACAATTATCTTTATAAATAACAAAATTCAATTGTTTTTAAAAAAAATTTCCTCATTTCAATGATTTTCAATATCTGGTATTTTCATAAAATTTCGCAAAAGAAATAGTAAAATTTCCACAAGAATTCAATTAATTTAGAATAGCATTTTCTAAAAATTTCGTAAAAATCAATTAGGTATTTAATAAAATTTTTATACAATTTTTCACAATAATACAATTACTGTCACAAATAATAATATTTTTCATGGAAATTCAATTTAAAAAAAAAAATTTTTGATAAAATTCTAAGCAAGAATTCAATTATTTTCATAAATAAAGTTATTTGAACTAATTAATTGAAATTAAAATTAAAAAAATTTCACAAAAATTCAATTATTTAAAAAAAAAATGTCATAACATTTATTATATTTCGAAAGAATTAATTATTTAAAACAATGTTTAAAAAATTCTTAAATAACAAAATTTTTCACAGAAATTCAATTCTTTTTAAACATTTTAATAAAATTTTTCGCAATAATTCAATTCTTTTCATAAATAATAAAATTTTAATGAGGAATTCAGTTATTTTTGAAAATTTTAATAAAATTCTAAGCAACTATTCAATTATTTTCATTAATAATAATAATATTCATTGCAAGATTTTAATTGTTTTCAAAAATGTTTCTTAATTCTATGATTTCCAATATTCTGTTATTTTAATAAAAACTTTCCCAAAAGAATTCAATTATTATTAAACGAAAATTTCCACAGCTATTCAATTAATTTAGAATAATTGGTATGTTTTTAGGACCTTAATTTTTGTCAAATACTGTTTTTGAAAAAATCAATTATTTTACAAAATTGTTATACAATTTTTTACAATAATTCAATTACTTTCACTAATAATAACATTTTTCATGGAAATTCAATTTTTTAAGAAAATTTTTGATAAAATTCTAAGCAAGAATTTAATTATACTTAATAATAATTCATTATTACAAGAATTTAATTATTGATTTCATAAATAATAAAGCTCATCGCAGAATTTTAATTATTTTTAGTACAATTTACAATTTACAATTTCGACTTCCTAGAAAAATGTAATTATTTTTAAAAATTTTATTAAAAATCGTCCAAAGAATTTAATTATTTAAAAAATTGTTGATAAAATAAAAATTTTAAAAAAATTTAATTATTCAATAAATTATTGACTTTTGTATTTAAATAATTGAATAATTTTCAAAAGGTCTCAAATGTAAATATTTGAAAATTTGAAATTTTCCAAATTCTCAGAAATTTTCCTATATTTTCGTAAGGAAATTTTCCAAACTTTTGGTATTATTTCTACACTATTTCATGAGAATGTTTCTAAATTCATAGGAAGTTTTCGATAATTTTTAAGAAAAATTCCCTTATTTATGTTATTAAATTTTTCTAAATAATAATTAGTAGAATTTGCTTCCTAAATTTTTTGGGGAAAATTTCAAAAATTTTTCATACAGTGTATTTAATTGAAGAATTTTTGAATAATCGAAATTTCGTAAACCCAATTGAATTTCAAATAAATGTATTTGAAAATTCTCAAAGATCTTTTTCAGAAATTATTAAAAATATAGTTGAATTAGAAAAGAATTTTAGTTAAAAATTCTAGAAAATAATAATTGAATTAAAATGATAAAAATAATTTTTAAGAAGTTACAGTAAAAATATTCTTAATATAAAATAATAATAAACTTTTATAAGATTTTTAAATTTTTAATTTCTAAATTTTTTTCTAATTTTTCAATTTAAAATATTATTATTTTATTATAAATCATAAAAAATACCTGCATATTTTCGTATCTATGTAAGTCATTCTTTTAAAAATATCTAACTTCTGCTAAGAACCTTACTATAATAAAAATCACTCAAATAATGAAGGTACTTCGATCTTTTTATGATTTTTCATATCAATTTTAAACACTAATATATTATTAAATATCCATTAAAATAAGGAAAGTACTTGCGGTTTATGTAATGAATTTAAAGATTCTTTATATATCATGATTTAACACAGCACTGCGGAGCTTTGTGGTCGGTACTGGTCATTCATGAGCTTACCTATCGTTTAGTAAATATTATTAAGTTGTTTACTTTACTTAGATTATAAGAGTACTTATTGTACGAAAGAGCATGTCCCGTTTATTATGAATTAATTAATAAATAAATTATATTAAATTTTTATGATTAGACACTTTATTGAAAACAATATTTTAATATTTTAAATCAATATTTTATGCCGTTCGGAAATTTTTTAGTTTATTTCTTAAAACATAGTTTAAAGTGTACTGTGAATAGCAAATTATAAAAGTTTAAAAATTGTTTTTGTACTTGGCTTACAATTCGATTTTCATTTTTACTATAAATTAAATACCTACATTTTAAATTATTAAATATGCCATTTTATAATTTATAGTATTTGAAAATATTAAATTTATTAAAAATCGTCAAATCCATTTCGGTTATCTTTGATGACATTTTTGAATATTTTAAAAATGTCCATAATTCATAAAAAAATTGTTTTCCAAATTTATTTTTAAGTATATCTAAGTGAAAATTAATTAAATTTTTTAAATTTATACTAAGACTGCAAGATCATTAAATTCATTATAAAAAACGGTTCAGTTTTCTTCGCTTAATGAATTTTTAATGTAATATTGGACTTGATTTTTAGCAATGCTGAAAATTGTTAAAATTATTATTATGTAAAATAATGATGAAAATGAATAATGTTTATTGAATTAATAAAAAAATGTTACCGGAAACAATCGTCGAACCATCCTTTGAAATATCAAAATTAATTTTTTGATTAGTGTTGGCTTCTCGATTTTCCATGGACCACAAGACAACTCCAGGATTTCGTAGATCCCAACAGTAGAATTCATTACTACGTCTTACTGCTGAATATAATTTAGTGCCACAGGGACTAAATTCTAATTGCGTCACTCCACTATTTGTTTTAAAACAACAAACTGGTCCATTCTGATATAAACCTGAAAGAATTCATAAAAATAAAATAACATTTCTTTTCGTACATTTGCTGATATTTACAAAAATTTAACACAATGATCATTAAATATTTTGACCGATTTTGAATTTTCTTTTCTTAAAACTTTATAAGATTTTTAAATTCATCCAAAATTGTTTTAGGTCGAAAATGCTAAAAGTACCATTGTCATTCAAGTTTCTAATATGGAAATTCCTATTTTAATTTTTCTAATTTCAAACCACAATTTTTTTAAATAAAAAAAATATTAAAAAATTAATGATAAAATTATGGTTTGAAATTAGTTAGAAAAATAAACAAAACATGAATTCCCAAATAAAAAAATTGAATAAGAATTGTATTTTTTAGTATTTTCAATCTAAAAACAATGTCTTTTTCTAAAAAAAAAAAAATGCTTTAAAAATAGTAAAAATCTATTTTTTCATTCGGCAAATTTTTTTGTGGATTCAAAATTACGGATAGATTTTAAAATATACCTATTAATTTTTAATTTTAAGAAAAATAAAATTTCCAAAAGGGTCAGAATATTTTATGATCATTTAATTTCTCTTTAAAAAATTACTATAAAAATAATTTTATGGAAGATTTAAATCATTAAAAACATTATTTTAATCATAAAACATTATATTATAAGAATATTGTTATTGTAACTCCTTCAAAATTATTTTCATCATTTCAATTCAATTATTATTTTCAAGAATTTTTAACTAAAATTCTTCTTTCAATCAATTATTTTTTATAATTTTCCAAAAAGTTCTTTGACAATTCTCAAATATTTTCAAATATTTACAATATTTTACATTATTCTATTTTACGAAATTTCAATTATTCATTAATTTTTCATATATTAGAAAATAGAAACTTTAAATAATATAAAAAAAATTCAATTAAACTTTTTCAAAAAAATTAATTACAAAAATTTAATTATTTATTAAAAATTCACGCTATATTGATTTTAATATTCAATTATTATCTAATTTTTTACAGAAATTCATTTTTAAATCAATTTTTAATAGAAAATTCTACTAGAATTCAATTATTTAAATACAAAAATAAATAATTTATTGAATAATTGAATGTTTCTTAAAATTCAATTCTCATAAAGAATTTTATCAATAAATTTTTAAATAATTAAATTCTTTGGACGATTTTTAACAACATTTTTAAGAATAACTACATTTTTCGAGAAATTTGATTAAAATTGTATTAAAAATAATTGAAATTCTGCGATGGGTTTTATTTCATAATTATGAAAATAATTGAATTTCTGCAATAATTTGTAACTTCTGGAAAATTAAACTTTCTTTAAGTCAATTTAAAAAAAAAATTTTTTTTAATTCTTTTGCTTACAATTTAATTTGACGAAATTTTGATTATTCTGACATTCTTCAATTAAATATATTTGAAATTAAAAACTTCAAGTAATAAAAAAAAATTCCATTACATTTTTTGAAAAAAATTAAATCTACAGAATTTTTAATTAAAAGTATGAAAAGTTTAAATTTTCAAAGATTTTAATATGAAACATTTTGAAAATTCAATTATTTTTAAAAACCCACGCTATAATGCTTTTAATATTAAATTATAATCTTAAATTTTAACTGAAATTCATTCTTAAATTAATATTTATTAGAAAATTTTTAAATAATTGAATTCTCTGAACAAATTTTACTAAAATTGTTAAGAACAATTTCATTTTTCGAGAAATTTAATGAAAATTACATTAAAAGTAATTGAAATTTTGCCAAGAATTTTATTAAAATTTTTGAAAATAATTGAATTTCGGAGAAAAATTTTATTATTTATGAAGATAATTAAAAATTGATAATTGAAAATAATTGAATTTTGAAGAAGAATTTTATTATTATTTATAAAGATAATTGAAATTTTGACGAAAATTTTTGTAAGTTTTTGAAGATAATTGAATTTTTGCGAAGAATTATATTACTTTTGAAAATAATTGAATTCTTGAGACGAATTTTATTAAATTTTCTTTTTAAATAATTGTATTATTTTGTGAAATTTTATTGAAATAGTAGACATTGAAAATAATTGAATTTTGACATTAAATTAAAATTACATTAAAATTTTTGAAAATAATTGAATTTCGGAGAAGAATTTTAATATTTCTAAAAATAATTGAAATGTTGACTAGAATTTTTTTCCAAATTTTTAAATGTAATTGAATTTCTGCGAAGAATTTTATTAGTTTTGAAAATAATTGAATTTCTGCATCAAATTACGTACTTTACGGACCTTTTTTTTTAAAAAAAACTGGCTAAGTTTAATTGAAATTAGCCAAAGAATGATTTCTAAATTTAAAACACCTCAATATTTTCCCCTTCGAAGAAGGGTGCGACATTTAGTTTTAAATAATTTTCCACCACTAATATTTCTCGCTCAAGCAATCGACCTGATTGCTTATCACAGTCGAATTTTTAGACATTTAGCGTGTCTCACCTATGTATTTAGAGTAAGTGCCAAAAGCCACAAGTCCTGGCATTATTGGATTTTCACGTATACAAGACACCAACCCAGAAATGGTTGGAAAGTCATGTTTCAGAAATATATCTTCCGTTTGTCGTCCTGGCCTTTCGGTGTCAAATTTTCGTAGAGCGCCTTTAAATCCACTCCAAACTTCGGCACCTGAATTTATAAATCTTATGCTAATGGCAGGTTCCACCTCGTCAACTCTAAGGCATATTAAAAGCAGTTAGTTTCAATTTGCAAAAAGAAACAAATAAACATTATTTATTAAACTTCAAAATAAGATAGTTTTGGGTCAGAGTCGATTTTCTCATAAATTTTGGAATTTAAGTTTTTTTCAGTCTGAAGAAAACTTTTAAAAAAATCGACTGCGACCGCAAACTAAAATTTCTTACTCACTGATTGTAAGCTCTGTAGGTGGCTCTCAATTCTCCTGTAAATGCGTCCCATAAATGAATGGGAGTCTCTTGACTAGTACTTAAAAAACAACAGGTTGCTGGATTCCATGAGTTCATGTGAGGATACCAACAACTGTCGTAGATGAGGCCTCCTTCCTTCACACAAAGTGCAGACTTTAGAGTTGATGACGATAAATTCGTTGTCGGCTTTTCTGAATATAATTCTTTCGGTAATTCGTAAATTCGTATTCGAAAGTCTTCCGATGGGACCATAAGGCAAGTGCCATCCGGAGACCATTGACATCCTTTCGTGAAATTCTCACAATTTTCCGAAGCCTTGTACTCTTCTGTAGCTGAACACAAAAGTTGTTGAGAAACTGTCCAATTGTATTCGAAATTCAAAGATTGTGTTTCTCCTTCTAAACTCTTTGATGCTGATTTTGTTTCATTCTCCAATATCTGAAAGAATTCGAATAAATTATTTATTGAACGATAAAATGAAAATTTTAATATAATAAATAATTCACAGGCAATCGACCTATACAAATATTTCTTAAATAATAATAATTACCAACAAAAAATTGATTTTAATTAATTTTAATTAATTAATAAATTTTTACTACAAAACAAGTTTCATATAATTTTCAAATTTTATTAACGAATTTTTTTTATTTTCAAAAATAAAGTTTTATAATTAACCGACTTCTAAATATTACAGATATTTAGGTTTTTACAACCTTAAAATATTATAATTACTTTGACTATATTATTATAATTACTTTTATTATAAAATTCTTGATTCTTAAAAAATATTTGCCAGAAAATAAAACAAAAACGAAAATAACACCCTCACATTGGAGTCATATAGAATCTGGAGTCAAAAATTTTAAATAAATTAAAACAAAAAAATATAAAAATAAAATATACTAGGCTCGAACTAAGTCCGTAAATTTGCATAAAGTCCGTAAAAGTCAGTTCTTTTTTAAAAAAAGGTCCGAAAAATCCAAAATTTGATAGAAAAATGACGAAAAAAGTTCGTAAATTGTACAATATAATTTGGAGAATTTTACAGAAATTACAAACGATTGAAGAAATTCAATTATTTTTAAAACTGATAAAATTCTTCGTAAAAATTCAATTACGTTTAAAAATTTAAAAAAAAATTCTCGTCAAAATTTCAGTTATCTTAATAGAAATATTAAAATTCTTCACCGAAATTCAATTATTTTCAAAAATTTTAATACAATTTTTGGCAAAATTTCAATTATTTTCAAAAACTTTCCTCCCGAATAAATTATTTTCAATATTTATTACTTTAATAAAATTTTCCAAAAGAATTCAATTATATAAAAAAAAATTTCGATAAAATTCTACGCAAACATTTAATTATTTTCATAAAATAATAAAAATTGCACAGGAATTCAATTATTTACAAATTTTTTTATAAATTTCTTCGCAATAATTCAATTATTTTCATAAATAATAAAACTTTTACAGAGATTCGAATTATTTTCGTAAATACTAAAAATCTCTTTAGGAAAATGAATTTCATTTAAAATTTTAGATTATAATTGAATATTAAAAGCATTACAGCGTGAATTTTTAGAAGTATTTGAAAATTTGAAAACGTTTTCATATTAAACTCTTTGAAAGTTTGAATTTTTCATACTTTTAACTAACAATTCTGTAGAAGAATTAATTTTTTTGAAAATGTTTATTTGAATTTTACTTAAAATTATTTTTTTGAAGTTTCTATTTTCTAAAATATATATTTAATTGAAAAATACCCGAATAATTGAAATTTTGTAAAATTGAATTGTAAAATAAATGAATTTGAAAATTTGAACATAATTGATTATGTTCGAAAATTTACAAAAATTCTCCTCAAAATTTCAATTATCTTTATAAATAATAAAATTCTTCTCCAAAATTAAATTATTTTCAAAAATTTGAATAAAACTCTTGGCAAAATTCCATTTTTCATACAATTTTAATCGAATTGAATTTTGAAAAGGTTGCATATTAAAATCTTTGAAACTTTAAATTTTTCATACTTTTAACTAACAATTCTGTAAAAGAATTAATTTTTTTAAATTCAAAATTCCCGAATAATTGAAATTTTGTAAAATTGAATTCAATAAAAAAGGAATTTGAAAATTCTCAAAGAACTTTTACCAAAATTATTAAAAATAATGAATTTATAGAAGAGTTTCAGTTAAAAAACACTAAAAAAAATTTAATTTTGGAGTAGTTACAAATTATTGCAGAAATCCAATTATTTTCTTAATTACTGAAATTCATCGCAGAATTTCAATTATTTTAAATACAATTTCAATCGAATTTCTCGAAAAATGTAATTGTTCTTAAAAATTTATTGATAAAATTCTTTATGAGAATTGAATTTTAAGAAACATTCAATTATTTAATAAATTAATTTAATTTTTTTATTTAAATAATTGAATTCTAGTAGAATTTTCTAATAAAAATTGATTTAAAAATGAATTTCAGTAAAAATTTAGATAATAAATGAATATTAAAAGCAATATAGCGTGAATTTTTAATAAATAATTAAATTTTTGTAATTAATTTTTTTGAAAAAGTTTAATTGAATTTTTTTTATATTATTTAAAGTTTCTATTTTCTAATATATGAAAAATTAATGAATAATTGAAATTTCGTAAAATAGAATAATGTAAAATATTGTACATATTTGAAAATATTTGAGAATTGTCAAAGAACTTTTTTGAAAATTATTAAAAATAATTGATTAAAAGAAGAATTTTAGTTAAAAATTCTTGAAAATAGTAATTGAATTGAAATGATAAAAATAATTTTGAAAAAGTTATATAACTTCTCTGTCAGTAATAATTGTCCCGTAATTTTTCATTTTTGGTCCATAAATTCCGTATTTTTAAATACTTCCCTGGTTCGAGCCCTGAAAATATTAAATACAAAATATAGGTAAATAATTAAAATTAAATTGAAAACTAAATAAATAATACAATTAGTAAAAAACACATATATATTAAATAATAAACAAAATTGTTTATATAATTATAATATTTGTCGATATTGTCTTATGTTATTAAATTTTATATTTTCTCTACAGAACATGTAAAAAGAAAAATTATCCATAATAAACTAACTTCGAACTGCGAACAGATATCCGGAAGGAGATTATTAATATAGAAACAAGAGATATTTGAGTATTCGTAAAATAAAATGAAATTGTTACATTATTCGTATCCACATCCATCATATTCTCTTGATTTTTCTCTTCGTTTTCAGTGAAACGATCCTCATCTTCATTTTTACAAGTTTCAGTGACAAGTATTTCCGACTGTTGTTCATTTTTCAATGATTTGTTGTTGCATTCATTATTTTTGTCTTCCAGAGTTAATTCAACATTTATTTTCACCTCTTCGGAATTTAATAACATGAGAAAATCTTTTACTGTATTAGAAGCAGGTTTTTTAAATTCGTCTAAAGAATTTGGAGAATCGATATAATCACTGATATTTTCATCCTCTGCTGTCACTATTGAAACAATTGTTTCCACTTCATTCATTTCCATTTTGTGTCTGTAATTAAGAAAACTTCATTCATTCATTATCACAGTTTTCTTGGGATGATTAATTTAACTTTAATTCAATTACTACTGTTCTATATACGACGAATTTGACAGAATTATGAGCGCGTGTTTACAATACTACATGCATTTTTTATAGGTTAGATTACCCACTTGCGTGTCGGGAAAATTTCTGTAGAGAACTCCGGAATTTCTATTCATTCTATTTATAAAAAAAGTTGAATTAATAATTTCGAACTAAATTCAAATCTTAAAGACTTTCTATCTATAAATAATCTATAAATAATTTTACAACGCAAAGTTTGTTTACTTGATTTTTTATTTTTCTTTCAGTTTTTGCAGTTTTTGCAATAAGTAAATATAAGGTATATAAACAAATAAAATTCTGTACTTAATTTCGTGCAAATAAGTTTAAATCTTAATTTGTTTGGATCGAAAAAATTAATATATTTCATACAGAAAGGAAAATAGAATTAAAAACAATAAGCAAAAGGTAGTTAAAAACAAACAATTTTAAAAAATGAAAACATAACCTTAAAATTTACTCAACACCTGTTTTTTAATTAAAAATGAATAAAATATTGCAAGTTGAAAAATATATGAAACATCTTCCAAGAGAAGGGAATTATATATTCCATTTATTGATATATTAGAATATATGTATATTTAATACATTTATTATATAAACAATTTTATATTGTATAAATAAAAAATGTTTGTGTACAAAATCACAATTCTGAATAAGACTTGAAAAAAAAGGAAAAGAAGAAAAATTTATTTTAAACCACGATTTTAATCGGAGAATGTAATAAAAAGTGCGTGACATGGGGATTTAAATTCATTAATAAAAAATATCATCAACAGGTTGCCTTGTTTTTGTAACTATATATGTAACCTTGAGAAGCATTAAATTCGAACGATCAATGTCCTTCCACATAAAAGAAATCAATGGGATAAACGGTCCAGAGGAAAGCTGCATTTATTTCTCATGTTTCTCGGAGCTGATTGTGTACATATGGACATTGATCGTCCAGGACGAGACACGCTCATCTCCTCGGGCTTCAATTTTTCTCTATATGACAAAATGATCATCTCTGTGCACCTATTTTCTTTGAAAAGAGAAAATATTTATTCCAGAAAACATGAAATTCCACATTCTTTTTAATTACTGAATACATAATTTTTTTTTCTCTAATAAATTACAGACAATAAAGAAAAAAAATGCTATTGCAGATTTACAGATTTTTAAATAAAAATAAAAACGAAATTTATTTCTTTTAGATACATTTATTTTCTTACTATTTTTTTAATTAAATAAAAAACGACTGAAAGTAAAAACTGGAAAATAAAAAATTGCAAATTTTTGAATAAATGAGAGTAAAAATTTCTGCAAGTGTTTAGGCCTTAAAAATTGAAATGAAGCTTTTATTTATAGTGGACAAATAATTTAGGTATAATTACGCGATAATTGTTTGCGATAAAGGTGGAAAAGTGGAAAGTGGTTTTCTCGAGACGAAAGGTTTATGATAATTATTGAGAGTCGGAATGTTTGCGCGCAGTGAGTAATAAGTGAATAACAAGTAAATAACAAGTGAATAACAAGTGAATAATAAGTGAATTTAAATGTATTTAAAATTGAAAAATGATCAAGTTGTTTGTCTAATTCAAGACGTGTTTCTTGATTCGAAACGTTCCCGCTAAAATCAATGTCCCGACACAAGCGCAATCCATCCCCACCAGGAGTAGTGAGAATCTGTCCCTCGCTTGTTGCAAACGCACCTTCCAGTGCTCATTGTCATGGCATAGCATGACGTATAGGTGACAATATTTTTCAAGGCAATGGAAAGATGTCATCGCTTGTGGAGTTCAGTGCAGCGGGGTACGTGATAGTTGTCAATATTGTTTGAAACAAGTGCGTTAGTTCTCCGCGTTTCTCGCTCCCCTCGGTTCAGTGTCGCAGCGCGAATGACAGATCCAGTTATTTACACCTGCGGATGTGGTTTTCGTCGAAAGAGGACAAGTGTCCGTCGACGAAATGAAAAAGTTTACATTTAAATCAGTACTCGATGGCTTTCGTTCGTCGGTCGCTCAGCAGACGAAACCCGAGCAGGAAATTGTCGAGAACCTGCGGGCGGAGAATTTCCAAGTCAAAAAAACATTCAAGCATGGCTTCCCCTACCAGCCGACCGCCCTCGCCTTCGACCCCGTGCAGAGGCTGCTCGCCATCGGCACCAGGTCGGGCTCCGTGCAGATCCTGGGCCGGCCCGGCGTCGACATCAGCGTGTCGCACGACAGCTGTGCGGCCGTGACGCAGCTCCAGTTCATCGTGAACGAGGGCTCGCTCATCTCGGCCACGGCGGACGATGGCCTCCACCTCTGGAGCCTGCGGCAGAAGATTCCCCAGGTGGTGCAGAGCCTCAAGTTCCAGCGCGAGCGCATAACCTGCATGCTCCTCCCGCTCCAGAGCAAGTGGCTCTACATCGGCACCGAGCGCGGCAACATCCACATCCTCCACGTGGAGACCTTCGTCATCTCCGGCTACGTCGTCAACTGGAACAAGGCCATCGAAGTCACGCGGAAGACGCACCCCGGCGCCGTCGTCCACCTCAGCGACCACCCGCTCGACCTGGGCAAGATCCTCGTCGGCTTCGAGACGGGCCAGGTCGTGTCCTGGGACCTCAAGGCCAAGGCGGCCGACTTCCGCTGCCAGACCGACAAGCCGCTGCGCTCCATCTCCTGGCACTACGAGGGCAAGCAGTTCATGTGCAGCCACACCGACGGCTCGCTCTCCACCTGGGCCCTGCGCCAGGCCAAGCCCACGACGCTCACCTTCCCCCACGCCAAGGTGCTCAAGGACGGCGAGCCCGAGCCCTGCCGCACCATCCAGAAGGTCGAGTGGAAGATCTCCAGGGCCGGCGAGTCCTTCATCGTGTTCGCGGGCGGCCTGCCCGTCGAGACCACCGGCCGCACGCCCAGCATCACCGTCATCCAGGGCAAGACCACCACGGTCCTCGAGATGGAGCACAACGTCGTCGACTTCGTCACCCTCTGCGAGAGCCCCTGGGCCACCGACTGCCAGGAGCCCTACGCCGTGGCCGTGCTCCTGCAGAGCGACTTTGTCGTCATCGACCTCCAGAGCCCCGGATTCCCCTGCATCGAGAACCCCTACCCCATGGACATCCACGAGTCCGCCGTCACCTGTTGCGCGTACTTTGCCGACTGCCCCCCGGACCTCGTGCCTGCCTTCTACTCCGTCGGGTCCAAGTACCAGAAGCGCAGCGGCTTCAGCGAGAAGGACTGGCCCATCTGCGGCGGCGAGTGGAAGCCCAACTCCAGCAGCTACAGCGAGATCATCCTCACCGGACACGCGGACGGCAGCATCAAGTTCTGGGACGCCTCGGCCGGCACGCTGCAGGTCCTCTACAAGCTCAAGACATCCAAGTTGTTCGAGAAGAGCAAGTCCCGGAGCATAGAGGGCGAGGAGGACCCGCTCGCCATCCAGATGATATTCCTCTGCCCCGAGAGCCGCAAGCTGGCCGCGGCCACCGTGGGCAGACACGTGATTTTGTTCAAGTTTAAGAAAGTCGAGAGTACCTCGGAGGTTGTGATTTTAGACGTAAGCTTCTCGGAAGAGAAGGACCCGGCCCTCGAGTCCGGAGTGTACATGGGGTCCCCAGTGAAAGAAAACCCCCCGTCGGACGACAGACGGGACGGCGACGGACCCTTGAGAGTGAAAACCGGACTGCAGAAGCGCGCCCCTGGCTTCCAGGCCAGCATCATTTGTGTGACCCTCGGGCCGGACGGAGAGCAGACCGAGTACATCTCAGCCTTGAGCCTAAACTCCTCCTACGGTCTGCTCTCCTACGGCAACGAGTCGGGCCTCGTTGTCATCGACATTGTACAGAAAGTGACCCTCCTCGTGGTGAGTACCAGTGAACTCGGTATGTCGGACTCGAGTCGCATTCTCCGCAGTCCCAAGAAGCAGGACGACAAACTCGACGATCGGATCCGGAGCCCCAGTGCCGATCAGAATCAGGTCAACTTCTCAGTCTTCCCGGAAAACAAAACAGAGGCAGATCGACTCGAGAGCTCGCTGCAGCGCTCGCCGAGTTCCAGTATGTCGTCCCTGGAGAACATTTCCCACGAAACCATCAGCTGCCTTATATTTGCCGATTCCTACACGAAAAAAGATTCCATTGCCTTACCGACTCTTTGGATTGGCACGACTCTGGGCTCCGTGCAGCCCGTCATGTTCAACATGCCTACCTCAGGTGAGAGACTCGCACAACCTGTGATTATTCCTACTTCCAAACTAGGAGGCACGACCTTCAAGCTGAAAGGGACCATCTTGACGATGTCGTTTCTGGACTGCAACGGAGCGTTGATGCCCTACTCGTACGACTCCTGGAAGGATGACAATACGGAGAGCATTCGGGACCGGAGCAAGAGTCGGGGCAACCTGGCCAACTCCAGGCTCCCCTCGTTCGCGAGCCCAGGATTTGAAGACAGGCAGTTCGTTGTGATAGCTTCGGAGAAACAGGCCAAGGTCATCGCTCTTCCCTCGCAGAACTGTGTCTACGGCCAGCAGCTGGCCGCCCCGAACCACGTCGTCAAGGCGGAGATCACGTCCCTCAAGGACAGCGTCTGCCTCGTCTGCTACGTCTCCAACGGCCACGTGACTAGCTACAGTCTGCCGAGCTTAAGACTTCTCATAGATGTAGATTTTCTACCACTGCTGAATTTCAGGATCGTCAAGACCCTCTGCTTCAGCAACCGGGGGCACGGCCTGTACCTGTCGTCGCCCTCCGAGATCCAGGAGTTCACCGTCTCCAGCGACTACTGCGGCGAGATCATCGACATGGTGGGGGACCTGTTCCTGCCCCAGGAGATGCCGGAGCAGCCGAAGGAGAGCTTCTTCAAGGGACTCTTCGGCGGCGGGTCCAAGAGCCTGGACCGCGAGGAGCTGTTCGGCGAGTCCAGCGGCAGGGCCTCCAAGTCCCTGGTGAAGCACATGGTGGGCCCCAACGCCAGTGTGGAGAACCTGCGCGAGAGGGCGTCGACTGCCACCAGCGACGTGGCCAAGGCCCACCAGATGGTCATGGAGAGGGGCGAGAGGCTCGGCGAACTCGAGGAGCGGACGGCGCGCATGATGAACGAGGCCGAGGGATTCTCCACATCAGCTCATGGATTGATGCTCAAGTACAAGGACAGAAAGTGGTATCAACTGTGAGAGTACGACGTTTTTCTGGGTGTTCTACTCGCTTTCAAACTCCCTTGTACACTTGTTGGGAACGATTGCGCCACCTGACTCTCTAATTAACACACACGTTCTGTAACTGTTATCCTGGTGACATAACTGTTGTAGAACATTTGTAGCTATTCCGTAACCGTGTTACATAAATGTTATAGAACTTGAGTGTAACAAAGTTTACGTGCGCGCGTCCCGCCTGACGCCGCCAGTTCCCGCCATTTTAACAAGAATCGATTCATCGATTCTGGATTTCTTGTAGATTTATTATTTTAGTTGTATATAAAGTGCTCTAGGATTTTCAAGGATTCTTTGATATTTCAACTAGGAAGGAGATGACGAGAAGAAAGGACATTTTATTCGACTCTGTTCGAAAAAGGCAATGGTAAGATTTTTTCATTTCAAAACTAATCTCATAAAATTATTATTATTATTATTGCAATATATTTATAAAACATTACTCACATACAACACCTACAATTAACAAATTTTATTTAGCCAGCACTTTAATTCACACTAATTTAAATGAGTAAACGACTTTCCACATTTACAGAATATGTTCTTGCAAATTGTGTTTCTCTTATCGGGAAAAAAGTTATAATTACATTTCAGAAATGATAATAATTGAATTGAAACAGCAAAGATTATTAAATTCTTGTAGGACAGAAAATTTTATTTACAAACTTTAAATAATATTAAAAATTAAAGTTGAATGATATCAGTACAACTTTAATTTTAAAGAGCGTTATCGGTGCTTTTGCGGAACATGAGAGGTGACGATTCTTTACACAATAGGGTGGTTAAGAAATGCATTTCAATTGAAATAGGCAAAATTACTAAAAGTCTACTTTTTAAAGACTTGATTTCAAATCATTTACCCTTATTATTAAGTGGAAATAATTTTTATAAAAAAAGAAGGAAAAACTATATAGTAATAAAAATAATGATTAGATCAATTTTGATAAATCGTATGAAATGATTCAGATTCTGAATCTTGCCTCGAATAATCGATCTTAACAAAAAATCATTCTGTCTTATTTTAAAAATGTTTAACATTCAAATAAATAAAATATTTTTTTTGTATAAGTATTTTTAAAAGTTACCGATTGCATTAAAGGTAAAAAAAAATTGTCTCCTTTTTGTTAATTTTTTTTCTTTATAATTTAGTTCTGATGAGCTGTGTTCACAGCGGAAATGCATTCGCCAATGAAATAGAAAAATAATTCTATTAACAAAGAGCTTTCTTGTAATTATTTGAACCTTAGGTCACAATTAACAAATACAGTATTTGACAAAAGGGTAGGGAGATGATCCCAAAGTTCTGAACGTTCAAATGAACGAAATTTATTTATTTCTTCTTTAATTTAAATATTTATTACAACAATTTTTTGTTGATATAAAAAAATGAACTATAAAGTTTCTAAGTGTAAAATTTAAGTTTTTAATTTTTATTGCGAACAGTTATTTATAAAAATATTTGTAATAAAAAGTGTTTCGTTCATTTGAACGTTCAAAACTTGTGGATCATGTAGGGAGTCAAAAGTACTAGTACCAAAAGTTTCAAAAACTTATTTTTCCTAAAGGACATTTTTTCCAAAATAATTATTTGTTCCAAAAAATGAAACAAAGAATAAAACAAAAAAATGGGAACCAATACTTTTCTAATTTCACTTTTATATAATTCAGTTGTTAAAAAAAGATATTTTTACATCAAATTCGAAGTAAATAAATAATATTTCTTGATAAATTTTTAGTACAGCTTAAATTAAATTTAAAATTCAAAGTGATAAAATAATATTTCGTGATAAATAAAATAGCTTAAATAATAAAAAAGGTAGAACAGTTTATTTGGAAATTGATGAATTTTTATATTATAAACACTCGGAGGCTAACTCACTCTTGGACAGAAAGTTAAGAAAAATAGAACAAATCAACAACGACGTATTGAAGACGGAATATTTAATATAGTCTCAAACTATGAAGATTACATTCAAAACGATGAAATCCTTAAGTACTTAAAAGCAATTATTGGTCACAATTTACATTTTTAGATACTTTTACTCTTTTTGGATCTTTTATTTAACTTACATTGGAACTTTTCTTTTGGAATAAACCATCCTTGAAACTAATCTCTTGGAACTGTTTTTTGGAACTTTTGTATACCCCAATCGACAAAAGTAATTAAGGTTCTTGAAAATACCAAAATTAATTTATAATTTATTTAAATTTATCAAAATTATTGTCAGGTTATTGACTTAATTATTGGCAAATTTGTATTTCAATTCTTAACTGCAACAGATGTTGATAAATTTTGTGTATGTTTAACAACACAAATGTGAAGAAATTTCTTAATAATTTGTAGATCTTCTAAAAAGAAAAAAAAATTTTTTAACTAAATTTTTTTATTATTTTTCTACATTTTTCTTGCGAATGAGAGTATGACAGAATTTAAGAATATTAAATAATTGGTCAATTAGTGTAAAATTCTTACATTCAGAATTAAAGAATGTTTCTGGTGAAATTCCAATAATATTATTGTACAAAGTAGTCAACTCTTCATATCAATTTACTTATTAAAATAATTTATTTTTAAAAAGCAATGTTATGTTAAATAAATTTAAAACTTTAAGTCAGAGTTTTCCTATTTATATTACTAATTAATTTTTATTAATTCAAAAATGTTTAAACAATTATTTGAATAATTATCACAAAAAATTGTTTTGTTTTGTTTTATTATTAACCTTTAAAAAATAAAACCCCGTTCATATAATGCTTATTAAAAAGCGAATGCAAGATCATTCTTATTCACTTTTTGGTGCAACATAATTCTTATTCGATTTTCCGTGCAAAAAAAGTCTTATTCAAAATTGTGAGCAAAACAATTGCCACTGACAGAACAAAAAATGTAACCCTAAATCTTCCTTTTAATATTAAATTACAATTAAATATCTGAGAATTTCAGTGCGTATCTATTATTATAAGAAACTTTAAACATGGATTCTCTCTTACGTATTAAGAAATATTTTTTTAGCAATTGTAATTAAAAATTATATTGAAATGAAAATTTCATAAAATTCATAGTGTAAGCTAATTTCAGATTGTACTTTTTCGCATAGAATTTTGAATAAGCATTTTATTGCACGGAAACTTTAATAAGAATTGTTTTGCACTAAAAATTGAATAAGAATGATCTTGCATTTGTTTTTCTATAAGCATTATATGAACGGGAGGCGTCGAAATGTTTTATGTACATTCAAGTGAAATACTTTTGTTTTGAGAGGATATTAGAAGAGAATTTTTTTTCTAAATATGAGATTTTATGAATCTGAAAATTTTTAAAGATAAATTGTTCATTTCATGATCATTTTAGCTTCCTCAATATAATATATGTACCAATTGCTTAATTTTTTATTACAAAATAATTATTTTAAAGTGTTAAGATAAAATTTCAAAAAGTACAAAATTTGAAACCAGTTTTTACTGAATATTTTTGATGTAATGAAGACTTGAACATCAATAATTTTTAATAGTAATTCAGGGTGGCCAGATGTTAGTAAAGTTAGGGAAATGTCAGTAAAATTAAATTTTTTGTCAGAGAAATTTAGAAAATTGAGATTTTTTTCGACGTATTTTAAAAAATTGCGACCCTTTCGTCTTTTTCTTCCAAATATTGCAACAAAATATCATATTTTTTAGTATTAAATGTAACTCATTTCGATTTTTATAGTGCGAAAAATAGTAAACAAATCTTTCAAAAATTATTTTTGAATCATTTTTCTATTTAAATTTTCGAAATATACAATTAAAAAGACTTTAAATAATTGAAATTTTGTAAAATTTAATTGAAAATAATTAATTTTTTTTAAAAATTATTTTGTTAGAATTTTTAAAATCAACTTTTGAAGAATTCTAATTGCAAATTTTCAATATGTCAGTAAATTGTCAGGAAATATTGATGAACTGTTTGTGACCATTATTATTAATGTAATTGATTATTACCTCTCTTTTTTGTATGTTTATTTACAATTCTATTGTTAATCTTTCTTTTCACTTTCAATTTTTTATTCATATCTTTAATTTCTGTATTTTGTTATTCTTAAATTTCTTAATTTATTGTAATTTTATTTGTGTTTTTATATATGCCCAACTTAAATTTCTTTTTTAATTTTAATTATTTGTAAGTTTTGATATTTTAATTTTAAATTTATTGCTTTTATGATACTAATTTTTTATATTTATTTTTGTTTGTAATTTCTCGTTGTTCAGTGTATTATTTTTGATAGACTTCCTGAATGAGGGAATAATTTATATTTCTCGAGACGTTGCGTTGTAGCCAAAGTTTTATTGTATTAAGAACCACTTGTCTGAATGTATTCATTTTATTATTTTTCTTTCTTTTGTTTTCATTGTTTCCAAAATTTGTTTTCTCGTGATATTTACCACTTTAATTAATTTTTGCTTTTCTTTTGGTTTTATTATAGTGAATATTTTTTATTAATTTCTCATTAATGTCATATTATTTCATATTAAATATTTTTTGCATATTTTGTTAATAATTATTTCAAATTAATATAATAATTTTTTTTTATTTCTTGTTTTACTGTTTTAATAATGAATTTTTTGTAAGTTTATGTTTTGGTTAAAAATAAACGCTACTAGATGTAATTGCAAATAAATAAACATTGAGGCAAACAAATATTCTTTAAAATCATGTTGTTGCAGCTAAGCTGTAATTAATAGCTATAAGCTCTGTTAATTTACACCAGCAATATTAAACACTCCATTATGATTATAGACATACTCACTTTTCGTTTACTTTTTTCTATTAATCTTTGTAGCTCAATAAAGGGAGTTTTCTATTTCTGTATACTTACCTAACTCATTACTAAATATATAATAAAGAAGTAAATTATGTTAGATGCTAATTACTTTTTATGACAATTTGTGAATTCGAATATTCTGATAAATGAAAATAGTGCAATATGAAAATTTCATAAAATATAATTGTTATCAATTTGACAAAAATTTAGTTAAATAATAATTATACATTATTCAATTTAGCTTTAATGAAGATAATATATGAAAATAAAATATAAATTTCTAATGTTAATTTTTTATATTTCGCCACATTAGGATGTCCCAATATTTTTTTACTTTCGTTAACGTGTTATACTTCTTAGTTTTGGTTTATGACGAGAAATATTAGACACATAGGAGAGAATGAGGAATTAATTGAAAATAAACTTTTCCATAAATTATGGATATTGATACTCTTAATAAATTAAAAATTTTATCTGTTTTGATTGGTTAAAATTCCAAAGGTCAATATAAATTATTTACATAGTTTTAAAATCAAGAACAGAAATAATGATAAATGAAAGCAAT